CGCCAGGAAGATTACTGGGTCCATTTGCTTTACCTTAATGGGTAAAAACAAGTCGATATAATGAGCCCAGTGTGTTTGGTTTGTTAGGAAGCTGCATAACATAGCCTAATGTGCAAAACAGTCGTGTGCTAGGCGGATCATTACGCAACAATGAACACCGCAATTGTGTATTTTCAAAAGGCAGACGCGTAGATTTCTACTCTTTGTATCTGGGCACATATAGATTCTCACCTCCCTCTTCAGCTATTTCGACTTTCGACTTTCACTAGGGGTAGTACATGCACAGCTGCATGGGGGTACTGCCCAAACAATGATGAACGCATTGCGTATGTTTAAAGAATTACCCACAATTCCGGTTTTTACCGTTTAGGTCTGGCTCTAATCACTTTACGCGATCCCCTGACGTCTCATACACTGACTTTAGGCAAAATAGTCAGACTTTCGCGGTCTAGTAACCAGACTTTGACTCTTAACGAAACATCGAATGAAAGGGAAACATCAAATGCATATTGCAAAAGATCGAATGCAAACATACCGATGAAACATCGAATACAAATAGCTCGAAATGTCAAACATAAATTATGTGTAAAACATTGCTCACATATTTGAGAATATCGCAAATATATTGTAAAACAACACACACAATTGTATCGAAAAACATTTCGATACCCCCCCCCAATGAAATCTTGTCTCCCCCCCCCCAGTCGCCCCCCCCCTGAGATTTTGAGTTTCTAAAACAATTATCATTGATCTACATGACGCCCCCATGAAATGTTCCAGCCCCCACCCCCCCCAGCGCCCCCCCCCCCCCCCCCCCACCCACTGAAAAAATCCTCGCTACGCCACTGAATACACGTTATATTAAAATGAATTTTCGTACACTCATTTGTCACGATGTTTGACATCAAAAGGTTTCATATCATAATAAAAACGTCAAATTATCAAGCTATTAACACCGTAACAATACAGGATTTCAATTGCAACAAATACAATCCTAATGGAAGTCAACATGGATTTTTAACGTTTAAAACACTAGATTGTTACGATCATATTGTATTTATAGCTCCACGGTTTCTCACGCCATTCAAACTGCTTATGCTACACATCGTGAAAACTAATTGCACGAAATTTCAATTTAATCCATTTTGTATTTCTTGAGTAGTTCATCGGAAACAAGGTTGTTCTTTTTCTTCAATTGTGCAGCTTCCGTATTGATGCGTTGTTGAGACTACTATTGATGTGGCGCGCCCTCTATTATAGTTGTCTCGATCTCCACCACCAAACCCGATTTCGGGCCAACAACTCAAGAAATACACGTTACATTAAAATGAATTTTCGTATGTCATATGTCATGATGTTTGGCATCATAAGATTTCATTTCATAAAAAAAGTCCATTAATCAAGCTATTATGACCGTAACAATACAGGATTTTATTTGCAACAAATACAATCCTAATGGAAGTCAACATGGATTTTTAACGTTGAACACTACATTGTTACGATCATATTGTATTTATAGCTTCACGGTTTCTCACGCCATTCAAACTGCTTATGCTACACATCGTGAAAACTAATTGCACGAAATTTCAATTTAATCCATTTTGTATTTCTTGAGTAGTTCATCGGAAACGAGGTTGTTCTTTTTCTTCACTTGTGCATGCGTCCGTATTGATGCGTTGTTGAGACTATTATTGATGTGGCGCGCCCTCTATTATAGTTGTCTCGATCTCCACCACCAAACCCGATTTCGGGCCAACAACTCAAGAAATACACGTTACATTAAAATGAATTTTCGTATGTCATATGTCATGATGTTTGGCATCATAAGATTTCATTTCATAAAAAAAGTCCATTAATCAAGCTATTATGACCGTAACAATACAGGATTTTATTTGCAACAAATACAATCCTAATGGAAGTCAACATGGAGTTTTAACGTTTAAAACACTAGATTGTTACGATCATATTGTATTTATAGCTCCACGGTTTCTCACGCCATTCAAACTGCTTATGCTACACATCGTGAAAACTAATTGCACGAAATTTCAATTTAATCCATTTTGTATTTCTTGTGTAGTTCATCGGAAACGAGGTTGTTCTTTTTCTTCACTTGTGCAGCATCCGTGTTGATGCGTTGTTAAGACCACTATTTATGTGGTGCGCCCTCTATTATAGTTGTCTCGATCTCCACCACCAAACCCGATTTCGGGCCAACAACTCAAGAAATACACGTTACATTAAAATGAATTTTCGTATGTCATTTGTCATGATGTTTGGCATCATAAGATTTCATTTCATAAAAAAAAGTCCATTAATCAAGCTATTATGACCGTAACAAAACAGGATTTTATTTGCAACAAATACAATCCTAATGGAAGTCAACATGGATTTTTAACGTTTAAAACACTACATTGTTACGATCATATTGTATTTATAGCTCCACGGTTTCTCACGCCATTCAAACTGCTTATGCTACACATCGTGAAAACTAATTGCACGAAATTTCAATTTAATCCATTTTGTATTTCTTGAGTAGTTCATCGGAAACGAGGTTGTTCTTTTTCTTCACTTGTGCAGCATCCGTGTTGATGCGTTGTTAAGACCACTATTTATGTGGCGCGCCCTCTATTATAGTGGTCTCGATCTCCACCACCAATCCCGCGGCGATTTCGGGCCAACAACTCGAAAAATACACGTTACATTAAAATGAATTTTCGTATGTCATTTGTCATGATGTTTGGCATCATAAGATTTCTTTTCATAAAAAAGTCCATTAATCAAGCTATTATGACCGTAACAGTACAGGATTTTATTTGCAACAAATACAATCCTAATGGAAGTCAACATGGATTTTTAACGTTTAAAACACTAGATTGTTACGATCATATTATATTTATAGCTCCACGGTTTCTCACGCCATTCAAACTACTCATGCTACACATCGTGAAAACTAATTGCACGAAATTTCAATTTAATCCATTTTGTATTTCTTGAGTAGTTCATCGGAAACGAGGTTGTTCTTTTTCTTCAATTGTGCAGCATCCGTGTTGATGCGTTACCGAGACCACTATTTATGTGGCGCGCCCTCTGCTATAGAAGAAATACACGCAGTGGCGTAGCCACGGGGGGCGTGGGGAGCGATAGCCCCCCCCCCCCTCCCCACACATCTCATTTGTCACGATGTTACAGCGTCTCCAAACCAGAGCAACTCCCTCTCAAATTCAAAGAAAAATATTCTTAATGATAAACTTCCCCGAGTGGGGACTTAACATTGTAAAGGCACTTATTAGACTTTAATTAATTTGCAATATTTCCACCTTTTCCAAATATACTGATACATTATCGGTTGATTTTTGATACCTATTATCGGTTGATACAGTATCCGTTCCGTGGTGATACATTATCGGATACAATTATTTTGTAGTTACATTATCCGTCGACACGTGATACGTTATCGGATACTAATTTTACTACACTATCAGTCAATTTTTGCTACATTATCGGTACAATATCGGTCAATTTGTGATACATTATCGGTTGGTGATACGTTATCCGTTGGTTACTACATTATCAGTTGTAACAGACCCTAACACTTTTTTTTTAAAATCTCCATTTTTCGTAGGCCCTTGGGCACAGTGCCGATAATCCGGGCCTGTGGCAGTGTCGTATCCAGCAAAAGACCTCTCAAAGATATTTCGTCATTAGTCCGAACCCCTGTTATTTTCAAAAACTATAAGGGCAACGGCGGAAAGCTGTGAATGGAATATAAATACGATGTAATAAGAAGCAATTAAAAGGTTGGACTTATTCTTTCTTGACCCGATATTTATTGACCCAAAATATACAAATCCAACCAACATTTTGCTTCAGGACTATATGAAATTTGTGCTAGGCCTATGTGTATCGCGCGCGCAGAGAGCTGTGGTACCGGAAGGTATCATAGAGAGTTTTGAGAGCCATGAAATTGGGGAATTGATTAATTGAGATATATGGCACGTGCAGTGCACGTCTGGGCTGGACTTGGGCTTCCAGTTCTGAGTATTTTGGATGCAATTGGGTCCGAAAGTGGCCCTATAGCCAAATCAAGATTTGCCGTGCCCTCAAATCCTTCAGTATTTGAGCATATTGTGGGCCATGAGCTTGAGGTTTGTAAAAAATAAGGATGGAAGCCTTGCACAGGACTGAGCTTGTATTTCTGTGAAATTTTAATAAAAATTGGGGCGTCCTAAAAGCCATTTCTCAAAATGGCGAAGGGCTTCATGACTATTTTAAGCGGTGATCATATTCGGATGGAAATTTCTTCCAAAAGTCTTCATTTACCCCAACAAAATTGAAAAGAAAATGAAAGATGATGAGATAAGCTTTAATATGATGTGTGTCTCAAACACCTTTGGGGAGTTGTGAGCGTTTTTCCTGACTTTCTGAGTTGGGGCATTTATCATTGGGGTCGAAGTTATTCACTGGTCTGGCAGTTTATGTACTGGTCTGGCAGCTGGACCCTTCGTTTAAGGGGGAGGGTCTTCTTTGGGTGAGAATTTCTCCAAAAAGTCATCCGTCAACCCACCAAAAATTGAAAAGAAAATGAAAAATAAAATGTTGATCATCATTTTTCTGTGCAGCCTGAACCCCTGTCAGAGTTTTGAGTATTTTTAAAAGAATGTTGAAGTATGGGAATGTATATTATTGGTGTCTTTGGGATTTTCGGGCCTTTTCGAAACACTGGCTGCGTTTGGTCTTTGGCTTAAGGCGATTTTTGGCTCCCGACATCGGGGACTCCAGCTACATTTTAGCATGTTATGGCCTGTTATGCTTCAGAAACATTCAATCGAATGACAATGACTGTTAGAACATTTCCATTTGGTTAGCATCAAGTCGGAGGCAAACCCGAAGACGAAGCATGATATAGCGCCCTCTTTTGATGGTCACCAAAAACCAAAACCTTCGAAAGTGAACGGGTTTCCACACACCTTTTTTGTACACCGCACAATGAGAGAAAGCATAGCTGGGTACCAGCCGAAAGAAGGATAACGGCCACATTAAACAGCATGGCAGCCGAGCTGAGCCCAGGAACACCTGCCAACAGGCATGAGAAAAGCCTCGGTTTACTCACCACAAAATTCGTCAGCCTCCTACAAGAGGCTAAAGATGGGGTCCTCGATCTTAAATTGGTATGTGAGGGGAGTTTTAGCGTGAATGAGGGTAATTTTAGGGATGTTTCCGTTGTTGACAAGGTTGTGTGTACATTGCGGTGCGCTTGCAGTTTGTGTGTATTGGAATGCGGGCCGTGCATTGTGTTTATTGTGCGTGTGTGTATTGTGAATGCACACGACGTACGTAGTCGGTTACGCACGATATTTGGTTCAGTATTTAGCAGGTGACCCGTAAATTATTGGTGCTTTTACTTTCGTCTTTGTCCACTGCATTTCAAAGTAATATTGCAGATCAAGTCAAGGCTAGTGCAGTGACAGTGGATATTTGACTGTGTTCTCTGTTTTTTTCTTTAGAAAATAGAAGTTTAGACTTTGGCCTTGGCTAGTCCGAGTAACTTGGACCCAACTTATCGTCTTTTTTAACATTTGGACATGGTCTGGCGATAGTGGGGTCCAAGCTAATACCGCGACCTGGACAACATCATCCTGTCACTGTCCCAAAAACCAACATTTTCCAACAAAAACATCAGATTTCACCTTCAAAACGGCCTCCAAATTTCTATATGCCACCTGAGGTACAAGTAGACATCGATAATTAAGATGGTTGTACTGAAGTTTACTTACGATCCGGAAAAAAGTGAAATTTTCCGTTCATTTCGGAGAGCTCCCCTCGCGATCTTGAACACGTTAAATTTCCGATCGTGTTTAATGTTTGAACGACGCGATTTCTTCTACATGCCCAGCGTACATTCGATGGTTTCCGTATCCCGAGTGCGATTCCGTTACCGAGCGCGCGCGATGCATCGATTATGATAATGAGTCACGTTTGTAAACACATACACTGTACATGTGCATTTCGAACTGTAAAAGGGAATCAGGAACCAGGGGAATCGGGAACCAGCTTGAAGTGGTACCCGCCATAAAAGCTGCGCTAGTTCCCGACTCCCTATTATCGTTTGAAATGCACATGTGTTTACAAACGTGATCCAGTCTACTCATTATCATAATCGATGCATCGCGCGCGCTCGGTAACGGAATCGCACTCGGGATACGGAAACCATCGAATGTACGCTGGGCATGTAGAAGAAATCGCGTCGTTCAAACATTAAACACGATCGGAAATTTAACGTGTTCAAGATCGCGAGGGGAGCTCTCCGAAATGAACGGAAAATTCCACTTTTTTCCGGATCGTAAGTTAACTTCAGTACAACCATCTTAATTATCGATGTCTACTTGTAACTCAGGTGGCATATCTAGTAATTTGGAGGCCGTTTTGAAGGTGAAATCTGATGTTTTTGTTGGAAAATGTTGGTTTTTGGGACAGTGACAGGATGATGTTGTCCAGGTCGCGGTATTAGCTTGGACCCCACTATCGCCAGACCATGTCCAAATGTTAAAAAAGGCGATAAGTTGGGTCCAAGTTACTCGGACTAGGCCTTGGCCTACTCCCTTTAGTCATGTTAGTTTACTAGCGTCTGGCTGAGTAGCTCTTGACTGGCACAGCACTGTCACTGACATGACTGAACAATAATGTGCAGTGTTTTTCTGAACGTACAAATTTTACAATGACAATCGTCCTCAGGTTGCATGCTTTCATTATTGTTGTGACTTCGTATTTACAAGATCCTGGAGATGGGAATCAGACAATATGCATGAAATGCAATAGGCCCTATGCACTTTCAATGACTTTGGCCTTTAAAATGGCTTGTAATTTGATACCCGATGATGTCATGATGACCTCGGATTTTTTTTTTAACATCTTCGGACTGGGGTTCAACTTCAAGTTCATACCAGGTTTTATCATAATCCCGTAAATCGTTTGAAAGAAACTCGGTTCGTTTTGATTTTGAGGCTTCTGTCTGTATTTTGAATTCACCTAACTTTGACCTTCCAGTTGACCCGGAAGGAAAGGTCAAACAACTTTGACTTCAAATCAAAAATGTTCATCAAGGTATCGTCCATCAGATCACAAAGTATGAACGTGATCGTTCATTTTGTTCATGAGTTATAATTGATGGAAAATTGTCATATATTTTGACTAAAAAATCGCTTGTATTGTAATTTGATAACCGATGATGTCATCGTGATGTCATAGTAATATGCACCTTTCGGGATGAGGGTCGATATATGTTGGAAGTTACAAGTTCATACCATAAACCGTTTAGGAAGAAACCCGCGGAGAGTTATTGTCCGGAAAAAAAGAAAGAAAAAAAGAAAGAAAGAACAAAGATTAATCGAAACAATTCCAGACAGTGGTCGGGTTGTGCCCGACCACTCAATGGCTAATTGGTTTCTAACTTGAGTTGCGTGCTTGCGAACCAGGAGCACTATCCACTAAGCCACCAGTCTTTCAATGCCAGTTGGCAATTTAATATGTTGTAAAATGTAGGGCTAGTTGTATACACGTGCATGAGGACACTATACATCTGCCGGCATAAGAATGGAAAAACAAATGTGAGACCAGTTCACGGCTATTTAAACGCTCCGTTGTATTTATCGTATCTTTGATGATTATGAAAATAAGAAATAAAGTTCTAATTTCTGGCTTTTCCTTCAAACGGCTGGCCTTAAAGGGAATATACAACATTTGCAAACTTCAAAAAATAAAACTACCAAGTTTTTACGAAATACCTTACTAGGATGTTGGTAAATGACAGTCTCAAGCATCTTGTAAAGTTATGGTACCTGGTGTGAAGTCATTTTCAAGAAAATGGTATTTTTGTAAACATTTCCAACGGTGGTCGGCCGACCAGCGTTGGAAAACCTAACTATTTTTCAACTACTGCTCCAAATTTACCATTTTTTTTCAGTCCAAATTTTGTTTGCTATTGGTTACATGTTCATGAACGGGTGCAGGCCAGCTAGACTGGTTCCCTTGCCTTACAATTTTCCATCATCTATAAATTGATCCATTTTATCTTTTGTGGAGTCAGGGAACCATACTACTTGAACATTTTTGTTTTTCTTGGTTTTTCCAGCATTTTCGAAGACAAAACTTCAAAAATGTCAGTGTAACAATATTTGATCTATTATACTAACCCCTCAAATAGTTCATTTCTGAAAATTACAGCAAAAGCCAATGATGTACATTCCCTTTAAGCCTTTTATCTTTTTCAGGGCCAATAAAGCAAGTAAAGTATTCTAAAAAAGAAAAAAAAAATTATAAAAAATTACCATAAAGGGTTTCCAAATGTTACAAATTTCATGTGAGTCCCGAGGCATGGGTATTTGGACAATTAACCCTAACCCACCTCAATCCTCCCAAATCCTCCCGGCATTTTGGAGGATTTTGGAGGATTGAGGGTGAATAGTGTTTGAGAAACATGAGGATTTTGGAGGATTGAGGATGAATAGTGTAGAAGCACTTGAAGATTTTGGAGGATTGAGGGTAAATGGTGTTTGAAGAGGAGGAGGATTTTGGAGGATTGAGGATGAATGCATTTTGAAAGGCAGGACTGTCTGACGATTTTGAAGGATTGAGGCACTGGGTATCCTCCATTTAAACATAAGTGCATTGTTTTGGAGGATTTTGGAGGGTTGAGGATGGTTCCTAACGAAAAGGGCCTAGGGGTTAGGGTTAAGAGTTTTTGTGACATTTGTTCTGAGGTCTAGCATTTAACAATTGTTCTGAGGTCTAGCATACGTAAAGTTCATTGTAATTGACCTGCAGGATTCACTCATACATGCTAACAAATCGTTTGCTTACAGGCAGCTGATACATTAGCAGTACGACAGAAGAGACGGATATATGACATCACAAACGTCCTGGAAGGAATCGGTCTGATTGAGAAGAAATCTAAAAATAGCATACAATGGAAGTGAGTACAAACCCAGATTTATTAATGCCTGAGACAGTTTACCCATTTCTATTGGTGGAGAGCCCGTCACGTGGGTGGTTTTAAAGTTGATAAAACACTTTTTTCTGGTGTCAGATGAAATTTGGGCTCCTATGAAATCTGGCCCCTTTTGTTGGTTGAACCCTCACATGTGACCAGTCACTCTCCTAATTATCTTCACTTAGGCATGCGCTGTCCATATTCCGTAGAGTCCTAAATTCACACTACACCTGTACCGCTGTGTTCTGCGCCACATCGCGCAGTACATGCCACTAGCGCGCCAATCTCCATATTAGGAGATTTTTAGTACTACTCGTGCGAGGCACATACCATAAACATAGCTAGAGGCGTGATTCACAAAACATAGAGTAAAATTGTTGGAAATATATAATTTTGGACTTGTTTTGACTTATTGACCGAAAGGTATTAATGAATGGGAATAAACATGTGCTTGGCCAATATTAAACAATTACGTTTAAAACAGGCTATGGGCCTGGTTGCCAATAAGGGACATTGCCTTCGGCTCGGGCCATTATCCACGTCCAGGCCCCTAGCCGGTTTTAAACGTACTTGTTTAAAACAGGCCAAGCAATCTGGTTCTAGTTTGATCTTGTCATTGTTAATAGCTCTGTACCACAAAGTGTAATCTTTTTCGAGCACAGAGAACATAAAGCTTGATCTCAACCTTGGAAGTTTCACATGCTACATGGCACACAATTTCATGGTCAATCTTTAAGTTCCCGAATCTGAATCGTCTCTCGCAGGGGGGCGGGGCCAGGCTGCAACACGACGGAGATGTCAGACCGGTTAGAGGTGCTGAAGGAGGAACTACGGGAGATGGACAGCGTTGAGGCTGAGTTGGATGAACTGAGGAGTAGGATACAGCAGAGCATCAGGAATGTCACAGACGACCAAGAAAACAGCAGATATCCTTCTTTTTTTTTAATAAAAACTCACCGATTTAACACTTTATTTTGTATTAACCTGACCATCTAGGGTAAAAAGACCATAACTTTGCAGAATGCAGCAGCATGAAAGACTTGTCAAAATAAGAGGCCGGTTCAGTGAAGCAAGATCCATCAGGTCAAAAGTCTCAACGCCAGACTGCCTCAGAGTCTGTGGTCACCAACTGCAGCAGGATACAGCCGTGGCATTGTTCAATGGGACTAGTAGCTCTCATTGCCTTAGAATTGGCAGTTGAGTCATCTGGTGTTGACAGCTCAGTGCAGCAAGGTCCCACAGACTTTTACACCTTATGTGCACAGTGCTGCATCTGGCTGGTTTAGTGTGAAGAGGACACAAAAGATTTCAGCTTCCAAAAGGAAGAGGAAGACCCCAAACAAACAATAAACATTCAGTCAGTCATGAGCCAATGTGGCCCATCAGGCCGGCGTTTGTCTCTGGTTTTCTTAGCACAAATTGACTGAGAATATTTCTGTTCCCACGGATTTGATGTCAGCCCATCGCAGGTTACTCCCCAGCTAATGCTGGTACCCATACATACTCCTGGGTGGAGAGAGGCAAGTCAGGGTGAAGTGGCTTGCCCAAGGACACAACATAAGGTCAGCAGCTGGATTCAAACCCCGGACCCTCTGATCATGAGTCTGGAATACTAACCACTAGCCACACTTTCCCATAATAGACAGTAGTGTAGATAATTTTTTTTAAATGTTTTAAAGCGCTTCACTGACAGGATCAAGCCAGAGTCATCAGAGGTGGATGGGGAGGATAGGAGCAATACATGTGACTGGTCAGCCATGTTTGATGTACACCTCCAAGCGTGGAGGTCTTGAGCAAGTCTCACTGCTGAGTGGATTGTGAGACCAGCCCATTCAATTATATTGTCTGTCTGTATGGATTTAGGTCGGCCCCTCCCTCTTTTCCCCCTCGATTTACCCTCAAGGATCATTACTCCTATCTCCCCTGCACTTCTTCTGGCCACATGTCCAAAGTAATTGAGCTTTCATCTACAGATGGAGGTCAGGAGACATTCATTTGAGGATACTTCAGCTAGGATGGACTCGTTTGATCTTTTCTCTGTCCATTGGACTTGTAGTAACCATCTGAAGCACCACATTTTAGAAGAGTTGATTTGAAAACGGGATGAAAATCTTATCAAAACTTATCTTCCTTAACTAATTCTTTCACGTTGGCGTATGTCACCCATGAAGATCTCTGCAGATGTTTCAAAGGAGACACGTTACTAGCAACCCAAGCCCCCTCAGGAACGCAGCTTCAGGTGCCAGTCCCAGAAATTGTAAGTACAAATTGCAAACCGGAGACAAGAGTCCTGCATGAATGTAGAAAGGAAAAATGTGCTCACGACTTCCAGAGATGAAACTTTTCCGATTTTAATCGGAAAACCGACTTTTTGAATTTTCCAACGAAATTTCCGATTTTTTTACAGTGTGTCCCACAAAATTTGATTTAGTAAGGATTTTTCTCACAAAATGTCATTTTATTTCAATCATAATTTCGAAGAAAAGTCGATGAAAAGTCGATGGAAATGGCACGTTAAAATCATCGCGAACGTAGTTTTAATCTCTTTCTCCAGTCGTTATTGGAGTGTTTCAACTGTAGAAACACAGGGCATAACACTGATCGGAGCCTTCTCCGGCTGGACAAAAGGTTAAACATTGACAGGCGACATGGAAAAATCACTGTGTCGCACGTGCGTGCGAATATATGCAATGGTACCAGCGTACGTACCGCACCGTACCGTCCGCTAGCACATGGCCGGTCGGGAACGGGTATAGCCTTGTGAACGATCCAGTGGATAAAATCATTATGATGTGCGATTTTCGGAGGTTTCAAATTTAGTTATACAAAATGCAATGCTTTAAAATTAATAAAAATCGTGATTATCTCGGGGATAGCGAAGAGAGCATTAGCGAAACACTTCACTGGCATTTGTTGGAAGAGAAGGACGATAATACCTGATTTTTCCCCACGTATGAATGCAAGTGGAGTAGTGGAGTTGTGTGGTTGAATGGACATGATTGAAGCACCATGAACGGTGCCTTTGTCTTTCAGACTTTTCCCTAGACTTTCTCAAGTAAGAAGTGAACTTCTTTATTGATGACTCCATTACTCTAACTGTAATTCTGGCATTTTATGCAATGAAAACACTGACCATTTTTTTCATCGTAAAATTTTGTTTGAATCGAAAATAAAGCAGGAGTAGGTGTCCGGAAATTGGGCATGAAGTGTATTGTAGATGCATGTACGTATGTGTAATGCAGCATGGCCCAGATTTCGGACACGTATTTTTTCTTCGGCATTTTCCGATTTTTTGGCCATATGTCAGTTTCATCTCTGAGCATGAAACGACTGAGAAGATTTCTATTCCCTCTGGATGGGATGCTAGTCCATCACAGACTACTCCCCAGCTAATACCGGTACCATTTATACTCCTGGGTGGAGAGAGGCAAGTGGGGATGAAGTGGCTTGCCCAAGGACACAACATATGGTCAGCAGCTGGATTTGACCCTCTGATCATGAGTCACAAACCCTAACCATTAGGCCACACTCCCAATAAAAGAAACCCCACCCCAAAAATTCAAATCACCGAAGTTGTCTAAAGGGCGTTGTAGCTTTACGGTGTAAACTGCAACTTTCGCGAGTGCCATGTTGCACGTCAGAATGCACATAAACGTGAAATCTGTTTCAATATAGCCTAGTTTTCATTTAAAAATTCCCCAAAAATGACATTCAAAACCTTTCTTTTTGGTTGTCTGAGAAGTTACTAAATAATTTGTAAAGTTGGTTTTCAGGAAAAATAATTTTGGCTATATTTTGTGAACTTGTTTCTCCTGCAGTGCGCGGACAACAAAAAGCGCTACCAAATTCACCTCAAAAGCTACAAGGGTCCCATCTTTGTCACGCTAGTCAACAAAGATGAAGCGAGCGACAGTCCCGTGGTCGTGCCGGTACCGCCCCACGACCTGCAGCCGGCGGTGCTCAGTGGTGGCGGGGTACCGGTGGGGAGCAGGCTGGTCCCCACCGATGGGTTTCCCCAAGAGACAAAGCCGGTGGTGCCCAAAGTGGAACCGGCCCCCAAGCCGGCGGAAGTGTTTCCAGTAACGATCAAGAAGGAGGTGGACGCTAACGGAGCTAGCCCAGGTTGGTGGTTTTCTTCGCCCTGGTAATTTGCTGTCTGAGGTTGTTGTCTGGCTTTCTTAAGCCCCACATATTCAGGGCTGTCCATTTTTCGAATAATTTAGTACTCAATTACTCGAAACTACGTGTGACCGAATATTCGGATATTGAAACTGCCAGCTGCAAGTGCTTGCTGCGCCGGTAAAAAGTTGCACAAAGAGTGTGCCATTAAACATTTGCGTGCGGCAATGGTTATGGGGCGCTGGAGTGTTTCACAGTTAATATTTTATGACTGTAAGGCCCAAAAAAATAATAAGTTGGTCTCTGGTCAGCGCGCGCGTAGATTTTAATCATGTGTGTCGATCTGGGTTTTTTTCAAAATGTTCCGCGGTAGCTCCAACAGCACCTCAATTTTTTTTTACCAAAGAGCACCAAGGAATGGGAAATTGCACCAAGGCAAATGATCGAAAGCACCAAGGCAAATTATGGAGGACACCAATGTACATGAGGACACCAAAAAAGCAAAATAGATACCCCACCTTGTCTGTACAATCCAAGCTTGAAGAAAGAAAAAAAAGCCGCGTTCCCGCGTCAATTCCAGAACTTTGGTCTGACCAGAGACCGAATATTTTTTTTTTTTGGGGTCTAATAAGGCTTTTAACCTAAAGAGGATGTGAACAATGAACCACCGTCAACAAAAAGTGACCGTTGACAAAAAAGTGACGCCTGACAATGAAGCGCCACAACTTTACGAAAAAAATAACATCAAAGTCATCTACATATTATGTGTGTAGTTTTGTTTTTGTTTTCCAATATTCAAACCGGCAAAAAGCTATTTGAATATATGGTTGATGATCGGATATTCAACTATTCGGCATATTGGGGACAGCCCTAACACATTTTGCTGATCCTTTCTTTCTTACAGTAGATAGCCTTAAGGACATCCCCACCGATATGCTGTTTCAGCCAGGTGAAGATTCCCTCATGGATACCCAATTGTTAGATGACCTCATAGCTGGTGAATGTGAGTATATTTTCCTTCAGTAATTTTAAAGGTGCATACCTCGTGCTCTTAAAAGCTGGGTTTTTTGGGGCGCCTGTAACCCTCTGAAAAAGGGCTTTCATTTTGCGCGCAGATGAACCTGCCCTGCGAGAGCCGTATTTTTGTCTGATAACAAATAATTCAAATTTTGTGAGGAAATAATTTGATGACTAACTGTCGGTGGATGTTTTTTCGTTCGATGTCTCATTCCAAAGTGAGCAACTTTTATATTGCTAGGAAGATAGCAATTGGAGGGGAAAATAAATGATTTCGAGGTAAAACTCGAAAATAGTACGGGAACGCATCATTAACCAACCTCGTGGAAATTGTTTCATGTAATATACATTTTAACCTTAAACCTTACCCCCAGGCCCATTTTGGCTTGGAACAATCCTCAATCCTGCAAAATCCTCCAATTGCCACATTGTAAAAAATTTGATTCAGCCTCAATCCTCCAAAATCATCCGTTATATCTTGAATTTGTTCAGTGGAGGGGTGACCATTGCCTCAATCCTACAAAAATTCACCGACAATAACTGTTATGGGTTGAGGCAGTGTCGATGTCATTCAGAAGCAGTGCGGATGATATCGAGCATAATGCAGTACTTGGTAATGCATGACTGAACATAAACAATGCTGGGTACAGCCTATAAAGTCAACACAATGCATCCTCCAAAGTCAACAACACTTCTTTGCCATTCCGCCTCAATCCTCCAAAATCCTCCAAAACTGCCAGGCAAGGGCGGATCCAGAACGCAATTTGGGTCCCCAAAAAGTGTGTCTCATTGCCTGCCTTTATTGCAAAGTCACTAAAATCACTAAACAAATATTTGTTTGGGGGGGGGGGGGCAATGGCCCCCTTTGGTGCGCCCCCCCCCCCCCCCCCCCCCCCTGGATTTGCCCTTGCCGCCAGGAGGATTTTAGAGGATCGAGGAGGTTAGGGTTAAAAACTAGTTGATGCCACATTGGGTACAAATTCACCCTAACTCCCTGGGCATTTTTGCTAGGATGTAACCTCAATCCTGCAAAATCCTCCAACTGCCTCTATGTAAAAATAGCATACAGCCTCAACCCTGCACAATCCTCTGTTATTTGTTGAATGTGGTCCTAGGGAGGGGTGACCACTGCCTCAACCCTGCAAAATCCTCCGGCAATTTTCAATATGTTGAGGTAGAGCCAGTGACCTCCTGGAGCAGTGCGGAGGGCTTCAAGTAAAATATTATATATAGGCCTAAATTTATGCATGGCTGAGCACAAAACAACACAAGGTCTGGCCCAAAACCTTGACAAAGTGCATCCTCCGAAATCAGCCATGCATTTACTGGTTTATTTGTCTCTCTGTGAAGCGTCTTGAGCGTCAATTTTTGACTGATTTGGCCCTCTACAAGAATTAGTTATTAAGAATTAGTTATTATTAAAAACACAAGGTCCGGCCAAAAACCTTGACACAGTGCATCCTCCAAAATCAGCAACACACTTTTGCCATGTAGCCTCAATCCTGCAAAAATACTCTTTTTTGCAAAGAAGATTTTGGAGGATTTGGGAAGGTTAGAGTTCAAGATTCTTCTAAGATCCAGACATCAGACCCTCTGTACCTTATACACTTTATAGCAGGGGTAATAATCAAGTCTGTCTGTTCCATCTCTACAGCTGGCTACGTGCCATTCCTGAGTCTCTCCCCCCCACCTGGTGAGCAAGACTACTACTTCAACCTAGACGACAGCGAAGGCCCCTACGATCTGTTCGAGATTGACATACCGCTTGCGGTGTAGCTGTCAACACGTATTCTTTTATTTTTTTATATATCTTTTTTTTTCCGAATTGTCCAATATTAAATGTTCCACGACCCTCGGTTGAGAAGAGCTGAATAATATTCTGTACATGTTGTTCTTCACTACATAACTATGCTGCATGTATAGTTCTGTAGTTATGCAGTAAAGATGTGACTTTGTGTTGAATTTTGAAAACGTTTCGCAAAACGTTTAAAATACTGTTTAAACGTTGACGACTACCCATTATGTCTGCTTTGCATTCACATTCACCTTGAGATGTGAACCGGCCATAGAGCTAAATTAAATTACTAGAGCGCTAACTCGATGTACAACGTTATGCCCGATGGGCACATCCATGTTTGTACACAAATCTTTGGAGAACTAGAAATTTTGTACGTATTTTGTACGTCTATTTGCATATCTGCGTTTGTATTCCCGGTTGCGTTATCGAAGCCAAAACACCCAAAACCGGAACACACGATCAGCAAATGAGCGTGTCATTTTTCTCTACGCAAACAGCATAACGCGTGCGCCTATTCGCTGCAGATGCTTTTTGCCGTGACGTTTTTTTAACTGTCATGACGCGCTTAAGTTGTTTGCGTATGTTCTACTAGAGTACATGTAGCGTTGCATGTAGAGTACTCTTTCAAAATTCAATCCATCTAATTTCATTGTGTTCTACAAACACGCACATGAATTCAAAATGTCTGCGCTCAGGACGGCTTCAAAGCGTCTCCGCACGAAAGAATGAGGAGTTAGCACTCTAGTAATTTAATACAGTCGAGTCTCGTTTATATAAACTCGTTCGGACCTAGCCAAATTGTTTGTTATATCAGAATTTTGTATTAAGAGGAACATCAGTCCCATTCATTGTGCACATAAATGCACAGTCGGGGCCAAGGCTTGATGTTTGTTATAACCAGAATTTTGTATTAACAGAGTTTGTACTAACGAGGGTCGACTGTATAGCTCTATGGAACCGGCTGTTATGTGGGAATAGTGTCTATTTTGGTAAAAATAGGGAGCCAACCTTTTTTTAATAAAAGAAATTATGACTATTAATTTTTTTCTTGTGAATTTGCAGCAGCTGTTTGCAATGATTTTTTAGCAGATGTGTTGTGAAGTTTGCTTCGCTAAATTTTGGAAATTCCTATTGATTGGAACAATCATGACTTTTTTTTCCTTTTATTTTTTGATTGACAGGGATGAAACCAAGCTGCATTGCAGTGTGTTAAGTTTGGATCTTCTTTTGCTTTTAGTTAAGTTTTAGGTTAAAATTTTAGTTTGTTTGGTTTTATTTGCATCATACATATTATTGGGGTTTTTTTTAACAGAAATCATTTTCTCAAACTGGAGCAGTGGGGTCCTTTTGTCAGTTTTCAGATTAGGATTTTGTCTAAACCTGTTTGAAATGATTTGGTGATAAATAAGAATCTAAATTTACCTGTTGAAGACATTCAAAACAATGCTTGTTTGAAGCATTTCATCCTGGGAAAAGCCACACAAAGGGGAAACGTTGCTACATTTTCTCTGGTTTTTTTTTTACTGATAGAAAACACTTGTACTAAAACAAACACTGGTGTAAAAACGGAACAGCAAATAAACTCACAAAGTGTGAAACGAAAGATCAAGAGGGTAGTTTATCATTTTCTTTTGTGGAGTTGATTAATATTGTGGACGGTATGCTTGAATAATAATGATAATGTGTATATATAAAGCGCACATATCCACCAGTATTGGTGCTCAAGGCACTACATCATTATTACCCTGCTCATTGGTCCAATGAAACATTCCAAATACCATCTCAGCTCCCTGGGGAGTCGATGCTGCCATTTTGGTGCAAGTCAGTTAGTCTGTCACAATATAAACCATCTCTGCCCTCACAGGTACCCAACTTACTCCTGGGTGGGGAGAAGCAATGAGTGACAAAGTGCCTTGCCCAAGGGCACACGCACCACAACCCTGACTGGACTCGAACCCACAACCTTGCCAGCAGACCACAAATTTGATGCTCCAGACCATGAGGCTATGGCACTGCCTTGCTGGTAACTCAGGTGGCCGTCTTTGTTACATGAATAAAGCACAAAAGGTTCCTCAAAGCTCCCCAAAATGCCCTCTAACTTCACCTCAGTGCTCCCCCTCTGTCCATCAAATTCAACACAGCTGTCCCAGCAGTCAAAATCAATCAAGTGACTGTTTTTAACGGTTAAGAGCTCCCAGCCTATATAAAAGCAGGATTGACTGGCTGCGACTTACGTAACTTGATACAGCTTTGCCTTGACAGTAGGTGATTGATAAGCCAACTGTGCCAACCAGTTACTTGCTTTTGTCTGTTGACGGAATTTGACTGGTCGCAGTGCTTGCTAGAAATATGATCTGACTGTTGGTGACTAGCCTCATGCAAGTGCTACCTTGCTTTCGTTCAAATGTTACAATTCCGTGAAAAGGGGAATGTTCCATGCCGCGAATATGTATCACTTAATTTTACCCAAGGCAAAAAACTAGGTCTACTTGATTTTTTTTTAATTGAAAAATTCCGGTAAAATTCTTAAAAGTTCAATGACTATTTTTTTTTTTCAAAACTGGTCCTTGAAAGTTTGTGGTTCCAGTAACTTTGATGTGTGCGCTATCTTTGGAAAAGAATCATTTGGTTGTGCCGGGATAGTTCAACAAAATATTTATTTAGCAAAAGCTCCATCACGTACTACTTTATAGCCTATGTATTAGTCGTCACATCGCACGTCGCGCATTGTAGCGGCGTGCGGCTATCGGCAGATGGTGTATACAGGGTGAGTCAAAAAGAAGTTGACCGGGATTGGTGATGTTTTTGAAAACAAACAAATGAAACTCAAAACCCCAGTGAAGCACATATTAAACAAGCATTCTTTTTTGCTTATCTGAAAAAAAAGAATGAAACAAATTGATCATTCCTAAGAGAAGTTATGCCTGTTTTACTGAAAGCTTTCATGTTTGTAGCTGTCCATGGAATGTTAATGTACACAGCTAAAATGCTTACTTTACATTTGTTTGTTCAAGTATTCCGTGGACAGCTTGCAAAATGAGTACCTTTATTAAAATAGACATAACTCCTCTTAAGAATGATCCATTTGTTTCGTTCTTTTTTTTCTAATAAGCAGGAGAAAGTGCTTGTTAAATATATGCTTTACTGAACTTTTGAGTGTCATTTGTTTGTTTTGAAAAACATCACCAATCCCGGTCAACTTCTTTTTGACTCACCCTGTAGTCTCCACACGATCTGTCCGAAAGACCAGGGCGACGCAGTGATTGTAAACGCCACTTTATGTGCCCCCCCCCCCCTCCACCAGGCCAGCTGGCTACGCAGTGCCTGCCCTGGCTAATTTTGGGGGCAGAATAAACTGTTTAAATCCCTAATTATGAGCATAATTAGAACTTAATAAAAGAAAACTTTACCGATTGCCTCTTACAAATTAGACCCCAGCTAGGCATAACTTAGACGATTTTTTTTCCCTCTATCATTGATCAAGGACACCCGTCCCCGTGCCAGTCACGCCAACAGTTAAATATGTATCGTCAGAATATCCATTATTTTTGGCATTTTTGACGTCATGGTCTCGGATGATAAGTACTGGAGGTGTAGGCCCTATCGAGAACAGGATCAGGAATTAATAGGACAAAATACTTTACTCTTAAGAGTTATATCACACCATGAGAAAATTACCTTTTTCAGTTAGGGGCGATACTTGTGTCAATATATCAGTCGTGTGGTCGATGGTGTCGGTCCGTCAGTCGGTCATTCTCGTCTCCCCCCCCCCCCCCAATGTAGGCCGTATATGTTTTGCATATATACAGCCACATGGTTGCGAAGGTAAAGCGTCTGCCGTTGATGAGCAAAGCTAATCCGATTACGTACTTAAACGCTATAACAGAGCAGTGAAATTCATGTGCCCCAAAAACATGGCCTTTTGAACGTTGTGTTTCTCACTTCTCAGAAAATATGCTCAGTAGCCTATGATTGAAATGTTAAATTAAACGGAAAAAAATTGTAAACTTCATGTCAGTGAAAAAATCGCCGTCATCGATGCCAAAACGTCAATACTGGTTACTGGCCAGCTGACCTTAAAGTCGGGAAGAAATCGTTTGAAAACTTCCCCAAATCTATGTATTATCTCAATTTCTAGGAATCTACTCAAGTTGTTATTTCACGAGTAGTTGGACACTTATATCATCTAATTATATTGCGAATTTCAGCTTAATATGTTGTTGCAAACGCTAGTGTTACACCTTGAACCATCTCCAAGGAAAATTTCGACGAGGATTTTTTTCCCGACCCAACCCACGTCATGGTTCAGCAAAGCCCGATTGACCGATTTTGGCCCGGCCACCCAATGACGAAGGGCATATTAGCATATTCATTAGCGTCACTCGGCGTGACATGGCGTGGGTCTCTCGGTATCGACCAATGGAAGCCGGCAAAAAGGGTGATATTTATTAATTAATAACTCGTGAAGGAGGCTATTACTTAAATTGTTACTGCTAACTATAGTGGATAGGAACCATATTAATATTTGTGAGGCTTGAAAAGAATCAAAGATTGACAGATATTGCAAACGCCAGTGTTACAACTTTCAACAGTGCACGTAGCCAGGCCTATTTTTCCACTTTCAACGAAAAGTAATGAACATACCACAACGAGTTTTAGCAAATACTTGAATCATTATAAGGGAAATAAACCCTGAAAGTTGTATGAAGATACGATCTTCCAAACGGAGAAATTCGTTTTCAAAGATTTCGCCCGCCAACGTGAACATAACGGTGTGCATGTAGTAGTTTCATTCAAAATAAAGTGTTACGTAGCCTTTAGAAATCTGCCCTTCGCAACCACACGCAACTTCGCAACCTCCATTCCCCGGGCCGCGCCGGTACATTGTCTTCACAACTTAATTTGTATTTTTTTTTGATTTGGAAGTCGTCAACATACTAGTAGATATCTCAGTTCGATTTTGTATAACGGCCGGGTACGGGTACGGGTAAGAGTAAGCCGGTCAACCCCTTTAAATTTCCCGGCCCAGACGATGGCACATGTTTTGTTTTGGGTTTTTTAAGTCTGCATGGCATGATGAATTAACTTACCATGCGTTTTTTTCCCCTATACATTTTTTGATGTTTGAAAATTTCTTCGAAAATAGTGCCCACCAATTAAGTAATAGCCCCGAAGAAAACTTTTCTTGCACTTAAATGCAGATTTATTTGGGGGATGGGCGGTCCGTCAATATTTTTTTTTAGACAGGTACTTAAACCAGTCGAGTTTTTAAAGGTGCATTTTGTACATTGAGTGCTGGGTTTCATACCTAATATTACTGTTGAGGGCGCCCTAGGATGACGTTATTGATGCCACGAGTTTGGGGGCGTTTTACTCAGCCGGTGTCTCAGGACCTATTTTTTTCTGTTCTACTTTCTGAAATTTGGTAATATTAAAAGCGAAAGTCGTTCAATTGCATCTTTTCAATATTATTGGGACATTTTCAGATCAACTGACAAGATTTAGGAGTCAGACGTCTTTCATAAATTTTGGCGAATTGATTTAGAGGTCAAAGATGGTGTGATGCGGCAGCTGTCGGCCATTTTGACGAGAAGGTGAGGTTGGAACTCGGCTTCCAAAGATGAAAGATAAATAAATTTAGGGGTAATTTTTTTGGAAGTTGAAGGTATATTCTGACCCTTGCCGAAGGTGAGTGTGAATTTCATACACGTGTTCGCACACTTTGGAATGAATTGCAGTATTTGATGCGATTAAGCTGATTTTGCTTTACGAAATACCCGAACCGGGCAATGATTTAGCCCGTGCATGACCGGCCGGCTGCCGAATCGGACCGGTTGTGTGTTCACAACAATGTCAATGTGCACAGTGCAGAAAACCAGGGAGATTCTTAATCGCCCATAATGCATGGAACCGAAAAAAAGGAAACAAAATTGTTTTAAGCAAAATTGGATTATTTGCAGAATGCCCCACACCTCGACAATATTAATAATAAATATCCCAAAATGCTAGCTGCAGTTGAGTTGGCAAAAAAATGGTCGGGGGAAAGTGTTCCCCCGAGTGGCCATGCCCAAGGTAGCCCCATAAATGTGGCCTATTTACTGGACTAGGCCTACCTCTGTAAACATAGGCCACACATCCACATGTACAAAAACGTGTCGCACTTTGCCAAATTTTGATTTTCACATTTTAGGCTTAGTTTGTACTTATTGTAGGTTTTTTTTGCTTTAGAAGCATACTCACCCTCTTTATATAGCATGTATAGGCTAATCAGAAAGTGCTGCCCTTTTCAGATGTCAATTTTTCGTGAAATTTCCAGATTCATTTGCACACGTTTGCGTATCAAAATTTCAACATGAAATTTCACAAAAATTAGACATCTGAAAAAGGCAGCACTTTCTGATTAGCCTATAAAAAGGGTGAGTATGCTTCTAAAGCAAAAAAACCTACAAACTAAGCCTAACTGTGAAAATCAAAATTTGACAAAGTGCGACACGTTTTTGTACATGTGGATGTGTGGCCTATGTTTACGGAGGTAGGCCTAGTCCAGTAAATTGGCCACATTTATGGGGCTATGCCCATGGTGGTTATGCAATGTATGCGGATTTGAAGCCCTCTGCAGTGAAGCGCGCCCTCTTGTGTGCGCTGTTCATCCGCGGTCGCGTGTTGCATCCGGGCACCTCACAGAGCGCCAAAGATTTTGGGGTAATCCTTACTTTTAGGACACCTCTATTTTTTACAAGTTCTGTTCAAAACTGACTTTTGCAGATGACTGTCCAGTACCAAAGTGACTTTTGCAGGCTAGAGCAGTCTTTTTTCTTCATATAAACACATGTTAGTTGAAGTTTTGAAAGCACTTTCGAAAAAAATGTGACTTTCCTACCTTTTTTTGCAGTCAGACGTGCATGTTGTAGTTCTCACACGTGTGAAAGCCCTACATAATGAAAGCCCGATGCTGATTGGCTGCTAAAAAAATTAATTAGTCTGGTTCCCAGACCAAAAGATTCTGACTACTCCTGAACCTTTTGGTCTGGGAACCAGACTAAAAATAAATAAGTCAGTCTGGTTCTCAGACCAAAAGATTCTGACTATTCCTGAATCTTTTGGTCTGGGAACCAGACTAAAAGTAAATAGGCCTAAGGTGTTTATTTTTTATCAGCCAATCAGCATCGAGCTTTCATCACATTGAGCTTTCACGTTTGCCATCTTGGTTTTTGAGTCTGTTTTCTGGTTGTCATCATCGTCTTTTACCCCTGAATTTCCCTCATAAATCAAAGCCCTGCCCTCTTTCCACAAAATTAAACCTGCTGATATTCAAGAAGGTGTCATTGCCAATTGTTCAGATGTGCCAAGAAGTATCAGAATGTCAATTTTGAGTGTCATTTAGTCAACTGTTTTGGTGAGTCTTTCCCTTCCTATATAGGAACGGGGTCCTAAAAGTAAGATTACCGATTTTGGAATGACAGGCAACAGCCGCGGTGCGCTTTGCCAAAGTTGACGCACGCTCAGTAGATGATTAAAGCTCTTGTTTGGTTCCCTGACCCCTTTGGCCTCTTGACTATTATTAGGGTGGCCGGGAAACATATCAGCGACGCCATGATTGCTCAAAACCGTCTGCATTCTTTGACGAATTACCATGATTTTTGGATAGGGCCTAACTAGACCTCTGAAGGTACCGAAATTAAAGATTTTGTGCTATTTAGCAGTCATACTATAGCTGGGTTGATTTTCTGCTGACAAAATAATTTCGATCTTTAATTAATTTTCGGCTCCCCTAGCAATGGGACGCTCCGTTCACAGGCCATACGTGGCTCTGTGACTGATATACAGAGGTAGTCCAGTATTTCAGTCACATTTATGGGACTGGGGGGGGGGGGGTGCCACTTTCTCCTTTTTTTTTTGATGACTGTTACACCCGGTCGTCATCCCCCTCCCCCAACTCCCCCCCCTTCCCAGGTTTCTCCACCTATACCATGGGCATGGCAACTACAGTGTGTAGATCCTTCTAGATAATCGTGATCATTCAATCCTGTTACAGTGAAACCTCGATAAGTCAAACATCAAGGGAACAGGTTCAAAATTTGACTTAAGCAGAGTTTTGGGTAATCCTTATCTTTAGGACACCTCTATTTTTACGAGTTCTGTTCAAAACTGACTTTTGCAGATGACTGTCCAGTACCAAAGTGACTTTTGCAGGCTGAAGCAGTCTTTTTTCTTCGGATAAACTCATGTTAGATATAATTTTGAAAGCACTTTCAAAGAAAATTGACTTTCCTACCTTTTTTTTTTGCAGTTTGCCATCTTGCTTTTTCAATATATTTTTCTGTTTGTCATGGTCGTCTTTAACCCTTCATAAATCAAAGCCCTGCTCTCTTTCTACAAAATTAAACCTGCTGATATTCAAGAAGGTGTGGTTGCCAACTGTTCAAATGTGTTAAGAAATATCAGAATGTCACTTTTGAGTGTCATTTTGTCAGCTATTTTGGTGAGTCTTTTAACCTTATATGTTCAATTAATAATATTCCTCCTTCCCTTTCTTGTTACAGTATTCCTGGTGGTTTTCTTTCTCTGAGGCTTGTAACACACTCGGCCAACCATGTCCGTTCTCCAGGCATTAGAGGAAAAGGTGAGATATAGTTGGAAAGGGAGATTTAAAGTTTTTGAGACTTGGCCCCACTGATGTTTTTTAGTATTAGGTATTTAACCCTAACCAACCCAACCCTTCTAAATCCCACTGCACTTTTTGTTTGATTCTGTTGGAGTAGCCTACTGCACCAGTAAACTGAAATGCTTTACATGGGGCCAGGCATACCACCTTATTCAGAATCCAACAGTTTGGGTGTTGAGTTGCCTTATGGTGTTGGATTTTGCAAGAGTGAGGAAGCTTCCTAGTAAATCACTCAAGGGGGTTAGGGTTAAATATCTAATAAGCAATGTATTGGAAGTGCATTAGTTAATGCTCACCAATCCAAATTAAATCTATCAAACAATTTCCAACACCAGGACATGCATGAAAGTTATGGATTCAGGATTGTGGAAAAAGAGAATCTGTCAATGTTGGACCATGGTTAGGCCAAAAAAGATCAATAATTCTGCTTTCAAAAAGGCATGACTGACCAGTTCACAGTGCACCGCGCGGCCTGCCATGCATAGCCATGCTAGCGCTATGTGCTAGTGCATAGCTTTGCACAGACTGGTTACCGCATTTTCATCATGTCTTCTAAATTGGCCCGTGCGCGGCGCGGCGGGAACCAGTCGTCGCTGCATTGAGCTAGCATTACGCACGTGTCACCGCGACATCGAATTGCGAAGTACATGTAGTTATTGCGAAGCGATTTTGTAAAAACAACGGAGGTTTCTTTTGAAAATAAATAGTGTGTAAGTAAGAAAACAAATAAATACAAGCATTTTTGATGCAAAAGGGTTGTTAAGAGGTATTTTGTGTAGACAGAAAAGACAACAAGATTTCTTGTTTTTTATTTATTCAAAATTTCAATCATTAATTTATTTTATTTTTTTGGAATTGCGGATAAAATTTTTAGGGTCGCAGCCTAAAAATAGGGTCGGGTAACCGGAAGCAGAAGTATATTTTTTTTTTGGCCGCAACATTTTTTTTTACTTCTCATGAATGCCATTACAATTGGAAAACACAGTACACAGTCTTGTGTGGTTTGGAGTTTCCTCGTTTTTTTTTCTAGATTTCCAGGTGCATGCCTGGGTGAATAGTTCTATCCAAATTCTGTGAATCAAAGGGGTCAGGTTTAAGCTTTTTAGGGGGACATGAGTGCATTTTCATGAGTGTCCTTACATGATACAGAATGTTTCAAATTTGACACATTGATACAGCAGTATCCTGGTGAGGAAGGGGAAAGGTTTGTAATGAAAGCTGCCCGGTTTCTCTCCAAAGTAGTCCAAGACCATGTAGCCATTGATAAGGTACACAAAAACCCTGGCAGTTTGGCATTTTTGAATGACTGAAGCATGATGATTCCTTGGATGCATGCCTCAAAAACAGGCACGTGAAACGGAAACGAATTGGCCGTTAACTTTATTTCCAGGAGTTAAAGTATTGGGAAGTAGTGGTTAAGATTTTGCAAAGTTGAAAATGAAAGAAGTGAAGTGACTGATTCACTTCCGTGTAAATGGAAAGCAATTTGAAATTTACAGCCAACGATCCTTCTAAAAAGAAGGTTATTTGGGCAACTTTCTTAGGTGCTGTGCATTTTCGACTAATTGAATATTCAATTATTTAAACTTACATTGGTATTGAGGTAAAAACTTTATGAATATCGTATATGTATCAATTTATTTTATCGAGAAAGCTGACGAGCTGATATTTGATAGATTTTAAGATAAAAGATGAAATGAGGCCTGTAAAACCACTCAACGTATGTGAATAAATACATACATGTACAACATTTGCAAACAGCAAAAATGAAACTACCAAATTATTATGAAACACCTAACTGGACTGTAAGTGAATAATAGTCTCAAGCATCCTGTGAAATCACGGTACCTGGTGTGCTGTCATTTTCAAGAGAAGTTGAATTTTTGTATCAATTTCCAACTAAGGTTGACGATGACTTGTTTTCAAACTTGCCCACAATTGACCAAATTTAGTAAGTCCACATTGTTTGCAATTGGTCACACATCCGTGAGTGGGTGCAAGCCAGCTAGTCAATGTTTCCTATAAAATGCTAGCCCCCAAATCCATGGATCCATTTCTGAAAATTAAAGCACAAGCAAATGTTGTATATAATTCAGGGTTGGAATGGAGTGTCAGTTGGTCTTGTGTGCAAAGTGTGTCTATTAGGCCTATATAATTCTACTCCTTTTTTTGTTAATAAAACGTAGGCCTCTCATTGTTTTTCATGTGGAGTTTCTTGCAAGTTGTATACTGTATGACTATATTGGACATGTTGGAGTGTCTATTTTGAACGTGCAATTTATTGTTTATTTGTTTTTTTTGTCTGAATGCTGCGTTTGTGTTCCTGCCTGTTTTCCTGACCCTTATAGTGTTAGAAAGTAACCTATGTAGAAACCATTGAAACCGTAAGTGCAACTTTGACGTGCATGCAAAAATTTCTGTATTTTCCATCAGTGACTTAAAACGTGTATGTTTTTGTGTGCTTGAACATGTTCTTTTTGTTGAAACTTCTATCATCTATACTTCCTACACACGGAGTGGGCAGTGTATAAGCATATAATACATGTATGTACATTTGTACAGTACATGTCACAATTTAGAAATGGAGAAATAGCATGTACATGTACGTGTATTATCTTGCAGGATTGAAACACCTGTGCAGCCCACCCATAACAATTCATTTGTCCCTAACGTTCTCAAGGGGCAATTTTTGGCTTTGCAGTTTCCTGAAATGGGCCAAAGTCTAACACTATATGCAATAACCCAGTGGCATGTTGTGTAATTACATACATTTGAACATCATGTCCTCAAAAATGTGGCACTTGACAAAAAAATAAATATCACTCAACTTATACAATTTAACAAAAAAATAACCTCACGAATGTTTCTTGTCATCTTTTTGAGACAGCTCACATTATTCGATTTGGTTAAAAACTATTCAGATATTCTTCGGATGATTGAATATTCAGATATTTGGCATATTCTGCGCAGATCTTTTAACATGTACCCCAACTTGAGACTCTGGCTGTTGCATGTGCCAGGTGCATGACGGAATCGTGAAGTTGCATGTGTCGAAGCGTTGTTTCCAATTGTCATTCGAAGCCCAAAATACCTAGTTTAAAACAAAGGAACAACATAAGAAATTTGCGTATTAGATTTTGAAGATCATAAGAAGTGTGCAAGAATTGTGATTCATGAAGATCCCTTTTGTTGACCAATATTTGTGATGACCATGTTAACCATATGCATTGGAAACATTTTCATTCTGTTCAATCATACCAAGCCCATATATTTGAATCTTATATACATGTATAAGGAATACATGCAGGCACACAGTTTAAGAGTGCCATTAAGGATATCACCAGTAAATTTATGCCCTTCATAATCTCCATGTACATGTATGAATGATCAAACTTTGTTCTCCACATGCATTACATGTGAACTTGTATAGAATTCATTTTTACACGTAATATTTTCCACACATGGATATTCAGTTTACCCATTGAAGTAAAATCCCACTGGCAGCCTGTTATTAAGCTTACTCCAGATGTTTATTTATGTTCAAAAACCATCAGATGCCAAGGTCAGACCTGAGGTCAACCGCTCCAGACAGTTTGCTTCACGTTGTTCAGTACAGTATGCATGTTTTAACAAGAAATCTAACAGAAAATGGTCATAGTATAAACAACTAGGACATCTTGGGTTGACTAGGTCTACTCTGGTATCAACTTACAGAAAAAAATGGTATCCAAACATGATTTATTATTACATGTATAAATCCTTAACCCCACCCCAAAACTACCCATCTAGGCAACTTGATGTACTTTTACTTGATTTGGGGCTTGATGTGCAGGTTTCCTCGTACTATGGCAAAGGTTGTTCCTCACACTTGCTGCACAGTGGATTGTTCTGGTGGATTGAGGATTGAATAGGATTACATGTAAAATATTCAAACCCTAACTAAGAACCTTATATATAATTCATAATGATGGAGTAAAACCAGTAATGTATTCTTCATATTTTCTCAAAATTAACATATCAAGCCCCACGTAAAAAGAAAAGCTGGAGTTCACAATTCAAATCCTAGAATAAAAAAGATTCTGGAGTTGGGCATGTTTTGATGGTATAGGGTCCATGAGATGAATATGTATTTAAGAACACATTTTGTTCAACTTTCTACTCCTCTTTAATGTATGAAAACTATTTGACATCCCTTTATGGTAAATTTTATGGAAAAATGCACTTCTTTAAACAATTTAAATTTTCCATGCTTTTCTGGACAACTGAGGGCGCTGTTGTTGTGATGTCATTTCACTTGGAAGTTATGGCTGCCTCAAGTTCGCATTTATTGGCATGTCAAAAAAAGGAAACCACTGAGAAAAAGACCTTTCAAGTGTCGAGTTTTGTATTCATGAAAATTAAAGATGCCAAATGTTTCTCCTTTCAAACACATTTTTTGCACGATTTTGAAACTACATTGTATTTATTTTTTTTAAAGGGAAAATACAACATTTGCAAACATCAAAAAATAAAACTACCAAATCATTTTGAAATACCTTGCTAGACTGTTAGTGAATGACAGTGTAAAGCATCCTGTAAAATCATGGCACCTGGTATACTGTCATTTTCAAGAAAAGTGGTATTTTTGTATCAATTTCCAATGCTGATCGGCCGATCAGCGTTGGAAAAAAATGGGTTTTTTTTTTCAAATACTGGCCCCAGTTGACCATCGCACTTGTTTGCAATCGAATAACACACCTATGAATGGGTACAAGCCAGCTAGACTGGTTCCCTGACCTTACAATTCCCCAATATATGTAAACTGCTCTGTTTCTTCTTAAATGGAGTCTGGGAACCAGACTACAGGAAAATGATTGTTTTTCTTGGTTTTTATAGCATTTTCGAACCCAAAACCTAAAAAAAGTCAGTGTAACTATATTTGCTATATATTTCCAACCCCCCAATTCCGTCCATTTCTGAAAATTACAGCAAAAGCAAATGATGTACATGTATATGCCCTTTAAGTACATGTATGTGTAGTAGACACCAATGATTACAAATATCAATAAATCTAAAAATGAAAAAAAAATAGGTCGTCCCCATTCGGTTTTTCTGGCATTTTTCTTGGCTACGTTCCGTGCTCAGTTCCGTCTCATTTTGCTGGAACACCTCAGATATGTGTGTTATGTACAGGCTTGTTCAAGAATATGCGTACATATTGTTTCCATACATGACGACACCTTTAATATACCGGTACTCGTCATGAATATGACATATAATTTTCATGAATACTTTTTTTATGCACGTATACGTGTGATTGTCACTTAAGAACCATATGTAACCTTCTCCATCCCTTTATGGAATTCACAGAGTTGATGAAAAGGTTGCAGGGCATAGCTATATATATGTACCTGTACAATGGACATGTAAATGTGCAGGAGTCTCTGAATTCTAATGAATAGGCCTATGTGTGAGTGTACATGTAGTTCACACATTCTATCTGAACATTGCTGCAGCATCACTATCAACGGCTGTGAAAACAATTGTCACTTCCAAGAGTTAACCCACAGTGAATTTTATGGAGCCTGAAATTGAGGTGTCGCTGTTACATTTATGTATACTTTAGATGGTTTCATTTTGAGTTGGCTTTTTTTTTTAATGAATTTGAGTGTTTATTGAAATACAATTCAACACGAACCCTGAGATAGCCTCCCTTGATAAGGCATCGCACGTGGACATTCACCAGTTCATGGAATTTGGCCTTTGGGTAATTGCATTTTATCACCCCCAAAACTGGCTGCTAGTGTACATTTATGTTTCGATTGCCTGCGTATGTAGTTCCTGCTTTATGTTTTGCATGGCATTTATAGTGTGCATGGTTGATATTGAATATTGAGAAATTAATTATTTTTTTTCGACATCAGCAATGTTTTGACCATAGTAGTGGTACATGTATGTTCTAAATAACTGTTTCATCTGTAAAAATGTGTCTCAGACGAACGAATAGTGGTGCCACCTCTGGAACGAAAAAAAAACTTGGAAACCACAATTTTAATTTAATCACGTTTCAGTTCTTTCTGTGTTACATCTATGTCTTCTGAAATATCCCCATTGCTCGTTGTACCATATTTTATGTGTTGTACATCGACTCATAATGCATTTGGGTTATTCTGCTCATAGTGTTCACTGTGTATAACATTTTAAAATAAACCCCCAGAAATAGTTCCTGACATAGAATTATTCAGTGTTAGTGAGACACAGGTGTTTCTAAAAAGCAGTATGCGGGCGGTAAATAATCTGCCACGCACTGATTAACTCACGTTCTTATCATAAACCATCTCTTATTCTAATGGAATAGGTTTCTAGATTACAAAATCCAGCGTCAGATTACCTATCAGTAGCTGAAATCCATCATGCCTAAGTCTCACGACTCACGCACACACACATCTCGTTGAACGAGATCTGCCACTAATGCTGTCCCTTTCACAGTCTCAATTTCTAGGCTTCATTTTTTCGCACATCCAAATTGTTGGACGCGCCGCCACAATCTTGCCTCCGACCACTAACTTCGACCGACAGTCTTCCAAGAGCTTAATCAAGAAGCTCAATCTCATATCCTCTCCTAGTCTCTTTCCTTTGTCAAGATTCTTTTGGATTGTAGGTGCTCCTTGCCTTTTCTTTGAATTATCTACTAAATAAAAAAAAAGATTAAAGGGGAAAATTGGACATGAAACAAAACTTGGGCAAAAACGAAACCAGCTCAGTCAATTTTGAAATTGTAGGCTGTTCTTACATTTAGAGTGTCTCAATTCCTTTAAGTTAGAATTATTTCGTTGGCACTACAACATTTTCTTGAGTAAATCTGTCTTTCCATAGCAATTTTACCAAAATGTGGTAAATGATTGCAACTGTATTACCTTCCTACATTCCATGTGTAAAACAAATGCATGTAAAATATTTTTAAACTGAGAGCAGTCTTAGGTTTGTAACACTGGAGGGTCGGTTTAGAAATAAATTTAATCCTTCTTTTTTGTTTAACTGATTACTTTTGATTCCTCCATCCCATATCCTTACAGTTGTCCAAGATGCCGGCTCCGATGAGGCTCAAGGATCTGATCAGGAACATCCGGGCGGCGCGCACGGCTGCAGATGAGCGGGCGGTGATACAGAAGGAGCTGGCCATCATCCGCAACTCGTTCCGTGAGGAGGACAACACGTACAGATGCCGCAACGTGGCCAAGCTGCTATACATCAACATGTTGGGCTACCCGGCCCACTTCGGGCAGGTGAGCTGTGGTCTCTTGAAGGCATAGGATCATTTGCTTTTCGTTAGATTTGTTCATTTCGATTAATAACAAAATCAAATATCAAAATCCAAAGAAGAATTTTCAAACCTCACCAGTTGAAGTTTCAGCTCGGTGGATATTACACTTATGCACAAGCTTTTGATCACGTAACACGATTTCATGAACCCTAACCACCCCCAACCTTTCAAAATCCAACTCCATGTTTTGTTGGAATCTGTTGGAGTGAGTACTGCACTAGTAAACTGATTATGCTTTACATGGGGTCAGGCACACCACCATAATCAGAGTCCAACAGTTTGGGTGTAGATTTTACCATATTTTAATGGATTTTGCAGGAGTGAGGAAGGTTCATAGTAAATCACTCAAGGGGGTTAGGGTTAACATGGTTAATGGTACTCTTTTTCTTTTCTTCAAATGATGAGTCAACTGACTGATCCTGGGAAATCCTATGTTTCTTGATTTCTTGTAAATGTCAGCGAGCCAGACGGAATAATTTCATGGGGTGTTTAACCCTAACCCACCTCAATCCTCCAAAACCCTCATTGCAGTTTTGGAGGATTCTTGAGGATTGAGGATGAATGGTGTTTGAGAAAAACGATCATTTTGGAGGATTGAGGATGAATGGTGTTTTAAGCACATGAGGATTTTGGAGGATTGAGGATGAATGGTGTTTGAAGATCAGGATGATTTTGGAGGATTGAGGATGAATGCATTTTGAGGCAGGACTGTCTAATGTTTTTGAATGATCGAGGTGTTGGTTATCCTTCATTTGAACATGAGTGCAACATTTTGAGATGAGAAGGTTATTGCAGGATTGACGTTGAATGCATTTAGAAGCAGGACTGTCTACAATTTTGAAGGATTTAGGCATTGTTGTAAAATTTTGAAAATTTTTAGAGGACTTTGGAGGATTGAGGATAGTTCCTAGCAAAAAGGGCCAAGGGGGTTAGGGTTAATCCACGATCTTTAATCCAAATAAACTTTGTGATAATAATTCGCTAGGTTACTTTTGGGATAATACCGGTACGTGTAATTTGTTAGGGTACTTGTGGGATAAATGCAAATGATCCTATGAGCTACCACATGCTTAGTGTCAAATTCTTACAAAACTTGACTGAGTCTCAGTTTTTGGTTGAAGAAATACATTTGGTAAGCAGTTAAAAAATAACTGATGTTCGACATTAATTTTGCCCTCTAGAAAAAAAATTCGTGCTTCTGTTTGAAGTTCCGATAAAACATTTTTTACATCGTCTGTGCGTCAAGGTAGTGATTGATTAATTATAATTCGCTGTGTATATTTCCTGGTGCTTTGTTTCTGTTCGCTTGTAATTTGGGGCATACATGTATGTTGTTACAGAAACGAAGAAGGGTTTCAATTTCATTTCCTGTTGCTCGTCCAAAGATTGGAACTTATAAGCCTGCATATGGCTACTAGATGTGTACTTCATGTACATGTACATATAGTCATTAGACCCATTGTGTTATTCCGCTTGTGGTGAGTTCCACGTTGTGGAACGTACATTGCACAATTCAAACTTGTGTGCAATAAAAGTAAAGTGGATTTTAATTATGATAAAACATATCATTTAGTTAATTCAATGATTTAAAAAAGAACTTATTCAGCCAACTTCTTGGCTTTAAAAGAAATGAGGTCGAGCACCATGGTATCAGACGTACTAAGACCAATGGAATTTTTTTTTTGGTGTACTTGTTAATTAATTTGTCAGTTAAAAGTACATGTAACAGCTAAGCTGCTGAACATTGCTGGAAATAGCTCTGTTTCAATATTATACAGATAAAGACATGCAAATCGAAGAAAGTGACTTTATTTTTCTGCGGCCAAGGATTATTCAGAAGTAATTATATGCAATTCTGACCTATACAAGTCGCATTGGACACTAAGTGAATCGAAAACAAATTACGTTTTGGAGGTGGTAGGTACAAAAAATTAGGTGAATCCTCAGAAATCAGATAGGGACACGCTGAACGGATTCCGACCTGGGCCACGAAGGTTGGAAGGAAAGTACCAATACATCAACCCGAGTCCCCCTTTAATTCAACCTTTTCTTGTGTTTTTTTTTCTTTCCCAGCTGGAATGTCTGAAGCTCATAGCGTCCCCTCGCTTCACCGATAAGCGCATCGGCTACTTAGGAGCCACCCTTTTGTTGGATGAGCGACACGACGTTCATTTACTCATTACGAATTCCATGAAGAAGTGAGTAATGAATGGAAGGCCTTTTGAAATGCAGAATACTGCCAATCATTGGCTCAAAATCATCTTCTTCTTTTTTTTACTTCATTGTCTCCTTCCTACATATATGTAACATGTACGTATATTGTCCTGCAGTTAATCATCCGTCCATTATTTACATACAATATCACATGGTTACATGTGCATGCCTGGTAAAAAAAAAAGCAAACAATGAAAACAAACAATTAAAATGGCATTAAAATTCAGATTTTAAAAAAAAATTCTCCCACCACTAAAAAAAAATCATAGGTGCATGTACCATTAAACGAGAATTCTTGTCTAAGTAATTTTTACAATTTTTCTACGCTCTTACATAGTTAATTAACACTTCATGAGAGAACACCTAGAGGATTTTAAAGTGGTTTTTTTTTTATATTGCACTGAATAAGGATGCATAAACAAAATACCTACTAAGCGTCACTTTTGATGAAAAAAATGTAGCCTTTGCTAAATTCCCGCCATGCTTCACATGTACACAAACCAGTCACGGCCATGTGCCACTGTACCCAGAGGTGCTAATCGGTGCTCTCCACAGCGACCTAGCTAGCCAAGTAATGTGATTATTACTGTGTAATCAAATGAAGTTCTTCCCAAAGTGTGTATCTACATAGCTGTAGATTCTAAGAGATGCTGAGTGCGTTACACAATTTGAAATATCTACAGTTAAACTGAGTGGCTTTTAAGGGATTGAAATATGAAATAACAGCACGGAACCAAATTTTCAAATTGAAAATCTGTTGATTTTAATTTGGTGGTGTTTTTTTATTTTCACGAAATTGATCAGTATTACCTTATTAAATGTTACAATCTGATGCAATCTGCTATTTTGACTGGCCTGAAATATCGTCATGTCAGTGCAACAAGGTCGTAAAGTTCTCCATTCTGCAACAAAGTCGTATCTCGCGTGAATACGTTCCGTGCAACAAGGTCATATCTTGACGTCCATTGACTTTGTGTGTACATCCGGGGTATTTTAACCCTTACCCTACTAGACCCTCCAACGCATGCCAATATGTGCCTCAAGAAAATCTCCTATGTTTTTTGCATGGCCCTCCAATATCTGCCATGTCATTTCAAGGGTAACTGGACAGGCACTCCAATACATGCCACAGAGAACAATGAGAGTCCTCTGATAACAAAGTGAGTGCCCCCAGCTGGTCAGTATCAGGCACCCTCCAGGGCCTCCAACTCCTGCCAATTGGAGCCTTCACTGTTAAGACAAACTATCTGCCAATAAACTGCAGCTGGAGGGCATTGGCATAACAACTGACATGCAGTAAACTACCCTCAGAGAGTAAGGGTTAAGTCAGATACGACTTTTTGACATTCTGAAACGCACGTTTCACGTCCGGCCCATTTTGGGAGATACGACCATGTTGCACGGACACAATGATATATCAGTTGTTATTAAAGCTAGATGACTGACATTCTGTTGACTCACACAATCAGTGCGGGCAGTTTTTGCTGCGATTGACATTTCGAGCAATTTTACTTACTGTTAAAAATTTCATGAATTTCAAGTGATTGTTTGAAGTTGAACAAAGAAATTGACTGGAGCGGGGTTTGAACCTGTGACTTGTAGATTGCCGTTCTGGTGCTCAACCAACTGAGCTATCCAGCCCTGTGTTGGCTGTTTCCCCATTTTGTCAGTATCGTTGTTCAAGAGGCGCTAGTCAGAAGCCGTAATAAATCGGTATATGCCATGTAGCCAGGGATCACGCCCAAAGTCATGATGCTAGCAACAATAGCAATACTGCAAACCTGGGAAATAGAAATTTGAAATGAGTTGGATCTGAATGTACAGGGTTCTTGTTAATGTTTTAGATTGGGTGCTAAACAGACGCTAATGTAGTTCTTGATTCAGTTTTGTCCTTTGCTCACTCCGTGTAGTGAGAATAAAATTAGAGTTCTTGCCATGATATGGCAGATTTTGAAATCCCCATAGTTGCATCGCTGTTGACTTGTATGAAGTACAGGGCTATTCTCATTTTTCAAGCGTAGGTGATGACTAATTGTCCACAAGAAACCAAATAACTAATAAATTTTCGTCTCTCCCCCGTCTTCCTTGCAGTGATATGGAGCACAACACCCAGTACATCGTAGGCTTATCGCTAAGTTGCTTTGGCAGCATCTGCTCACCGGAGATGAGCCGTGATCTGGCCGGGGAGGTGGAGAAACTGCTCAAATCCTCCAATGCCTACGTCAAGAAGAAGGTGGGTTCTTACATATTCACAGCATCCAGTATTAGGGCCGGTTTATAGTGGGTCACGCGATGATAAACGTCTGACGTTAATGGTCGATGAACACTAAGCCTTTATTGGGCAGTTTATAGTCGTCACGCAGCAGGTGTAATCATACGCGCTACGCGCAAAAAACAACTGAAATGTGACGATCAAGCAGTGCTACTGCTGAATATGACTACTCTCGCTCTGCCAGTTGTTTGATGTTCATCAATGTCTTGTACAATGTACCCTTTAATAAAAATCTGAATGCATTGAAAATATTAGGTAAATAAATAAATAAAAGAAAGACATAGAATGTTGATTTGTGATGTTTTGCCCTTCATGTTCAGGTAGAAATTTGACAGAAATATTTTGAAATTTTTTTTTTTCGTTAAGTCAGCCAACCTGCTAATTTACCAACATTGCTTTTCAAAAACAGGGATAAGATCTGTGTTGTATTTGCATATTCGTTTTATCTCACAGATCAAGCAATCCTATTCATTCAGTGATGAGATTGAGGTCAGGGACCATGTCAAAATTCAATTATTTGAACTCTGTAGTGACGTCGCCAGCGTCCTTCGGCGACCAGTTGCTGGTGCTTCAGCGACAACTTTAAGATGACCGTGCGTCAATTTTTCACTGGCACGATCATCGCTTGACCGACTATAAACTGGCCTTTACTCTCAGCATGTTCCCAGCTAAGCTGGGCTATTTCCTGAGTGCAAAGAGTGACCAAGTTATTTGATTCTGTTTGTCTCTCTCACAGGCTGCCTTGTGTGGTGTTCGAATCATCCGGAAAGTCCCCGAACTAATGGAGATGTTTATCCCTGCTGTACGCTCCCTTCTTAACGACAAGAATCATGGTCAGTTAGTTTTCATTTAATGTTCACACTGTCATGAATTTTCTAAATCCACCTCTCTCCAAGAAACCAGTCCTTAAACCCATCGTTTCCATAAGAAATAAAGTGCCTCCATAACAAATTGACCACATTCCCCCCCCCCCCAAAAAAAATCTCCACTTTTGAAATTTTCAAATAAACACAAGGGGATTTCAAATAAACCACAAAGTATAATTGACTGGGTGCATACATACAAGTATATAAAAATAATAATAAAGTTGAACAAAGAAGCAAGTTTTGAACCTAACTCCAGAGTACCGTACCGGCACTCTACAAACTGAGCTATCCAGCCCTATGTTGGCGGTTCGGAAAGATGGCCATACCTGTCCATCACTAATTTTTCCCTGCAGTGACCTGTCTGCCATCAGAAAGTGATAAAATGTCCTTAAAAAGACAAATTTAGCAATAAACTTTCATTTTAAACGTTAAAACAGCACCGTTTAAACCTTACAACGTTTAGCCACTTCACAGAGGCTGACACTTGCCCCGGTATGTTTTCACTAGGGCATGTTTAAAAATAAGTCATAAAACCTAAGACAGTTTACCCATTCCCATTGATAAAGACATGGCTGGCTGGTCTTCAACACTTTCACAGTGTCACATGAAGTTTGGACTCCTTTGAAATCCAGTGCCTTTTACCGTTTTATTGGTCGAATGTTCACAATCTTCGCGTAGGCATGGGCCTACCAATGAGTCAGCATTTCATAGTCCTAAATTCACAACGCACTCACCACAACTGCATCTGCGTGTCATCATGCAGTATGCGCGATGCATGCGCCAATTTCCATAAAAAGAGTTGTTTACGTCTTACTCGCGAGCTGGACACTATGTGTGTTGATCTTGTGCCAGCGGCATGTTGAAAACATCAAACAATAAAATTGTATACATTGTATATCATTGACACAATAGACAGCCGGCAGTCATTGAAAAGATATAAACTTAACTGCCCAGAAAGTGATCTTAAGTACTCTGGTGCTTCTAATACTTTGTAAATTAAGTTGGTTTAAAGGAATCCCTAATTCTTTGTAAAAGGGCAGATAAAGCAAATGTAATCTCAGTGTTTTCATAATGCGGGTTTCATTCAAACTTCCCGAAAATTTGTAAATGGATTTTGATTTTTGACGGTTCAATGTGTAAACGTCACATCCTTACATTTGGTAACATGGTTTTATTACTGTGTCTTTCCACAGGTGTTCAACTAACGGCGGTCGTTCTCATCACAGAAATGTGTTCACGGAGCCCCGAGACTCTACTGCACTTCCGCAAGGTGGGCCAAAGTGTCATCTCAAAATAAATCCCACATCGTGTTTGGATTCTGAATTTAAAAATCTAAAGAAAAAAGAAAAAAGGAAAAAAGTCATATGGCTCTAGGTACACGTCCCACTACCGCGTGATCACCGAGGGATCACCGAACTTACATTTTGCCTGTAAAATTGGGAACCAATTTAGTTTCTTGCCCCAACAAAATAAGTCGTGAAGAAAATTTAAAAAAATCAAAAGTTTGGATATAAGGTTGACTCATCTCCATTGAAATAACTGTAAGTTGCGTTGCCAGAACCAAAAGTGTTTCCTTTGTTCATTTTATATCATCGAAAATCATAACCAGTCATACATAAAAATCCAACAACATTGAGAATAATTTATTTTTGTTTTTTTTATTCCGTCTTTTTCCTCCTCAACTTTGATAATTGCTCATTCCCATAACTGACACCCAAGGTTAAGGAGGTACGTGTTGAAGTGGTACTGTCAGCAATATTCACCCATCCCTGTCCCCTGTCCGTTCTTCCATTTCCTTTTTTCCCTCCATGTTTTACTTTCCATACCTGCTAATGGTGCTTTTGTCTCTGTACAATAAGTGTTGTACTTGTGCACTCTCTTTCTCTGCGCTAAATGTTTTGAGAACCCAAATTCTCTGAATCTGAAAGCATTTTTTGGCCCTCATTACTGTTCTGCCTAGCTGAGTCTCTTTTCATTCTGAATGTCTTTCTTGAAGGGACAAACCACATGCATTTCAGGCTTAAAACTGGTTTCTAATAATCCATTCCTTGTGTTTTTTGGGGGAGAAGTCATGTGCAAACTATCTCGAGTATTTGAATATTTGGTCATCCAACGAAATATCTGAAAAGTGATATTTTTTGCTCCCCTTCAAATATTAGAAAAATGTGAGCAGTCTCAAGCAGATGAGGAAAAACGTCCACCATGTTAATTTAATTGTATTGGTTGTGTGGTTGCATTGTTTGTCAAACATTGTCAAATGCCACGCTTTTGACAAAGCCACTTTTACACACATAATTCTAGAAGCGTCTGTGAGAAAAATTATCTCAAATTTCTTCTTTGGCCCTAACCCTGCCAGACGCAGCACAGTGCATCAGGTGTAAAAAGAACTGGTACACTTTGATGCAGTCAGCTACCAACACCAGTGCATAAACAGCCAGGTCTGAGACACTGAGGGCTATAAAGTCCAAATGAACAATGCCAGAGTTGTATCCTGCTGCGTGGGGTGCACACAGAAATGCTAATCGATGGCCAGTTTAGGCTAGTCTAAGGATCAGACATTCACGCAGGCAAAGCCACGATTGAACGTCTGATTTATCATAGCATCTAAAGCTGTGGATTGGTCAATTTGGATGCCATGTTTTTGTAATACAACAACGGGTTATTAAAGGAAGACCAGATAGAAGGCGCTCGCTGAAATGGTCAGAATCTCGTGGTCAAGACGCAGACTTGTTTTGCATTTAATTGCCGAATCTGCACGCATACCAAAGACCCTTGCTGTACAAGGGGATAGTTAGGCTGGTTCTTGTAAAACTTGATCAGCGCATTGTGAATATTCGAATATTAAATCAAGTCCAAATTTTTGGCTTCTGACTAGCGCCCCTTGAACAAAGATATTGACAAATTAGGGGAACCGCCAACAACAGCTGCATAGCTCAGTTGTTAAGAGCACCGGACAGTTATCCGGAGGTCATAGGTTCAAGCCCCACTCCAGTCAAATTATTTGGTCAGATTTGAACAAAAAAGTCCAAATTAGAATAGTTGAATACTAAAGTATGTGAAAAATGCACAGCACTACCACTGGCTTGACAGCAGGATTTCTTGTTGGGTGGGAATGGATGCATGATATTTTCGGAACGGCGACATCCACTGACACTTCATGGGTGTGGACTGGGTACATAATTCCGCGAACATCTTGAGATTTTAAAGTTGGTTCCTGAGATATTGTTTTATAAATGGACATAGGAAATAAGTGTCAATATTATAATTGTTTGGTGAAGGGTTTATTTGTCTAGTAGTGCACCCACCACCCTCATTTGAAAATTTTGGCTTTCCCAACCTTTTCGGTAGACAACTGCACCTTTCCAACCCCTTGTCCTTGTGCCTTGGTGTTGTTTTGTCAACAGTCTTCAACTAGAAAGCAACCCTTTCCTTTTGACCGTCATTTGAGTTTTAAAGCAACACATGTTACTTTGTCTGTGTCAGTCATCATGTAAAACCACTGCACACATCCTCAACACCCAATTTCCCATTTTATATTTCAACCAATAATGCAGTTGTGGAATTATGGTTATTTCAGGGGTGAGATGTTTCATGATATGTTCCAGATTTGTGGATTTGTTAAATGCCTAAGTGAGATGTCATCACTGTATTTTTGTATCTGTTTTGTTCAAAAATGTATGTGAAAGGTTTCCAAAGGGCACTTGTGTGAGTGCCTGTCTAGGCAACAACATACATGTACCAAAAATACCAAAAATAAACCCTTTGTTGCTCTGGGGTTCTGTTACAAAAATCTGTGGAATTTATTCCCCCCAATCTCATACATTTTTTTCTCTGTTCTCTTTCCTCTTAGATTGTGCCAAACCTTGTTAGAATACTTAAGAATCTCATCATGTCGGGTTATTCGCCGGAGCATGATGTGTCCGGCGTCAGCGATCCCTTTCTTCAGGTGAGATTTTTCTTCTCCTTTTTGAGTTGTGAAATTCAGTTTAGTTATGGCAAGGGAAATGAGTATTAAGTAAAGAGCTTGCTGAATTGAATCTCAGAAAATAATTGGGCCAAGAAAAAAAATACCCGTGTTTATTGTTTACACACCCAACCTAGAAAATCACGCAGAACCTTAAATCTTTTTATTAGAAAAATATGTATGGTGCCGCCCCCTCCCCCCTTTGTTTTTGCGAACATCGTCCTGTATTTTTTTCGAATTATATATCATTTTTGGTAAGTTGGTCAGCAGTGTGATCTTGCTTGGGTGTGCAGCAAAGTGTATAAGCATCACAGCAAAACACAAGAGTTTGATTCAGAAGTTAATTGTTAATACTGCATGCAAACACAAACAAATTTAAAACGCGATGACTTGTGATAGACTTGTTATGCCTGTAATGGACGTGATAGCTTGTGAAAGACTTGTGAGGAACATTATGATGACTTATGATGACTTGTGATGGACATGTGATGACTTGTGATGGACATGTGATAACTTGTGATGGACATGTGATGACTTGTGATGGACATGTGATGACTTGTGATGGACATGTGATGACTTGTGATGGACATGTGATGACTTGTGATGGACATGTGATGACTTGTGATGGACATGTGATGACTTGTGATGGACATGTGATGACTTGTGATGGACATGTGATGACTTGTGATGTACATGTGATGACTTGTGATAGACATGTGATGACTTGTGATGGACATGTGATGACTTGTGATGACTTGTGATGGACATGTGATGACTTGTGATGGACATGTGATAACTTGTGGTGGACATGTGATGACTTGTGATGGACATGTGATAACTTGTGATGGACATGTGATGACTTGTGATGGACATGTGATGACTTGTGATGGACATGTGATGGACATGTGATGACTTATGATGACTTGTGATGGACATGTGATGACTTGTGATGGACATGTGATGACTTGTGATGGACATGTGATGACTTATGGTAGACTTGTGATAGACATGTGATGACTTTTGGTAGACTTGTGATGGACATGTGATGAACATGTGATGGACGTGTGATGGACAAGGGATGAATTGTAGTAGACTTGTGATGGACATGTGATGACTTGTGGTAGACTTGTGATCCATTACAAAATACCTCCACAACACTGTCATTAAGTTCTTTGATACCCAACAAAAATAACGATTAATCGTCAGTGCCCGTATAATCCTGAATACACATCGATACTACAATTCACCCCAGGTCAAGATCCTACGGTTGCTGAGGCTTCTGGGCAAGTCGGACATGGACTGCAGCGAGGCGATGAACGACATCTTGGCCCAGGTGGCAACCAACACAGAGACCAGCAAGAACGTTGGCAATGCTATCCTGTACGAGACGGTACTGTGCATCATGGACATCAAGTCGGAGAGCGGGCTGAGGGTACTGGCCATCAATATACTGGGCAGGTTCCTGCTCAACAACGACAAGAATATCAGGTGCGCTTACCCTTTGGCTTGGCCATCAGGTTTCAAATTTCAGTCCTGTTAGTTATGTCACACTGTCACAGCCTGTCCTGTGACTTCCACGCCACATATTCCATTGAGGTAATCTTCTGTGGAGTATGAATAGCACTTCAAATCCCTGCACAATTCTTTCGTGTGGTTAAAGGTAGAGTATATCATTTATTGTTTGTTCATTTTTTTTTTTTTTTGAAGCAAAATCCACAGAAGGGTGCTTAACAACTTACCTGATGGAGTTTTGGCTCAGTGAATGCTGTATATTCTGAAAAAACAATATTTAGGATCTCGATTTCAATTCAAAAATTGCCGAGTCATGTTTTGAATTTCACCCGAAATCAGTGTCCGGGACATGTTCTCTTTCAGCCGATTGCAGCTACGCAATGTCATGCGCTGAACCCACAAATTACCTCAACGGCGTGTGCGTCGTGTCAACGCTTGCGCGCACCCATTCTTGGACTCGCCCAACTACAAACCAACTACTAACGGAAATTTCCCAAAATGTGTCAATTGACGCATCTTTGGAAATGGCCTTCTTTTATTGTTTTCTTCAAAATGACAGCATGCCAGAAAGAACAATTTCACAGGGAATTTAGGGCATTACTATCTTTAAAGGGAATATACATCATTTGCTTTTGCTGTAATTTTCAGAAATGGATGGAATTGGGGGGGGGGTTGGAAATATATAGCAAATATAGTTACACTGACTTTTTTGAGGTTTTGGGTTCGAAAATGCTATAAAAACCAAGAAAAACCAATCATTTTCCTGTAGTCTGGTTCCCTGACTCCATTTAAGAAGAAACAGAGCAGTTTACATACATTTGGGAATTGTAAGGTCAGGGAACCAGTTTAGCTGGCTTGTACCCGTTCATAGGTGTGTAATAGATTGCAAACAAGTGCGATGGCCAATGGGGGCCAGTATTTGAAAAAAACCCAGTTTTTTTTCCAACGCTGGTCGGCCGACCAGCATTGGAAATTGATACAAAAATACGACTTTTCTTGAAAATGACAGTATACCAGGTGCCATGATTTTACAGGATGCTTTACACTGTCATTCACTAACAGTCCAGCAAGGTATTTCAAAATGATTTGGTAGTTTTATTTTTTGATGTGAATTGCAAATGTTGTATTTTCCCTTTAAACTAAGTATCCTTTTCAACAATAATTTTGTCATGTGATATACTCTGCCATTAAGCTCAGGGCAAGCAGCAGATTCAGTCACGCTTCACTGCTCTCCTCAGTGCTATTTTGTGTGTGCAGTGACTCTCTGTGTAACGCAGTTATTTAACACTTCGTATCCCTTGACCTTACACTGACCTGCAGGGTTTAAAGTGTTATGCATATTGCTCTGAGTATTGACTTTCCACTGGTAGGGTTACAAGATTTTGCTCCGTCATTCCATGCTTAGACTTTGTAGATTTTGTGACAGGCTCTTTATTTTGCCAACATGACAAAAAAACACTGATGTCAAATTCCTCTTTCCTTGCAGATACGTGGCTCTTAACACTTTACTCAGAGTTGTACAAAGCGACATGAACGCAGTACAGCGACACAGAAGTACTATAGTGGACTGTCTCAAAGATCCTGATGTCTCTATCAAAAGGTACGCTCCCAGCAACAAACAGATGTCCAAGATTTCCCCAATAAAAGCACACACACTCTTACGCTGACGGATTTGCTCAAAAGCGAAATTGTGATGGAGCTTTCCATTCAGAAAACTTCAACTTTTTGTTAAATGTTTGTAATTGCAGCATTCTCAAAACAATCTGTTCTAGTTTCTTTTGAGAAAGTATCATATTTGAGAAAGCCTTTGAAAGGAGCAGGACCATTTCAGGTTTTTCGACACTTTCTTTTGAAAGGCATATTCGTAACTTTTATTTCATTATGAGGGCCTTAAGACTTGAATGGCCCAAATTTTTTAAATGCATAGGACCCAGGAATCCATAATGATGGCCAGTAGTTATCACATTTAGCAGTATTTCATCGATAGTTATGAACTTTTGCCGATTTCAACAGGCGTGCAGTGGAGCTATGTTTTGCCCTCATCAACGGTAACAACGTCCGCAGTATGGTCAAAGAACTCATCTTCTTCCTGGACAAGGCTGACCCTGAGTTCAAGGCCTACACGTCCTCAAACATCATCTCCACCTGTGAAAGGTGAGCCCATTATTATTTTTCTCAGACACCGGGCCCCAATTTCACAGATCCGCTAAGAAGAAAATCTTTCTTAGCAAATTAGTGTTGCTATTATTATAACCTCCGCTAAGGAGGTTACGTTTTCATTGGATTTGGTTAGTTTATTGGTTTGGTTTCTCCGTTAACGAGATAGCTCAAAAAGTTGTGAACGGATTTGCATGAACAATTTTGTAGGGGTGGTCCTTGGTGCAAGTACAAATCGATTAGATTTTGGAAGTGATTCGGATCTGGGTCTGGATCCAGGATTTTCTCAAGGATTCTTCACCATATATGCGAGTATTTCTTGTGGGTGTACTGACAATGTGGCGGGGAATTGTTTAGCCTTGGCGGAGGTTTGAGCTCTCTGAGTGCTTTCTAGTTATTATTATTGATTTATTGATTGATTGGTGGATTGATTTATTTATTTTATGGCAATGAAAGTGCCCTAGGCACTGTAGCGCGCAAGCCTGAAGGAACCTGTAGAGAGAAGACTATGACAATTTTTTCCCGAAACAGTTCCTACCTGATTCTGTGGGTTCCCCTCGGAATATTCTGGGGAAAACCCACGGAATCAGGTACAGGCTGTAAACCCAATCCACATGTGGACCAGGGCAGGAATCGAACCAAGGCCATGGAGGTGGAAGGCGAGGACTGCACTAACCTGACACCCCCATAAGATGGCAACCAGTCACAAGTTATATACACTGCCTGAACTTTTGGCCGATGCCTTAATTTCACTAAGCAATTTCTTTCCCTTTTTTTTCATTGGTTTTTTGTTTTTGTTTTTTGGTGCTCAGTTCATTTTTTATGTTTTGTAGTTCCCTGAAATAGCAGCTCAAATAATATTGACAAACAAAACATTCAGTTTAGGAGACTTAAGCACTTTTTTAGGAATCACTTCCCCAACAGTCTAAATTCTGCTTGGAATTGACTCTTTTTGATATTTGTAATCGGCAAATAGGCTTTAAATTATCAAGTTTGAAATACTTTTTAAAACGTGAAAGAAAATGGTGGACATATGATGCAGTTTTAAAAGAAAACAAGCTCGCAGGGGGACTGTTGGCTACTTTGAAACTTCAACTGCAATATTCCATGCTAATTCGTATTTACTTTGATACATAACTTCACACACATTGTCTTGATATTGTAGTCTTGTTTATTTAAATTTTTGGCATAAAACTGGCTAAGAAACGACGCTTCTTAATTTGCGATGACCAAAAGACACATCGTACCTTGCGACATCTTAAAAATAATTGTCAAGGAACTTACGACACATTCAACACGTCGTAAGTTTTTGAAATGGATCATACAATGCGTTGCAAGTTGCGACGTGTTACTCGTCGCAACTCGAGTTATGACACGTAGCAGCGCTTCGTGAAATTGGGTGCAGGACAGTAGACTCAGTAGCCATTTCGTTTTACTGATTTTCGTTTGTTTTTGTCCTCCGTCCCCACAGACATGCTCCCAACAAGAGATGGCATATAGACACAATGATGCGAGTCTTGACAGGAGCAGGGAACTACGTTCCCGAGGACTCGGTGGCTAGTCTGATCCAGAACATCTCGGAGTCCTCCAGCCTACACGGCTACATCGTACAGCAGCTCTACAAAGGCTTGAAAGAGGACATCAGCCAGGTAATGAGGAGAGGGAATATATGATGTGTATTTGTTACTTGACCTGGGGCCGATTCACGAAATTCATCTTATCTTGCAACTCATCTTAGCACTTAAAACGATTCCCCGATTTAAGATCGATTTTAGCTAAGACATGTCCTCAGACCGATTTCTCACTAAACCCATCTTAAGCAAGACCCGCCAAAACTACCAATTTGATGGCTGTTTCATGTTCGTGTTTACGGCTTGGCTGGTTAACCAACTTCCTGTGCGCGTATAGAACAGCAACTTTTGCCAGAAAAATTACTCCATTAATAAATTTCACACGTAAGGTTCAGTCATTCTTGCTCCCCGTTTCATCACTCTATTTTAAAAAGTCGACTAGGTGTCGGCGTATAATTAAGAGTTGTTAAGGCCAAAAAAAAAAAGTCTTTTTTTTTCTTTTTACCTGATTTTTTTGCTTCAAATGTCGGCTGATGACTGCAAATGGTGCCCGACTAAACTTAGTGCAAATATATGGGAGTCCAGAGAGGCCACATAAAGCTTATTCTCGACCATAACCCAATCTAAAAACAAGTTAAAATTGTGCAGCAGCATGATTCCAGTCAAACCAGTGAGTTTGGCGGTTTTGAGACATCATCTTTCACTGAAAAAAAAAACTTTTTCATTTTGCCGACGCGCATGGCTACCGCGACGCGCGCGCATACCAGAAACCGGAGACTTTTTGTTTTTGGCCTAATACATACATAGCTATTTTCATTATAACTTCCCAAGTATCAGAAATCTTTTCAAATCTGTTTCTACAGCGGTTTTCTTCCTCGAAACTAAACTGTAGGCCGACACTAGTCTTTAACGGCAAAGATTTCCAGACGATAACTATACAAATTAACACATTATGAGATAAGATGACCCTCAGGCCGATCTTAAGTTAAGACAAGTTCAGCCGTGTTGCTGAGGAAGTTAAGACGTGTTGAACGTGTCTTGAAAGTTTGGTGAAATCGATCCTTGGACGAGTCGCGAGTTCAAACAAGTTTCCTTCCTTAGATGCGTCTTGGCATTTCCTGAAATTGGCCCCTGGACGTGTTTAGTCTGGACTCTGAAGGCCTGGATTGGAGTTCCAGGCCGCCCGAATCACTTAGCTATGGCCTGCAGTAGTACACTTACATATTGGAGGTGGCTTCATCAACTTCCATGGGTGAATCTATCATTGCAATCTGTGGCTTAGTAATGTGACTGCATCTGACAAAAAATATGTCTGTATTTGTGTTTTCTTCTACAGCAACCACTGGCTCAAGTTGCATCATGGTGCATGGGAGAGTACGGCGACCTTTTAGTGGGCGGAGCTATCGAGGAGGAGGAGCCGGTACAGGTACGTACCTACTACGTCCCGGCTTTAGACTTGGACCACCTCAAGCAGAATGCGTATGACCCTGGCCAGACAGAACCTTTACAGGTTCGTATCTGTCGTTGCAGTCTCCTGCCTAGGCTGCTTAACACTCCCGCTGCTGCTGTGGTAGTCTAGTTCACACATTAACCCTAACCCATGTTGGTTCATGTGAGGAACCTTTCCGACAGAGTTGTATGACTCACGGCTCGGACTCTAGTCCGACTCGGGTCCCATTTTTCCGTGATGACAAATGACTGGGACTCGACCCTGGGGACTTGGACTGAGACTCCAACTCGACCTGCATGACTCAAGACCTGCCCAAAATTACAAATACAGTGGAACGTCGCTATACCGAACACCGCTATACCAAACATTCGGCTATACCAAACATCAGCCTTGGCTCCCGATTTTTGTGTAGAAAGACCAACCGAACACCGTTGTTCAAAAATGTCAACAGAAGAGCGACAAGTGGCTATTATTTCCCCAAGGAATAGAAGGGGAAAGCCACCCATCGATTAGCCGGCATGCATTCACAGTCGTCTTTCAGTAACTACCAGGGCGTGCAGGGTGAAGTTATGAAGGCCGCTATTTATTGAAAAGTGAGTACCGGAGCACCGGCAGCTTAAAATCGCTATAGCGAACGATCGCTATTACGAACATTTTCTGTGGATCCCGCGATGTTTGTTATAGCGGCATTCCACTGTATAATAATCGGGAGAGGTGACTTGAACTTTGACACAGATTTGATGTTTGGTGACTCGAATTACAATTCTGCTTCCCGAATACTCCAATATCCTCCAATGTACAACCCTGGTTGTACCCATGCAGTTAACACATGGGAATGCTGAGCCATTCAAACCCTTCAACTTTTGATTCAAAATACCTCCCGAAATACGTATCACTGAACACTTTTATACACCATCATATTACTGAGCGATTTGTGGCTTATAGAATATAAATTCATCCGGGTTTGATGTCTCGGAAAAACAGCTGGACTGTTTTCTGTTCATTTCATCTGTGTCCCTTCTTTTTTTCATATTTTTGTTTCAAATCTTATTTATACATTGACCAATATCACTCTGCAACTTGCTGACTTGTGCAGCATTATAATTACCCTTTAAAGATGCATTACCCGTGCTATTTGGAGTGTGACCATGAAAAATAGATTTCTGAGTTTGCAATTGCTATTTTCCTAGCTGTTTAAAAGTTCTTCACTTTTGAATGAGACATTGAACAAAAAAAAATTCCACAAATATTAAGTTATTATTATTACTATTACTTCTTTACAAATTCAAATTACCTGCTGCCAATTTTTTTCAGAGGTTTGCAGACACACAAAATGAGAAAATAGTGTTTTTTTAAATAGACATACAAGACAAGACATACAATTTGAAATTTTGCAAGGAGAAAACAAATCGTTTTGAAAGGGCATGAGGCACCCACCTTTAACCCTAACCTTCCCAAATCCTCCAAAATCCTCTTTGCAAAATAGAAAATTTTGCAGGGTTAAGGCTATATGGCAAAATGTGTGGCTAATTATGGAGGATGCAATGTGTCAAGGTCTTAGGCCGGACCTTGTGTTGTGTATGCTCAGCCATACCATGCATAAATTTAGGCCTTCATTATATTTGAAATTCTCCGCACTGCTCCAGGATGTCACTGGCTCTGCCTCAACATATTGACAATGTTGCTGGAGGATTTTGGAGGATTGAGGTAGTGGTCACCCCTCTAAGAACCACATTCAATAAATAACAGATGATTTTGCAGGATTGAGGCTGTATGCAATTTTTACGCAGAGGCAGCTGGAGGATTTTGTAGGATTGAGATTACATCCTAGCAAAAATGCCTAGGGAGTTAGGGTGAATTTAAATATCTTCAAAAAAGGATTTGGAGTTGGTGATGTTGATTAAAATGTCCGAATTTGCTTTGTGCAGGTTTCAGAAGATGAGGCACTAGACTTACTGGAGTCTGTTATACAGTCTACATCTGCATCGCAAGTAACCAAAGAGTATGTCCTCCAGGCTATACTGAAGATCAGTGCAAGGTTTACACATTCAGCAGAGTAAGTCTGGAGCCCACATTCTGTGCAGTTATACTGTATAACAGGTGGTACAAGTTGTGAATAGTCTGGTTTCTAGACCTGACGATTATTCCCGACGCTCACGTCTAAATTGTAGGTCAGACAGCCTCCGCGGCTAAAAATAAACATGACGACATTGATGGCCCTTTTTCAAAGCTCGGCTTCGTTTCCGATTTCGCTTTATCACTTATAGCATTTAATGTTCTGATCAAATTTTTAAACAAATCACTTGCTTCGTACATACAGTTATGGTAATACAGTTTGATATTTCTGTAAGATAACATTAATTAATGTTGATCTGGAATCTTCGAAATTAGGCACAGAAATAGCACTGTTAGCAGGCGGAGCTGAATGAAGACCAAGTTTTAAAAAATTTCGGTAAAGGTTGTCAAATACAAAATTGTACATGACGCAGCAAAAAGTTCGCCCATACGATCCGAGTATATTTGATGCACAAAATCGTCTTTGAATTTCAAGTTTTCTAAATGAAAGCAATGAATATTAATTTTCAACTCATTTAAAAAATAAATAATAGGCAATTAGCAGATAATTAAACCTATATTATACTCGGAAATACTCGGGCGCTATCCGATTGTCCACGAAACGAATTCGGCAAACTTCGGACATTTTCGGAAAAAGGAGGACGTAATTTGTAATACAATATATTACAGGAGGCTATCTGACCTAAGATTCATCAGCAATAGTCAGAATATTTTGGTCTGGCAACCAGACTAAGTTGTGAAAAGGTCTGTTGCCCAGGCTTGGTTCGGAAGTAGGAGGGAGAACCTTGTCAACTTTTGAAAATGTTGCGGGTATATTGGTTGAGTAGGAAAAAATGTAGTTGAACCATAACTTTGAGCATTGTTGTGAAGTTTTCTGAATCTGTGAAAATCTAATACTGCAGTCATCCATTACAAAATACTGTTAATTCATTGGGACACTTAAAACACTGTTAATTTTTGACTGTGACAAGTTTGATTTGAATTTCTTTGTCAAACTCTTTTTTTGCCTCTCTCTTTAACAGGCGCATTAAGAAGATGGCAGCACCTTACACGCAGAGTCTGGATACAGAGTTGCAGCAGAGATCAGTGGAGTTCACTGCGTTAGTCACATCACATGACAATATGAGGTGAGCAATAATGGCAGTGCAAAGGGCTCCGTGCACAAGTACCCCTTCAACGGCCAGAAAAGGAGAGTTGGGGGAGACCTAGGCTGGTTCCCGGACCATCCACTGCGTATTTTAAATGGTCTAATGTTATTGGGGGTGGGGATTAGTCTGGGAGACCATCGCAAGTTATATTTGACCGTAATCGCGAGGCGACGACGCCTGACGCTCACGCGAAGACACTGTGGCTAATATAATGGCTTTGGCACATTCAAAAAGTCGTGCGTACTTCGCGCGCGAACACGCACACACGCTGTGTGTCCCGTCGACAGAGTTCTCAAAAGTGGTAAAAACGCGCCCTCTTTTGTTTGCGCACGGAACTGGGCACAGGCTGCAGTGGAAAAAAAATGCTAAAAACTGAAGGTTTTGATATTTGCAACCTTTAATATGTCTACTACACACATTTTAAAAGAAATAGTGTAAAAATCATGGAATAAAAGCACTTTTTAAGGAAAAACAATCTTTCATTTTCACGACTACAAAGTGCAAAACTTTTAAGGCATTTTTCTAAGTATTTTACTTTTTTTGACATCAATAAATGCGAACTTTAAGCAGCCACAACTTGTCAACAGAATGTCTGATTGAAGTGCAACAAACAGTATTGTAAGGAGAATGTTATTCTCTTTCCTAATACCTGCAAACCCTCAGTTCGACCTCTGGTCAGTTCTGTCTCATTTTGCCAGAACGCCTCACATTTTGACTGGACTTGTGATGGACCCGATTCCAAAACTGGTACCAGCCTACAATTTTATGGGGGTTTTTTGGTTTTGTTTTTAGTGTTTTTTAATTTTTATTTGTTTTGCCACATAATATGTTTATGATTCATTGCCTAGTTGGGTTGTTGGCCTTTCCTGGATACAACATTGATTTCGATAAAATAATGATTTTGTCTTCTACTGCTTACCTAAGAGTTCATCTGCTAAGTAGTACGGCATTAAAGGGAATATACATCATTTGCTTTTGCTGTAATTTTCAGAAATGGATGGAATTGGGGGGTTGGAAATATATGACAAATATAGTTACACTAACTTTTTTGAGGTTTTGGGTTCGAAAATGCTATAAAAACCAAGAAAAACAATCATCTTCCTGTAGTCTGGTTCCCTGACTCTATATAAGAAGAAACAGAGCAGTTTACATACATTGGGGAATTGTAAGGTCAGGGAACCAGTCTAGCTGGCTCGTACCCGTTCATAGGTTTGTAATCGATTGCAAACAAGTGGGATGGTCAATTGGGGCCAGTATTTGAAAAAAAGCCAGTTTTTTCCAACGCTCATCGACCGATCAGCGTTGGAAATTGATACAAAAATACCACTTTTCTTGAAAATGACAGTATACCAGGTGCCATGATTTTACAGGATGCTTTACACTGTCATTCACTAACAGTCCAGCAAGGTATTTCAAAATGATTTGGTAGTTTTATTTTTTGATGTTTGCAAATGTTGTATTTTCCCTTTAACCTCTTCTAGCAAGCAGGAAACTGTGGCGTTTATCCAAGCGTAGTAAACCTGCGAAACAAAAAGCTCTCAATCATTCATACTGATTTTGAAAGAGATGTCACTCACTCTGTATAGGAACAGGACGTATACTCAGTCACCCGATTTCTGACCAAGAATTGCGGTTGCCCGATCCAAAAAAAAAACACTGTTAAAAGCAAACTCCTATCAGCGTTTTTAAATTCTCTGCTTTGTCCTTGTCCTTATTATTAACAGGCCTGGTTTATTAGAGAGAATGCCCCCTATGGAGAGGAAAGATGAGAAACAGGTGAATGGTGACATGAACGGTGAAAGCGAGGACAGGAAACCAATGAAACCACCCAGTGTGCAACATGAGGTACGGCTCTTCGGGACGATGTCAAAGGCTTTTCCTTCATTCACATATTACTTGTTTGCCGATTCTAAGGCTAACTGCTGCATCCAAAACGACTTGGCCATGGCTCTTGCCTTCCGTGGGGAGTGCTTTCAGTTGCATACGTAGACGCATATACGTAATTGCTTGACGTAGCCAAGTTATTCAGATGTGGCCTTATTCCATTTTAAGAGGGGTAGACTTTAGCAGTTCAAAAGCATGGCCCTCTAACTTGGCCTTGCTTAACCCTAGCCCCCATCGGGTATTCTTCAGGTACCCTGCTAAATGCAACAATATCCAACTCAACTCAGATGAGAACCATGCTAACTGCAACGAATTGCAACAGTGGATTAAGTTGTGTTCTGTGAACCCAGTGCATACCAGCCTTGGTACCAAGCAGTTACCCTGCTAAATGCAACAAACTGCAACAGTGAATACTCTTGTATCGCCTTGGGCCCTATGAGCAGTTACCCTGCTAAATGCAACAAGATGCAACAAAGCATGGGGACTTGAGTTAAATGCTAAATGTAACAACTTGCAACAACTTTTTATCGCTGTTGCATTCTGTTGCATTTAGCAGGGTTAGGATCAACCCAAACCCCTTGAGTGATTTACTACATTATGGTGGTATGCCTGACCCCATGTAAAGCATAATAAGTTTACTAGTGCAGACCTCACTCCAACAGAATCAAACATGCAGTTGGATTTTGAAGGGTTGGGGTGGTTAGGGTTAATGCATAAGGTCTATGTACATACTTTGTAAATACTCCATTAATATTATTTGTTACCACAGAGTAAAGGCTTGTTGGAGTTGCTAGAAACCCCAGGTGCACCCATGCCCAACGCAGGCCTGTCCCTATCACCTACACACAACCAGAAGACGGAGCCTTCGTCGAGCGGTGGAGAGCTACTTGACCTGCTTGGTGAGCTGTTTGCATGGATTGTTGATATTTTGTCTCTCAATATGTACAACATTGGGGAATTGAGGCTGGCGTCCTTATTTGAGCTCTAGGAATCTGGTGATCGTCGTTTATACTCGGACGGATCCACACTCACACGCATGTTGCACACATCTTTAATTTGAAGCGCGAATGTAATTTGAAGACCCTACTGGTCCAAAGAGATCCTTTTTTTTGCCTGAGTACCACCTGGGCTCGAATATGGTCAGGGGTGTGAAATCTCAGCTTTATAGCTGATTTCAGCTTTTTTTGTTTTGGATTTCAGCTTTTTTCCCTCACTTGCTGTGTACAAAAGTATAGGAGATTTCAAAATTTAAGCTTTTGTATACCTACTTCAGCTGTTTTCAGCTATTTTTATCAGTGGTCACTCACACCCCTGTATGGTGCTGCCTCAGAATGGTTATATTTGCTAGCCATTCAGTCATATCCTTTTTCATTTGTGACAGACGAGCTAAACCATGATAGTACCATTTCTTCCCCTTATGTTTTTGACAGACACACTAAACTATGATAATACCTTTTTCTTTTCCTGACGGACACATTAAACTTTTGACCTATCCCGGTAGAATCACGTTAGAATCGCGTCTACACAGCTTTTGAAATATTGGCCAATAACATGATATACAAACGGACGCGGAACGCGCAACTTCCGAGACAAACAAAACTTAACGTACAAACGTTCCATTGGGTTGTCTAAGGGGCTAACTCACAAACGGTGATATGTCGATAGGATCATGATAGTCCCGTTTCTTTTCTTGACAGACACCAAACCATGATGCTACCTTTTCTTGCCCTTTCGACAGGCACACTAAGCCACGATAGTACCTCTTCTTCTTACTTTTTCTTTGACACATTCCACACCATTATAGTACCTTGCCCTTTTTTGTCACACTTTTAATCATAATAGCACTTTTTCCTGGTTGTTTTTTGTTGACAGACACCCTAGACCTGAGTGGCCCAGCCCCTGCCGTGCCAGGGTTCCAGCCTCTAGCACCCATGCCCAGCCAGCCAGCACCTGTCAACATCATGGATGCCCTGGGCACTCTAGAACCCATGGTGGCCCAGCCCCAAGCTGATCTCCTAGGTGGTTTAGTCAACAATATCAGTGGTGAGTGCTGTCTGAACATTCGCAGACAGTCAAAAAGTTCAATCCTGTGCCCCTGCTATGCCTTTTACACAGGCTAGTCACCAACAGTCAGATCGCATTTCTTGTAAGCAATGTGACCAGTCAATTTCCATCAACAGCAGATAACTGGTAGGCACAGCTGGCTTCTCAGTCTCCTTCAGTCACAGCATAGCTGTATCAAGTTACATAAACAATCACAGCCAGTCAATCCTGCTTTGTGTAAACAGGGGGCCCTTAACCACCAAAACAGTCACTTGATTGACTTTTACTGGAATGGCTTTGTTGAAATTGCCAGTCAGAGAGAGAGTGTTACAGTTTGTAGTTTAATTACAGCTTAAGCAAAAAAATTACGACAGTAAGTTTTGAACTTTCAGCCTATTAACCCTAACCCTAACCTTCAATCCTTCAAAATCCTCCAGGCTGTTTTAGAGGACTTTGGAGGATTGAGGCTGAATGACAGAAAAGTGTCCGTTGATTTTGGAGGATGCATTGTGTCAGGCTTGTGATGTGATTCATAGTCTGTACCCAGCATTGTTTATGTTCAGCCATGCATAATTGAGCCCTGCATTATGCTTGATATTATCCGCACTGCTTCTGAATGTCATCGGCACTGCCTCAACCCATTAACAGTGATTGCTGGAGCATTTTGAAGGATTGAGGCAATGGTCACTGAACAAATTCAAGAAATAACAGATGATTTTGGAGGACTGAGACTGAATCCAATTCTTACATGGTGGTAATTGGATGATTTTGCAGGATTGAGGATGCTTCCTAGCCAAAAGGGCCTAGGAGGTTAGGGTTAATACTTTATTGGGCCCTACTAGTAGATAATGAAAGAGATTTGTATCTCCTGTTTTCTCTATCAGGGCCTTCAATACCTTCCGTCATCGCGGTGGAGAACCCTACGTTGAAGATAGAGTTTGCCTTTGAGAGGGAATCCCCGGACAAGGTGGCCATCCTGCTGAGAGCCACCAACCCTACTCTCAACCCAGTCACTAGTTTCCTGTTCCAAGCTGCAGTCCCAAAGGTTGGTCATCGGGCAGATTTTTAGTTCAAGTTATGTAGCATGGTGATGTCAAGTCACCCTTAGGCCGAAAATCCATGTGTGTGTCATGCGTTAAGCGTAGTGCGCACTGTGAAAAAGAAATCGCAAAACTCAGTTGTTCAGAAAGCAACGCACACTTGTGTATGTGTCCGTATTGCGCATTGTGCTATCCGCACTACGTTATCCGTTAACACGCTTCAGGTAGCTAGTCTGCGCTAGTAAGCAGGAGGTCGTGGGCTCAAGTCCCACCCAAGTGATTTTTTCTCACAATCACTCCGTACAACACTGAGGATACAGTGTGCATAAAATATGTCGGTGAAGGGCAAAACCCAATATTGAATTTACATTAGCCCTACGCAAATTCCATCATATGAATAGTTTCATTGTGGTACCCACTGCTAGATATCTGATTCGAGCCAGCCAACTGCCCCCGGCAAGCTCGGTGGTCGAGTGGTAAGACGTCTGCACTAGTAAGCAGGAGGTCGTGGGTTCGAGTCCCACCCAAGTGATTTTGTTTTCGCAATGACTCTGAACAACACTGCGTATACAGTGTTTATAAAATATATCGATGAACGGCAAAACCCAATATTAAAGGCATACAATGTACATACAAATTTTTGATGAAGCTCAAATAAACTATGTACTGGTGGGGTAAAAAGATAAATATTTATGGTTGGCTTTCAAACGAAGCGGTTTGTTCAAATCCTCCATTGATAAAACATGGAATATACCCTTTGTGTTTTATTGAGAAGTTAAATCTTGTCAGTGCTTGTTAAAATGTGTATTTTGACAAAGTTAATCCACAATTTGATTGAGACTTGACATTTTCTACTTTGCAAAAACTACTGCGTGCTGTCTATTTTGGCTTTTACACCGTTCATGTATGCAGAGAAATAAGTTCACACGGATGACCATAGAATGCCATGGTCCAGTGGTTACGGTGTTTGACTCGTATACGATGGTGCGTGGGTTTGTACTCTGCCAGGAACATGGTGCTTGTGCCCTTGGGCAAGACACTTAACTACAATCGCCTCTCTCCACCCAGGACTATGAATGGGTACCAGTGAGTCTTGTGACCTGATGAACGGGAGAATAATTGTAAAGCACTTCAAGATTGTTGATACAATGGAAAGCTGTATATAAGCATTTACAATTTATTTTATTTATGTATTTATTTTTGGCCTTTTTGTGCCATTTGTCCTTTTGTGATAAGGTGGACACAAAAAGAGGGCGCTGTTTGGGTTTATGTCTTGTGATTAAACATAAATTTAGTGCTCTTCTGTTGTATCCATAATCTCTCCTAAAGGTTCATTGAGCGCTTGTATACTCAGAGCTCGTGATATAAAGTTAACAAACTGGCTCAGGTAGGACCTAAACCCAGAACCTCCAGTGTTAACTAGTGCAGGTGTCTTACCACTCAAACCACCCAAAGTTGCTGGGGTGATTGGCTGTACCAAATTCATTTACTGGATTTCTTCCCTCTTTTGCAGACATTCCAACTCGAGCTGATGACGCCCTCGGGCGACCTGGTCCCGCCCAACAACTCCGGCGCCGTCACCCAGACCATCAAAGTGACCAACCCTTCCCGCCAGGCCATGCGGATGCGCTACAAGCTGGCCTACACCGTGCTAGGCAACACCAGCCAGGAGCAGGGCGAGGTCAACAACTTCCCCCCGGCCATGTTCTCATAGCACTAGGCCAGCAACTTCATGGATTGGCGTCCTCCAGCATTTTGTGTTTTCTCCAGCGTAGCTTTAGGTAAGGGGCTGTGTTTAGAATTTGGTGCAATTTGTTGTCACAAATCGAAATCGCAAGGCCTGTCCGGTATCGGAATATGCCTTGACAATCGCAGTGGCTCTGTCAAAATGAGGAATGAGTTTGAGCAGTCCAAGGATAAGGGATGCAAATGTGCAGCTCATTTTCCCTGCACTATGATGAATTGATCAACGGATTCTTACGGGGAGTTCTTTGACAATATACGCAGATACAACCCATTAAAAATGGATATTTATACACAGATCCATGGGAATTTTTTTTAAAGCAAATATTCTAGTGAATGATAAAGGCATATCGACCCTCCTATGGAAACATGCATTGTCAGCCTTGTTATATTACTTGGGCCAATATTGGTCAAGACCCCCATTGGTTTGTACACAGTATGCCAGGAGGTGAGGAAGAACTTTTTGACCGTTTGTGACCTCTTAAATAGTAGGAGGATTAATTAACAATCAAATAAAAAGTATTTAAATGTCAAAATCGCATTGATAAACTCAAAACGCTTGTGACTTTGTCCTTGATATCTCGAACCAGCTCTATGAGCTTATTCCTCATTTTGATGGAGTCGGCAACAGATTGCATAACAGCGATTCCCGAGAATGCAAAATTCAGCACACACTCGTGTACAAAGGCAGCACATATTGCTTTGGGGCAGAAAGCACACAAAAAATTGCAAGCTTCCCAAAAGATGTGCACAGAATGTTACCTTGGAATCAAGCATAAGTTCGTCACAATTCCTGTGCGAAACATATTCTTGGAATGTTTCATTCGATAATGTACTAATATCACTTTTCATAATGAAATTCAACTATAGCACTGATTGTTACATTCGACTGGCATTTGAAATGGCAAATTATTGAAATACCATTTGACATCGCTTTTGTACAAATCAAGAAAGTGTTTCATGCTGTGGTCATGTTGGTCTGGTTCCCCAGGGCGAGATAGACACGTGGCACCGATTCCCAATCGTTTATATCAGTACCAGACTATACTCGCGTGCCTCTGAACTTGTCAATCACAGAAAAAAAAAATTCATAATTCCTTTCTTTTTTTTTAAAACAAACTTGACTCATTCTTGCCAACTGGCAATTATTTTCTTCAAATTTAAGCATATTATTACAGCCATCATCTTGAAATTAAATTTTGAATAATTGCTCATTAGGAATGTGTCGGTCTCATCAATTGTCATTCACTTCAGGAAAAAAAAACGGAGAGTTATCAATTACGGTTTGTTGTCATCCCCTCTATGAAGAATTCCATGTCCTGACTCTTTCTTTGTGTCTTTCTTTGAACGATGAATCAGAAGTGACACAATGTTCACTGAACGCATATATCAAAGGTTTTTTTTTTTTCAATCTATTCCTGTGGTCTGTTTATAGTGTAATTAGGCTTTATATGATGATACACAAATCTTATGTGAATGGAAGGGGACGATTATTTTGTATTGTGTACATTTGTTAATTATTTAAAGTATTCCGGCCGGTTACAAATTGGTTATTGGGTACTTTGGCTTGTGCAAATTGTCGCCATTGATTTGTCAGAATTCTTTAAAGTTAAGTTTTTTTGTTTATTTTGTTTTATAGGTAAACAATGTTTATACTTATGTAATTCAGAGCTGCTCCAAAAACTTAATCGTCACTACTTCTCAAGAACTTGTTTGTTCTCTCTCTCTGTTAAAAAAAAATGGTACCATTGAAAATGTGTAGGTTTTGCGTTTAATACAGTATCTTGTATCTGTTTGTGTTGATTTCTCTCTGGAAGTGGACCATTGTTGAACATTTTGCACCATAGCTAAAACAACTGAGCAAGCCTAATAAACTTGGTTCCAGATCGCATTTAAGTCTAATTCAAATGTTTGAAAAAGTGACAGCGAGTTACTCAATGCAAAACAGGACGTGAGAAACTCTGAAGTGTTGCCCAATTTTGCTTGTAAAAAGGGGCTACGTAATGAATTTCTGGCATATTAGGCTGGCGCCATGGATCAGCGTAATAGAGATCCAAGTCGCATCCCATTGGACCCAGACAACAATGAACATCACTAAACTGACATATTAGGCTGGCACCATGGATCAGCTCAATAGAGATCCAAGTCGCATCCCATGGGAACCAGACAACATTGACCATCACTTTAACTGACCTATAAACCAAATCGGGCACGATGTCAATTCTATCACGAAGGCCCCCTGCAATGGTGACAGCACTGTGCTAGCTATTGTTCAGAAAATCCGTCACGGGGCATTGCTTTGTGCAACAGCGTGCACAATGGTTTCCCCATGGAAGCGGGCCTCGTGCGTGTACATTGATCACGTGCCTGGATGCGTCTTTGGATTGCGTCTATGGATTTTCTGTACTTAGTCCCCTACCGATATTTGTTAATTTGTTGTACATGTGTTATTTTTGCAATCACTGTTAAATGATACCTGTGCAAACTAAAATTTGAAAATGAATCTTGAAATATTCAAATTTAAAGGTACAGTCCATCATTTGTAATTTGTGCATTTTGTTCATTTGAAGCAACAAAAGTGTCCAAGATCTAAAGAAGGGTGCTGAACAACTAACCTGATGAAGTTTCAGTTCAGCTTTAGCTGTATATTTCGAGAAAAACAATATCTAGGATCTCGATTTCAAATCAGAAGTTGCTGAATCATGTTTTGTAAATTGGGCCTGAATTCAGTGTCCAAGACACGCTCTCACTGAGCCGAATGCAGGTACGCAATGTCGCGCACTGATCCGACGAATTATAGCAACCGCGTGTGTGTCGTGCCAATGCTTTATGCGCTTCGCTGAATAACAAAACGAACTACAAATTTGAATTTCCTACAGTGCTTCTTAAGAAGCACCGTTGGAAAGGCCTTCTTTTGTTGATTTCTTCAAAATGACAGCTTGCCAGAAAGAATAATTTCACAGGGAGTTTAGTCCCCTTACTATCTTTCAACCAAGTATGTTTTTCAACAATAATTATGCCAGTTACTTTTTGGATAGCTGCAAATGATGGACTCTGGCTTTAAGTTTGAGAATTGACACAGCTTGGGGAGAGATGGTAGGTCTCATGTTAAATCACTCTATTGTCTATTAAATAATTGTATGTACATACTCTTAATATATAAATATTTCTAGTGGCTGGTGAAAATGTGTACAAGTGTAAAGCAGATTTTTTTTTCACTTTTTTTTTGGAGCAGGGATCTTGGGAAAAGATTTTTGCATTTTGTAGACACTTAAGATCAATTGTATTCATTATTAGACAAAATACAGTAATACACGCAAACTTTGGGCAGAAATGTTCTGTAACACAGAAAATACAGAGAATACGCAATGATGTTAACACCACAATGCGATTCAAGTAGAAGCGTCATTGTTTTAAATACCGTTACAAAGGTTTTTGTATCCCGAAGACAAAAATTGCTATAAAAAAACAAAACATTTCTAGTGAACTGTGTTTAGTCCAAATAAAGTATTATTATGAATGAATATTTCTTTTATTAAAGAAAGAGGTTGCGTTGTACCACTCCTTATAGTAAACAAATATATGATCAGTGGTATGTTTCAGGACAATTCCTGCACCGTTACGTTACTAATTATGAAGATTGGTTAATCGTTAAAAGGTTTATTTTATGTACAAAATAATAGACATGAAATAAAGTAACTATGATGAAGCAAACGGATTGAATGGTTTACTGCGTTCGTCCTTTCTTTGCTTTCAGACTTAAAATTTGGACTGAAATGAATTTGAAATAAAAAGGTTTTAAGTAATGGAAAACAGCTGCCAAAAAAAAACTACAAGGGGTAAACCTTGGGTTTTCTGTTTTGTTTTTATTTTATTTTTTCTGTTGGTCTAATATTGCAAGGTCTAATATTGCAAGGGGTAAGCCTTTTTGGGAATACCAAATTGTGATTATTAGAACTTGGACGTTATTGTATTACACTATTTATTCACTGAAAAATCTTTACCAACATAGAGAGCTCGGGCGATCTCGAGCGCTACAGTGAATAAAAGGCAGGGCTGTTACGGGCACTACAGTGACTGAAGTGGGTGAAAATATGTATGTCAGGAAATATCCATATTTGCTCGTTGATGTTTGTTACATGTGCAGATGATACACAGCAATGTCTTCTGTGACTGAACAGCTTCAAACTCCCCATTTTTAATCATATGCAGGGTATCCACTCCGGTTCTGAACAGGTGGCAGAGATTGTGATCACGCATCTAGCCTAGGGACACAAGCTCAATAATACCTATGGCTGTTAGGCTTTCACCCAAATAAGTGCCTTTTGTAAACTCTAAAAACAGCTTTAAAACTTCTGCCTTGTTGTGATGGGTACCAAAGCATGTACTAACTTTTAAATTTGCAATCTGACATTAGAATCAAACTTCAAAAGATCTGGTCTAGCTCACAGCTGCTACAGTCTTGTAATATTACAAAAAAAGAAAAATATGCTCAGCATTACAAAAAAGTGCAATCTCAGTACGTTATTAAATTTAGTTCCCTCGGAGCACATCAGCTTGTAACGTTCTTCAAGGCTTGCTCTATCGTGGGGTACTGAAATTCATATCCGCTCTCCAGGGTCCGTTTGGGGAGGACTTTCTGTCCCTCAAGAAGCATCACTGCTCTCTCCGCCCCGAAGGCCCAGTTGATCGCGAACCCCGGCGCCGGCAAGACGGTGGGCCGGCAAAGCGCCGACCCGAACGCCTTGGTGAACTCGCGGTTTGTGACGGGCGTCGGGGCCGTGCCGTTCAGGACCGGCGGGCAGTTGGGACTCTCGATGGCGTGGACAAAGATGCCCGCGATGTCGTCGATGTGAATCCAGGGAAAGTACTGGTTGCCGGACCCCATGATGCCGCCCACGCCCAACCAGAAAGGCCAGATCATCTGCTGGATTGCACCACCGTCGCGACCAAGAACAACACCTTTAAAAGTAGTAGTGGAAAAATGTAATTACATTACACTTTATGTTAGGAACAATAAGGAAACCTTTCAGGTATTTCAGAAACAACCACCACTATTTTTTTTACATACAATGAAATATCACGTCGTGAGTTAAAAAAAACCCAAAATGTATAAGTACCAGGGATGTTAGTGGGCTCTGACACTTTTTAGGGAATTTGAGGAATACAAGAAAAATATACATACCGTACATGTATGACACCACACAATACAAAAAAAAGCCTAAAATCCTGCAATTGCACCTATGGCCAAGTTCGCGCAAGGACTATAGTTGACCAATGGTTAACTAACGTTTGCCTGAACTCTGTCTAGTCAACGGTGGTTGACTACGCTAGTGGACTATTTGGAACCAGCCTACTGGGGTTGGTTGCTTCGCTGGTAACCAGTAGCCGCGCGCATTCATAACGCTAGCAGAGAGCCAGGATCCAGAAGTTTTGCGATGACATTTTGACCAGCGTTTGACTAGAGACGTTCGCACGTTGCTAACAGTGCGCAGGCATAAGGTACGTCACAAATCAACTAGTCGACTAATGGTCCTTGCCCGAACTTGGCCTATGATGTCCGTTTAGGAGCAGTCAAATCTCTTTCAGGAGAAATGATATATGATTTCAATGACATTATGCACAACGTGACATCAATCATCAAAGTGCATTTAAAGGGTAGATACATGTACATGTATTTTTACGTCAGCGTGTGAGTGACTCACAACCAATGTCTGTGCTAGGATCAGTTGTGAGGCAACGCATTCCAAATTTATAATCTTGGCACTAGAGTTGTATTGACATCTACAGTTGTCACAAGACACATCACAAGTGGGACGTAAGTAACATTAACCCTAACTGCCTAGGGTGTGTTAAAAATAAATTACAATTGGAAGATTCAGCACCGTTAAGATTTATGGAAAAAAACTTCAAAGGAATTTGTCACAATTTATCTGAACAGCTAGTAAACCTGAGACTTATAGACTTGTATAGATAATTTGTGTGTACTTGAAACCTGAAATTTTTGGCACAAGCCATTGCAGTGCAACGTTATGTCCAATGTAACACACTGAGTATACAGTGTTTATACGTCGGTGAAGGGCAAAACCTAATATTGATTTACATCTCCCCATTGCAAAATTCCATCTTATGAATAGTTAAATGCGGTACCCGCTGCTATGTACATGAGATTCAAACTAGCCAACCAATCCCGCAAGCTCCGTGGTCGAGTGGTAAGATGTCTGCACTAGAAAGCAGGAGGTCGTGGGTTCGAGTCCCACCCAAGTGATTTTTTCCCACTTTCACCGGGGAGGTAACACACTGAGTATACGGTGTTTATACCTCAGTGAAGGGCAAAACCTAATATTGATTTACATCACACCAATGCAAAATTCCATTTTATTAATACAACATACCTGTTCTTATGATGACCTGTCGGACGTGGCTGTGGCTGTCTGGTAGCTTAGCGCTGTTCTCCCACTCGGTACACAGTCTGGCCAGGAAATCCGAATCTCCACCTGGACTGTCCTCGGTGTACTCGGCTGTCAAACTGGGGGTGTAGTAACCTAGATAGGGGGGAAAAGATAAAACTCTGGAAAAACTATTGTGGTATACACCTCTTTAAGAAAGTATGATGTAAGAACAAAATCCAGACTGCACCTTAATGTAAAAACCAAAACAATGGGTGAAGCTACGTCGGTTGATATGCTGTTATGTAAGAAACCACCGAGGTGGCTAAAGCTTGTTAGAGCTGGAGTTGTGATTTAGGTCATCATGAGTCTATCCATCACCAGTCATCACAAGCCAAACATAATTCATCAGGAGTCAATCAAAAGTCACTCGCAAGTCAACCGCAAGTCAATCACAAGTCAATCACAAGTCACCACAAGTCAATCACAAGTTACCACAAGTCAATCACAAGTCAATCACAAGTCAATCACAAGTCACTCGCACGCCAATCGCAAGTCAATCACAAGTTACCACAAGTCAATCACAAGTCAATCACAAGTCAATCACAAGTCAATCACAAGTCATCTCAAGTCATCACAAGTCAATCACAAGTCAATCACAAGTCACTCGCACGCCAATCGCAAGTCAATCACAAGTCATCACAAGTCAATCACAAGTCAATTATAAGTTAACACAAGTCAATCACAAGTCATCACAAATCATCACAAGTCATCACAAATCATCACAAGTCATGCCAAGTTGACCACAGTCTCAAGTCCATTGACTAAATTAAGTCAGGACAAAATTAAGGAGGGCAAGTTTTTTCCAGCACTTCTCACCGACGCCCGATGTTGAGACAAAGACCTTGGGTGGTTTACTGGCATCTGCGATTGCCTTGGCCAGAGCTGCGGTTGTCTTCACACGACTGTCTGTGACCTCCTGCTTGAATGACTCTGTCCATCTGCCAAGAAAAAAAATTGCTTTCTTTCAGATGTCTTTAGATAAGAGCTGTTGAAGGGCAAGTTGCTCCTTACAAGACTTTAACATTAAAGGTGCATACCCATGCTCTTAAAAAAAAACACATTTTTTTCTACTAACAAATTTTCAATTTGTATTGAGTTAGAACCCCAAAAAATAGCAAGGGGAACACATCTTTAAGATCACTACAAACTTTCTAGGCTGAAATCCACCCAATTCATTTGTGTGGTTCTAGTGGAAGAGGTACTGGTGGAAACTGAACATTTTGGTTTAAGAAGATTTTGCCCTCATTTCCAGGGCACCGACTGGCCAAACAAGGAGGGAACCTCTTTTGATGCTAGAGGGCACTGTGTCTGTGTGTGGTTTCCTTGCCTCAAAAGTCACCCATGGTAAGGAAAGGGTTAAGGGTCTTTGCTCATTAAAAGTGAGCCTTCACTCAATTTTATGTTTATATGATCATTTCAGTTAGGTCTCAGAAAGGTTCTCGCCTACATCACTGACAAATTGAAAGAATTACTGCAGCATTTACCTTCTGAGAGGGTTGAGAATGTTTTCCCCAGACAAACTGACGACAGCATCACATTCTGGTAACCCTTCCTTGCGTAACTGGTTCTGTGTGTAATGCAACCAAAAAAACAAAAACACAAAACAATGAAAGAATTCAGGTAATTACAGATTTTGTGATAAAATGGAAGTCTCATGTTTGTTCTGGCACTATGGTCATGATTATTGGTTGCAACTATAAAAAAAAAATTCAACATATTCATACAAGTTTAGACCAATCAGATGGACACTAAATCACTGAATCTCTGTTGAAGAGTAAGACCCCTCTATTTTTTCGCCAATGCTATTTTTACGGGCATTGACTGTTGAGCATGCATCAGTTGTCGACTGCATGGCTGTTGGACCTAACTTCCCTTCTAACAAAAAAAATGCTTCAGAAACCTGAATCAGAAGGAAAATTCAATCTGGCCTCTGCAAGCTGTGTAACTGAGTTCAAAATAAAGAGGGGCCCTAAATAAAACCCTCGATCCCTCTCTGGCTTGCAATTTCAACATGGCCAGCCCAGCAGTCAAAATAAATCAAGTGACTGTTTTTAACAGTTGAGTGCTCCCTGCCTTCATAACTAAGCAGGATTAACTGGCTGTGACTGTTATAAAAAACTGATATAGCTATGCTATAGCTATAGCTATGCTTTGACTGTAGGTGATTGATAAGACAGCTGTGCCTACCAGTCACCTGCTTTTGTCTGTTGATGAATTTGACTAGTCACAGTGCCGATAAGAAATATGATCTGACTGTTGGTGACTTGGTTTAATTGAGGCATTGCAGGGGAACTGGATTGAATGTTGACTGTCTGTGACTGATCAAACAAACAGAGGGTTAATGCCAAATCACTTTACACTAACAGAAAACCTTTTACACTCACAGAAACACATTGTACAAGACGATCGTTTCAAATAATTTTCATTGGAAAGAAAAACCTGCTCAGTTTATGCAATTCCTGGCATTATGCTTCCACTATTACTTGGGAGGGGGGCCTTGCCTTGATTGGGGAGTCAGGTTGGCGTAGCGGTACTTTCCTCGCCATCCACCACTGTGACCCGGGTTCAAATCCCGCCTGGGCCAATAATAGATTGGGTTTTAAGTCCCTGCCTGATTCCGTGGGTTATCCCCAGAATATTCTTCTGGGCTTTTCCTCCCACCACTAAAAATGTAACTTCTTCTCATTGTCTTCTCTCCACAGGTTTCTTCAGGCTTGCGAGCTACAGTGCCTCGGGCGCTTTTGAGGAATCCTTGGTTTCATTACCAGAATTGATTAATAATAATAATAATAATAATTGTTAAGTGATTTAGTGCTCAAATTGATTCACACAAATTTTAAAAAAAAAATCTGAAGTTGAACCAACCCATGTGATTTTGTCCTTCCCTGCTGATCGTGAAACAAGCTGTACACTGTGCCCCCTCTGGAGAAGTAGCCTCCGAATGGCTGTTCCAACGAAGCCACTTCCTCCTCCTACGATGTATGATGAGTGTTCAATTTTTTAAAATGAGCACAAAATTGCTATAATAACTTAGAGAAATAATTATTTTCAAAGTGTTTTTACAGTTCGATAAACAAGTGCCTCATTTCCGCTCTTGAGCTTTATTTTCTTAAATTGTCAGTCGACAATCTGATTCCCTGACCTGAAAATATTCAACATCAGGAACCAGATTATCAAGCAAATGGCTCTCGGACTTTATTTCCCAGATTTTTAACGAGCAGTTTGAACGATGACTACTTTTATACAATATTACAGAGACACATGGGATAATTGTACTCGCATGCAATTTGAAATGGGTTTTTTAGGTTCTGTGCAGTATTTTTTCATTATTGAATTTTCATAGCATATTTTTTATATCTTTCTTTTGGTGAAGTATTGTGTTTCTATATAAAAACGTTAGAATTTTTTTTTTTTTTTTTTAACGTTTTTTAACGTTTTTATCAACTTGTTCAATGTAAAAAAAAAAGGCCAACAGAATTTCCCTTTAGCGATATATAAAATCAATTTGAATTTGAATTTGAATTCGAATCAATCCATGGATTACTCAGCATGCTCAAAACAAAGGAATCTTCAGTAAAATAAAAGTAGGATTAAAAACATTAAAACTAAGTACACTATATTCAAAGAACAAAAAAGCAAAAAATATTCTATCCTTGATTCAATCCCAATTCAATAGCAACATTTATTTTCCAACAGGAAAGAATGTTGCAACCTGACGATACTTTTTCCTTCATATATCATCTCAATGAAGGTCAGTCACTTAACTGATAGAATACTTAAATTGCAAAAAGGGCTCTTTACTTGGAACATAGTAATCCTCTTTTCCATATACATAAAAATCTTAAAGTAAATGATATTTATCTACTACAACTTGGGATCTTCATGCAAAAACTTAATTACAAAAAATTACCTAAATCCATTTGTTCCATCATGTTTGTAAAAAATGAAGATGTGCATCAGCATTTTATCAGATAGTCTAAGAATTTCCATCAATCTTTTGCTCGTACTTCTCTCACCCAAAACACAGTTAAGCATGAGGGTCCCAAGCTGTGGAATTCCCTTGAAATTTCTTTAAGAAATACTTGGAATCTTCCATTATTTAAACGTAGATACTCACTGGTTATTTGAATCCCTGAACTAGCTTCTTCTTTTTTTTCCAATTGTTAATATTTCTCACAGGGTTACAAGACCTATCGGGCCGAGGGGGGGGGGGGGGATTTGCTTATGTGTTCTTCATTGTGTTGTGTATTTTGTGTAAGTGTTGTATGTGTTAATTTAGGTTACATATATAAAACATAAACATGTGTATAGTAATACATATACTGGAGTTCCCTACCTGACAAGCAATGCTTTTTAGGGACTCCATCCACATTTATCGTATCTATTTATATTTGTTATACAACTTAAGTTATGTGGAAAATAAAGAATGAATGAATGAAAAGTCACTGCAAAAATGATAAGACATGAATCTGAGACTGAGAAACATATTTTTTTTTCCCACGATTTTGTTAGGAAATACTTAGAAAATGCTTTGACTCTCCACAAACTTTGTACACAATCGCGGAAGTGGCATCAGGTTGCAACATTCTCTCCTTCCAACACTTATTTCCGACTCATAGGCCTACTTCAATTTTTCAACTTCAAGTTCAAGTAACCATGGAGCAAGGGCTCCATGAAGTAACCAAGTCAATTTTTTCACGAAATAGGTGCAGCACTAGCATGATTGAAAAAAAAAAACCGAGCGTCCAAAATTCGTGATATAAAATTAGCAGCAAATTCTGGCTACAAAAAACAACATGCTGTGCTTACCTAATAACACGAACATGCTTGTCTTTTCATTAAATCAAACACAAATTCCAGAGTCCTATTTTCAGGCTTCGTCTGCTCTGCTGTCTACGAATCCGTCAAAACAGAAGGGAAAAAAAATGTTATGCAACACCATAACAAAAACGGCTGTTTACTGTCACTACAAACAGTCGTCTATTTTGTCTATGACTGTTTCAAGCATCTTCAAACGGCACCGTTTGACAAAAAACGCGGAGGTCGCGTCTACCAAATCTGCCGTACCAGACATAATTTAATGAATTGAAACATTCCTGAATGTAATGCTGAATGTAAATGAACGTTTTATTATTTTTGCTAGAAAACTAAAAACTCATTTGTTTATTGCATAGTAAAAAATGTAATAGGGATAATAACGGCCTTGATTACTGTCTTAATTACACCTGTGTCTGTGCTCTGTCTTTCCATGTATGTCTGTCACTTGTCTGTCTGTCCATAGGCTGGGGAACAAAAGTTGATGCTTCACCCTGGACGTAGATGTTGCCATTTAGTTAATGTTCACTATTGTAAATATATCTAGTATGTATTGTCAATTTGAATATATAACATTATGTATTATGTATCATCCTTATGCAGCGTCGAAATAAATGTATCGAATAGTTTTGGGGAAAAACTGCAAGGAAAATGTTAACAAAATATTGGGTTTTAGTTTTAAATAAAAAGGTTGCTTTGCCTTTGGCATTTGTGCAGTCCATAATTTCTAACATTTGTGCAGATAAACACTGTTGAAACTATTAAGAACTTCATGAAGAGGTACAAAATAAAGTTTTAACTCTGAATTCTTTTAATGTTCAAAACATATATGTGTACATGAATTGTCAATTATGGGCAGTACATGTATATGGTATTTATAAGTATCTGATCCGATTCTGACTAACAGAATTATAAATTCACCATCTGAGCAAAAAAAATGTACTGCAGGAAGCACTGAGTATCTTGAGTAGGACCCAAGGGGAATTTGGGGGGGGGGGTCTCAGTCCTCCACCTAGCAGCAGGCAGGAAAGCTGGGTCAACAATTCAACCCAGGCTAAAAAGGCATTCACCAATTCAATTGCCAATGTTTGAATTCGGAAATTGTGAATTTTTATGAAATTATTTGACCTATTTACATCATACAAATTTCAAAATTACACAAAATGCACAACTTTTTTTAAAACACGTGCACTTCACAGAAGCCGAGGGTGGATCGAGCTAAAAAGATTTAAATTATTTTATTTGAGGACCTCAATCATAAAAAAAAAATTGGAGATAATTAAAGCAAATTTTGGAGATCTAGGGGTAATTTCATAGGGCTCCTAATTTAAAGGTAGGGTGTATCATTTGTCATTTGTGCATTTTTTTTCCTGTGAAGCAACAAAAGTGCTCGAAATCTAAAGAAGGGTGCTTAGCAACTAACCTGGTGAAGTTTTAGCTCAGTGAATGCTGTATATCCTGAGAAAACAATATTCTAGGATCTCGGTTTCAATTCAAATTTGCTGAGTCATGTTTTGAATTGCCCCCCCCCCCCCAAATCAGCATCCGGGATACGTTTTCATTCAGCTACGCGATGTCATGCAGCTGAACTGACGAATAATAGCAACCACGTGCTCATGTGTGCATCATGTCCACACTTGCACGCACCCACCTACGGACTTGCCCAATTACAAACCAACTACTAACGAAAGTTTCCAAAAATGTGTCATATGACACATCTTTGGAAATGACCTTTTATTGTTTTCTTCAAAATGACAGCATGCCAGAAAGAACATTTCACAGGCAGTTTAGTGCCATTACTATCTTTAAACCAAGTAAGCTTTTCAACAATAATCTTGTCAGTTACTTTTTGGATAGCTGCAAATGATCTACTCTACCTTTAAGTAAAAGAAATTACTTAACAAATATATATGCTAACCAGAAATCAGCTAAATACAGACCCAGTAAAAACAATAAGCATCACAAGGCAATTTGACTGGAAACCAATTTTACTTTATAGCATACTTCTGTGCTTTGCAGTTCAATAAAATATGCTTCCCCTACCCCTCAACACCCCCCCCCCCCCCCCCACCACCATGCAAGTCCAGTTTGATATGACATCATCATCAAGGTAGCACAGTAATTTTCTTGGACAGTGTTTGCTTTGGGAAGAGATATTCTCTCATGAAAACGTCAATCTCCTCCAGGGCAAGCTGGCAGTGAAGTCTGATGACATCGTCTGTCTCCACGCTCAGCGCCAACTTCAGGCTTCGGTAAATATCCTTCATGACACCTTCCAGAACCTGCAATTGAGGTATGCACAGAAAAAAGTGTGCGTCACAATGCAATGGTGTTTGTTGTGTTTGTTTTTTAAGTAAGACACCCTAAGCTTAACAGTGAGACTTAAGGGGTCAATGCAAAGAATTTTTCTTTGGAACACATTTTGTGCAGCTTTCTACTCCTCTTAAATGTATGAAAACTATTTGACACCCCTTTTAAACAGGGAGAGTTTTTCCTCAGAATTTTGGCCATCCGTCACAGCTTTGAAGGCTTGCTACAACCTACTGAGCGCGGCCCTGTACAATATTTGCCTACTACAATGGCGACGCTGACTTTCCGGGGTACCCGAATGTAGGCCGGGTCACATAGGTCATTGGGAGAGCCCTATAGAGTACTGAAGTGAATACGTCACGCGCACAAAAAGTTTGTAAAAGACATTAGCGCGTGATTCAGCCCGAGAACCAACACGCACGCGTACACCATTCGTTTGCACTACACTATCTGGTTCTAAATGACGTCACACTTCGGTACTACATAGGCACCTGTGGGCCATTGCCAGCAATAACCAATTAATTTGGATGTGGTCTTAAAACATCCTCGGTCCGTCATTTTGAAATTTAAAGATGTAGAGTCACATGGACTTGCTTACCGTGATTGCATCTTTACCAAGGCCTCTGAGAAGGAGGGTGAGCACAAGAACGCAGGCCCGTCTGACTTGCAGCTCTGGATCACTCCTCAAGATGGTCATCAGGCAATTCAGGACCTGATACAATTAAGGGAGAAATAAGTGAGAATGAAAAAAAAAAATAATTTGAATATTGTTTTCGATAAGGTTATGACTGTCTGGTTATGGAATATGAAATCTATTTTACTCAGTCTTTGGCAGATCCAGAAGGGGGTGGGAGCTGCTAGAAAAAAAAATACCTTATTTTTTTTTGATTTGCCCTTCTTTCTCCCCCTAGTCTGTGAAAATAGAGATTCGAAAATGTTGAAGTCAACGTAGGGGTGTGCATTTACTGGTAGTATGGGAGCCGGGTATACGATTGAAAAAAAAATGGGTACCTGGGTACAACAACATATCAAATCCTTTGTGGTCAAAAGGACCCCATGTAAACTGGCCAAAGCGCACAGCCAGATGACCTTGGACACATAGAGATAAGAGCTCCCGGGCTCTGTGTATATACAGTAGCGCTGCCTAGCACGTGTACAATAAACAGACCCTACGCGCTGAGCCATTGAGAAACGGCAAATTTTATTGGAGTTTAGATGTACAATTCTTTAGTAAATGAATACACGCGAGCCTAAACCTTAACCAATCACAATAAGGGTTATATTGTTGGAAAGCTGCCGAGACGAAGAAAAATGACTTGAGACATCTAAGCTCCCAGGTGGCGCTATTTAACGTTATGATGATGTTAATGGACCAGTTCTTGGCTGAACGTGTGGTTTACACACAAAACAGGGAGATTTTTGACTGAAAATGCAATGTTTAACATCAATTCGCGAGTGAAACTCGGTGTTTTATTCAGTTTTTCTTTCATTTTCTGAAAGAGTATATTGTTAGGGTCACACTGTAGTGAGATCTAAGGTATACCCTGTCGAATAATGAAGTGGTGGCGACAGATGTGAAAAAAGGCCTGTTTTTAACGATTTTTTCGCCGCGTTCTCTCATAGAGGTTGCACATGAAAACCGGCCCGGTGGGTTAGTTCCCCAAAGGAATTCATATGATGGATTGGGTTTCCAAGTTTGCAGCATTGCTACTGTTGCTAGCATCGTGACTTTAGGCGTGATCCCTGGCTACATGGCATATATATGGGTTTATGGCTTCAGACTAGCGGCTCTTGAACAAAGACATTGACAAATTGGGGAACCGCCAGCGTAGGGCTGGAAACCTTAGTTGGTAGAGTGCCAGTACGGTATATTTCGAAGGTCACAGGTTCGAACCCTGCTCCAGTCAATTTCTGTGCTCAATTTTATGATTACAACAAATATAATTAAATTTCCACTTGGGAAGTGATGAACATTGCGTGCTCACCTCGTGGAGATTTGGGCCCAGGGAGAACCTGAGAAGTTTGCAGACATCGGCCAAATTGGACAGGCTGCTGGCCCTGACGACGGCATCGGTGTCCTGCGCACCGTGCAGAAATGCACCCAGCAAGACCTTGCTATAGCGGGGAACCAGTTCACCTACATAAAACAAACCATTAATACTCACAACATACCGTAACTCAAAACGCATATAATATGATCCAGACAGGTTAATTTGAACTTGAAATACAAGGTTGTGCGGGATGGAAAATTGTATAGTTTAATACCAAAATGAGTTAATTTGACAAAAGGGAATTTTACGTCACACTAACTTTACTGTGTTTAAAGGGAAGATGCAACATTTGCAAACATAAAAAAAAACGAAATGATAAAATTATCACGAAATACCTTACTGGGTTGTTAGGGAATGACAGTCTAAAGCATCCTGTAAAATCGTGGCTCCTGGTGTGCTGACATTTTTAAGAAACATTGTATTGTTCCAAAGCTGGTCAGCCACCCAGCGTTGGAGAAAACTGGCTTTTTTCAAAAACTGCTCCTAGTTTTTCATATTTAGTTATTCCGCATTTCAATTGATTATACACCTGTGAAGGGGTACAAGCCTGCTAGACTGATTCTCTGACCTTACAATTCCCCAAAGTCTATCAATTGCTCTGATTCATTTTAAGTGGGGTCATGGAACCAGACTTCAAGAACACGATTGGTTTTCTTGGTTTCTCCAGCATCTACAAGCTCAAAACGTGAAACAAGTCAGTTACAAACAATATTTGCTATAAAATGCCAATCCTCCAAATCCATTTATTTCTGAAAACTGCAGCAAAAGTAAATGCTGTACATTCCCTTAAAAACTTCCTGTTCAAATTCACATTGCATCAGCATACGAACCGACCATTAGAAGACCAAAAAAATCTACTCTTAACCCCTATGAAGTGGAAACGTCAGATGAGGAATGCAACTTGTTAAAGGTCTCATTTCAAAATTGAAGACCTAAATCAAGCCACTAAAACATGGACAACCAACTAAAAAGAACTTCAGTCTGGTGCTCTTCAACATCTCAGCTTTGTGTGGATTACAAGCATTCAAGAGTGCATTTATCAACCAGCAACGAGTCAGGGAACTTACCAAGGGATCTTGTGGCTCTGACCAGTGCCTCGCCAAGTTTCACTCTGGTCTCCGATGTCCTCTTCACCCTTTTCTTGGCTTTGTCCTCCTGCTGGCAAGCGACAAACTCCTGGCACAAATGAGGGATGACCCGCTCGGGAAAAGCGTCAGCAACGCAGGACAAAGCCTTGACAAAGAGAACAATGATTCATTCAAAGGCAAGAAATGCACACAACCAGCTTGCAGCTAGATGTCAAAACAGTATACAGTTGACTCTTGTTAATACAAAAACTGTTATTGACCTATTAAGCACATGTGGTGATAAAATTCTCCACTTGGTTCCACCGCGTAAATTTTTACTAGATTCCAAGTATTGACCCAAGAATAATAGATAACCAGATATAAACGGACATATAAATTCGAAGATAACATAAAATGGCCATCTAAGTCTTGTCTGGAACTCCAATTCACCATTTATGGGGATTAAAATTGCTTTGGGCTTGCAGGAGGGGGTTATTGACATAAAAAACTGGGTGGTGGTGTAAATCTCTGTGTGGGTCCACCGCGAAATTTTTTTGGTCTCCCAGCTCTAAGGGTTAATACAAATTCTGGTTATAACAAACAAAAAGCCTTGGTCCCGACTGAATTTATGCGCACAATGAATGTGACCATTGGTCCTCTTAATACAAAATTCTGATATAACAAACATTTTGGCTAGGTCCAGCTGAGTTTGCATTAACGAGAGTCGACTGTACCTTCATGCCCTACGATTCCAACACATCCACGATCGTGAAATTCAGTGCAATGTTTAACCCTAACCCTCCAATGGCATAAGTCCACTTGCGCCACAATTTATTGCGCAAGCTGCGCCAAATTTCACACTTCACAACATTTCAGTTATGACAATTTCACGGAAGTTTTATAGTGCATTAGTCCGCGTGTTGCGGTACACATTATGGCGTAACTTGCACAGTCATCTTAGGTGGCATAGGTTGTGGCGTAGCGATTGAAGATTACCCATTTTACCAGCAAATCGTGATCGTCTTGGCGCCTGTTATAGGAAAACTTATCAAGGTTGATACAAGGCACTTACAGCTTTGTGTTTGAAGTAAAAGAATTGCTATTTTACTTGTGACAGCGTTTTTGGCTTGCCTAATTTGCCTAACAATAAAAAACTTCCCCATAACACAGCGACGGCCCGCTCACTTAAACAACCCGATTCAAACCCAGAGATGCCACAGGGTCTGCTTGAAAAAACCGCAACGGCTGCTTGAAAAAAAAACGGAACTTTTTTGTGTGTGGAAAAGCCACTCTGAGTCCGACACGAAGTCCCTATTGTCATCTTTATCTTGTAACCAAGCCCAGTTCCGTTTATTTTTAATTTTGCTTCTATGGTATTTAAGCTGTCGGTTCGTTCAACCACTTCGACCTTTTTCCATATTCCTAATATTTATTCTGCCTTCCTGAATTTCCAACGCAAATATTCGACACAAAACATACACGATTCCACAACACTGTTGTCTGTGTACATGACCTTTGCACTATGCAGTTCGTTCGACGAAAACATGGTTGGTACCCGGCGTTTTTTGTATTCACATATATCACTGCGATCGGAAACCAGCGATAACTGAAATGATAGACTTGATTTCCAGGCTGAATGCTACGTGTGCTTAGCGCACAACATGCCCGCATGCGGTGAAGCAAGTACAAGTACATGCAAGTACATTGGCCGCCTGTACCACATGCAGGCTCGGCAACAACAAAGACTGTTTATAAGACTACTTCAACGAACAACGTTGTGCCGTGCGTGCGCCTAAATGTACTAAATCGAGAGTGCTAACGAGGTAAAAATCAATGCATTTCCACAGTTTTTCTTCTCTTTTTTTCGGTTTATTTTGACGGCCGGAAAAACCAGAATTTTGTGAGATTTAAAAAAAAATTGGAATTCCGGTTAAAACCGGAAAAGTGGCATCTCTGCAAACCACTGTTGAAGAAATCACATTGTCACCCACATTAGCCACTAGTTGCCATTCTCTGCTCTCACAACTGCCACAACTTTTAACAATATATATAATGTGAACACTTATAACCAGCAATGCAAACGTGCCCCACGCTCGTGCCCCAAATGGTCGACTAGAGTGGTTCAGCCGTCATGAGTTTATGCGAAGTGAAAGCTATAGTCCATCATTTGCAGCCATCCGAAAAGTAACTGGCCTAATCATTGTTGAAAAATAAACTTGGTTGAAAGATAGTAAGGGAACTAAACTCCCTGTGAAATTATTCTTTCTGGGAAGCTGACATTTTGAAGTAATCAACAAAAGAAGGCCTTTCCAACGGTGCATCTTAAGACACACCGTAGGAAAATTTAAATTAGTAGTTCGTTTTGTTATTCGGCGAAGCGCGCGCAAGCATTGGCACGACGCACACACGCGCGCGGTTGCTATAATTCGTCGGATCAGTGCGCGACGTCGCGTATAGCTGCAATTCAAAACAATTCAAAACATGATTCAGTAATTTTTGATTTGAAATTGAGATCCTAGAATGCTATTTTTCTCGGAATATACAGCTGAAGCTTAGCTCAAAGTTCATCAGGTTAGTTGTTCAGTATCCTTCATTAGATTTTGAATGCTTTTGTTGCTTCAAACGAACAAAATGCACAAATTACAAATGATGGACTGTATCTTTAACAGTCGTACTTCTTCAACCATAGTTTGTGCTCAAACTCCCACTTGGAATGGAGGATTACCTGAATGGCTGATAGATAGATGTATGAGTCCTCGTGGCTGAGATTCTCCTCAAATATTCCCACCAGCATCTCCTGTTTCTGCACGGCCTTGGGGTCTCGGGCTTGCAGCAGCTTGCCTAGCGCCCTCAAGGCATGGCCCCTGGAGGGCAAGAGTGGGTCAAAGAGGTCTTGGAACGCCTCGTCGAAGGCCTTGCTGAGGGGCGCATTGCTGTCATCTTTTCGCCCGTCAGAGGGGTTTTGTTCGGATGCCCTTGCAGAGGATTTTGGGGTTGGAAGTGTGGGCTGGTCTCTGGGTTGCGGAATACCAGTGACTCCGTCCGTACTTTTCCCTGCGTTCTTAACTTGAGTCCTACTGTCCGCATCCACCTTATCTTCTTGAAGTGAATTCTCCCTACTTCTCCCGATCGATGTTTCTGGTTTTTTATTACTTTTCTCTTTCATTATTTCAGCTGCAGTCTTCGTAACCGTCTTTGTAGATTTTAGCTTCTCGGTGGCCTCCTTCATTGACTCTGCCCACACCGCACCGTGGGTTGCTATGGAGATGCGCAGGTCTGTCGCTGTCCTCTGGAGCGGCTCAATTGGGTGTTCGTTGGATATTTTCTCCAGTGATGGTAAGAGGTCCATGAGAGACTGTCTGTGCTCCGAAGTGATCTTTTTCTGCAGGAGGAGGAATTAAAACACATCAGATTAATTGCAGACAGCTTTGCATTAGAGAATCCATTTGGAATTTTTCCATTTAATAGTTCATCAAAAATATTGTGCTGTATATGCTCAGATAATATAATGTTACAGCCACTAAAACAGGAAATCATCAAAGGATATTTGCATTGCTGAAATGTACTTAAGCAACGCTTCGACGTTCTTCAAAGCTCACTGAATTTAGCCCCTGGTGCGGAATGCAGCATAGGTTGATGCAATGGTCATTGGTTGCCATGGCAATGTTGCATTCCTCAGAGTGGACCCATTTTTGAGATTCAAACATGTCTAGCCATTCCACAACGATACCTTCCAGGCACTTTAAATCTCTTAAAAAATAAGAACCATGTTTTCTTGGACTTGCGACTTGCGGTGAACTCGGGATGAACTCTACTTCATGAATTCGGGATGAACTCGACCTCATCCCCGGGTATCACAACAGAGGTGCTAGGTACCGCGTGCAGCCACACTCTCCAAGGGATGGCCAGCTTATTCTGATGATAAGCAGCCTCTAGATCGCTCCATGAGGAGGGTATCACCATATCCAGGCGGCACAGCAAAACTACACTCAAGGAGCAAGAGTTACTAGGCCAATTCAAAAAATATACAAGTTTCTCATCCCCAACCGTGTCCTTTTTCCTGCCAGCGTCCTTGTTCCCGCACAACTCGCCCCCCCCCCTTTTTTTGATAATATAATCATTTGTTTGCAAAATATTTTGAAAATGTTGTTAATATAGTTTTTATTTGTTTCTAACAAAACCGTAGCTATGTAGAAAGGGTGATGGCTCCTTTGGACACAATTGTGTATCAGCAAAAGAGGCAAAAAAATGGATGAATCCACCTGCCATCTTGGAAAAAAAACAGGGGAGCCACCTACTTCGTTTTTTCAAAAAGCCTGGATGAGCTACTTTTTTTTTGTTTAATCTGCCTTAAAGGTACAGTCCATCATTTGTAATTTGTGCATTATGTTTGTTTGAAGCAACAAAAGTGCTTAAAATGTAAAGAAGGGTGCTTAACAACTAATCCGGTGAAGTTTTAGCTCAGTGAATGCTGCATGTTTCGAGAAAACAATATTCTAGGATCTTGATTTCAAATCAAAAGTTGCTGAGTCATGTTTTGCATTGCACCCAAATTCAGCGTCTGTAACACGTTCTCATCCAGCCAAATGCAGCTACGCGATGTTGCACACTGAATCGACGAATTATAGCAACCGCGCATGCGTGTGCGTCGTGTCAACGGTTGCGTGCGCTTTGCCAAATTAAAAACGAACTACTTACGGAAATTTCCAACGATGCGTTTTTAGATGCATCATTGGAAAGGCCTTCTTTCATTGTTTTCTTCAAAACGACAGCTTGCCAGAAAGAATAATTTCACAGGGAGTTTAGTCCCATAACTTTCTTTAAAACAAGTTTGCTTTCCAACAATAATTACGTCAGTTACTTGTTGGATAGCTGCAAATGATGGACTGTAGCTTTAATGGCACACTGATTTACCTCTAAATCCCCACTGAGGATCGCAGAAACCAGTCCAAACGCCAGCGTCAGAGTCTCAGTTTCGAAGACGTCAAACGTCTCCCCCTTAACATCCAGGGATGAGGCGGCACGGTCGAGCGTAGCCCGTGCAAACTCCAGCATCTGCGCGGTATTCTCCAGCACGTCTGGCCCAAGGTCCTCGCAGAGCTTGGACAAGAGGGCTAGAACCTGCAGCGAGTGCTGTAGGCGGGTTACCTGACCGTCCCGTCCCTCCTCAAGGTCCAGGAGTGTGCTGGAAGCATCTGAGGAATGGGGAACCGAAATTGGGAGATTCGGGTCGGTAGCGTTCGACGAAGTGATGTTGGTTAACTCCTGAAATATAAGAATTGCCACATAAATAGTTTGTGAAAGAGAGGCACATTTTCTGAACTGCTTTGCGAAGAAGAGTCAGTTATTACAAGACTTGCTTTTCAAAATGCTAATACAAATTCTTTAGTTTAAGTGAATTATTAACCCTAACTCCCTAGGCATTTTTGTTAGGATGCAATCTCAATCCTGCAAAATCCTCCAACTGCCTCTGTGTAAAAATAGCATACAGCCTCAATCCACCAAAATCCTCTGTTATTTCTTGAATGTGGTTCTTGGAGGGGTGACCACTGCCTCAATCCTGCAAAACACTCTGGCTATCAATGTCAATATATTGAGGCAGAGCCAGTGACATCCTGGAGCAGTGCGGAGGATTTCAAGTATAATCTATGCCTACATTTATGCACGGCTGAGCATAAACAACACAAGGTCTGGCCCAAGACCTTGACACAGTGCATCCTCCAAAATCAGCCACACATTTCTGCCATATAGCCTCAATCCTGCAAAATCCTCCATTTTGCAAAGAGGATTGTGCAGGATTTGGGAAGGTTAGGGTTATTGGACAAAATTATCATCAGGTCAATCAGATGTTAAATCACAAGTAGCAGGGGATGAATAAATGAGATATTAATTAAATTTATGAACAAATGAGGTATTAATTTGCAAAGCAAACTATTCTGCTCTATGCAATTGCTGAAAGCCTATCGTAAACCAATAACAAAGTATTTTTGCTAAGCCTATCGTAAAGCAATAACAAACTATTTTTGCTAAGCGAAAAGTCTGTACACGCGGCAAAATCTGATGCCTTAGAATTGTCACGGCATCGGCCGAAGGTCACTGTAAAGTGACAACTCTCTGAAGGAATAACTGACAAACCTTTAGCACAATTATGAAGAAGTCTCCCGCCAGTGCCTCCGTCTTGAGTTTCTGAAGTAACTCCAACAGAGTGGCTGCTCTGTTCTCCTGTGACATCAAAACCTCGGTGAAGAGCTCATCAGCACTGTGTATCATGTACATTGACAATTAAAGGGAAGGTTCAACATTTGCAAACATAAAAAAAAAACGAAATGATCAAATAATCACGAAATACCTTACTGAATTGTTAGGGAATGACAGTCTAAAGCATCCTGTAAAGTTGTGGCTCCTGGTGAGCTGACATTTTCAAGAAAAACTGTATTTTTCCAATGCTGGTCGGCCAACCAGCGTTGGAGAAAACTGGTTTTCTTTCAAAAGCTGCTCCTGATTTTTCATATTTAGTTATTCCGCATTTTCTTTGCAATGATTACACACCTGTGAAGGGGTACAATCCTGCTAGACTGATTGTCTGACCTTACAATTCCCCAAAGTCTTTACATTTCTCCGTTTCATCTTCAGTAGGGTCAGGGAACCAGATTACCAGAACATGGGCATCTACAAGCCCAAAACGTGAAACAAGTCAGTTTAACAATATTTTCTATAACGTACTAATCCTCAAAATCCATTTATTTCTGAAAATTGCAGCAAAAGCAAATGTTGTACATTCCCTTTAACCCATTAGCACCTGTACTACATTGTATTACATTGTGTTTATTCACTGAAGAATCAATAAAACCATAGAATGCTGTGGCAGTTTCAGGTGCTACAGGGAGTAATAGGCGGGGCAGTTTCGGGCGCTACAGTGACTAAAGGGTTAAAGGGGCATTATAGCCTTAAATCCCTGAAATTTTATGTTTTTTAGGGACACGGTCAAGTAAGTAAAGAAAATCTGTCGCGAGCCACTGTGGCTCATCAGGCCAGCGTTTATCTCCGGTTTCAGAAGCATGAAACGACTGAGAATATTTCTACTCCCCCTGGATGCAGGTTACTCCCCAGCTAATGCTGGTACCCATTTATACTCCTGGGTGGAGAGGGGCAAGTGGGGGTGAAGTGTCTTGCCCAAGGACACAGCATATGGCCAGCAGCTGGATTTGAACCCCGGACCCTCTGATCATGAGTCACGAACCCTAACCGCTAGGCCACACACTCCTCCACGGTCATGAAGTCATACGAAATTTAAGGCTGGTAAGTGTCCCCAAAAGTTTGTTTAGGCGACACAAAAACTATGAGCTGAGAAAGTGACCTAGATGCATGGTAGTGAAACTGTTCTCTTTCCAGTATACAGTTGAATCCAGTTGTCTTGTTTCATTTTTTTTTCAAGTATGAGACATCCTTTTAGTTTGTTTTGGGAAGTTATTTTCAAGCTTGTCCTGACTACTGAGGGGGCTGTTGATGTGATGTCACTTAGGACACACATTCTTCAGTGTAGCAATTTTGAGTTCAACTTGTGAACCCAAAACTTTGCTTATTGAAAAAAATCTGCATTAAATTCGCTCACTCACTTACTGTCATGTTGAAACAATGAATCAGAAACTTTACCTCAAACATGTAGTTGCTCATGAACATGGACATTCACAATCAATATAAAACTAAAAAGGCACCATGCACTCGTTTAAAAAATTCCATTATATGGGTCCTTTAAGATGTTCCCTTACCTGATATTTGGTCTGAACATGACTACGGCGCCCCCCTTTGAGCCAGGAGCAAACTTGACCCCCCTGTGTATGCTCTTGATCGTGGGGTCGCACCCAAGAAAAGCTACATGCCTCAGATACTTCAAGGCGACTGGCTTATCAGTGTGACGGAAGAATGTAAGCACAATGTCTTCAAGAGTTGACCTGGGTACGAGTTGGAAATTTATTCAAAGATGAGCAAAATTTTGCGACAATGGTGTCATGAAATGAACCACAAATAAGCCTTAAGGTTATCTGGTAATGTTGCTGGCATCGTGAAGTTTTGGCACGACTCCCAATGTGAGTTCTGAAAGGAATGGAAAAAATGTCTTATTCTTGAGACGTCTCAAGAATCACCAGAAGAATGTAGTTGGATCTTTTTCAAAACTAGATACACCAAACTTCCTCAAATTTTTACCTGAAACAGTTAACCCATTCCTATTGGTCAAGAGCCTGTCATGTGGGTGGTTCTATACCGCTGATAAAACACCGGCTGGTTTTAAAACCAAATCCTGCACCGCTGCGTTCTGCGCCACATTGCGCAACACATGCCACACGCACACCAATTTCCATTTACGGAGATTTTTAGCACTACGCTCGCGAGGCAGTGAATTTTTGACTTGTTTTGACTATTTAACCAAAAGGTATTTATGAATGGGAATAAATAACTGCTTGGCCGGTTTTAAACAAGGCGTTTAAAACCAGCTAGGGGCCTGGCCGTGGATAATGGTGACCAGGCCTCTCGCCAGTTTAAACGTTCTTGTGTAATCATGGCCAAGCGCATATTTATTCCCTTAATAATCAACAAACACTATGCAAAAACAAAACAACAACAAAACAAAAAACGTGGTGGGAGTCACAGCTAAGTAATTTTTTTTTTGAGGGGAGGAGGGGCAGAATATGTACCTGAGGTTGCAGACGCCTTGCTTGGCGAAGCAAAGAAGCTCAAATAAGGCATTCATGACGGGCTGCAACATCTGGATGAGGCAGGAACCAGACCCAGGGGCGCTGACAAAGACGTGGTGGATATCTTCAATGCATTGAGATAAAGTAGCTTCATCCACCAATACGTATGAGTCACCATCTGCTACGACTCCTTCAACTGACAACAGAACAAGATAAGACAAGTCCGTTGAAACTCATCGCAGAGCACAAAAAAATAATTTTATTTCGTTGATTCAGCAGAACAGCTAAAATGTTCATATATTAAGCTGCATAATGTGACGTATTATGAAAAAGCAACTTTCGCCGTTCGCATGGAGACTTGACATATTGCATCAGTACTTGACAGGACATGAATCAAGCGGCACCAGACTAATGCACAAGTGGCGTAGATTGCAACCTCGTTCCCCATGGGTACGATCGTGCTGCGCCATGTTGTTTCCCATCATGCCTTGCGCGATCTTAACCCCTGGAATTGTGTAATTTAAATGTGTCAAAATATGGCACATTATAATTAGGCTGCAGTTTATCCGTTTTACGTGCCGACGCCATCTTTAAAATGTTAAAAGTTGTGATGTTGAAGAATCAATCCTTTCAAACAAAACATTTGGATGTAGGTTATTTAGCAAAGGTTTGTATTAAATGTACGTACCCCTTTCGTCCCTTTACAAGTGAAGATACAGGGGTATTTTTAGCGAAAAACGAGGCTGCCATAATCCATATCGTACAGGCATCGCGACTTTTGAATAACAATTTGTTTTCGTACGTTACGTTACGTGCAAAGCACGCGAGCGCATTATGGGCGCGCCCGGCGTGCAATCTTCAAAATGCGCGCGCAGTATGCTGTGAATAGCCAATCAGCGTCATTTACGTCATCATCACGGCCAGGGGTTAGTGTAAGGAATGCGCACGCGCCCATGGAGTCGAGGCTGCGTAGATTGCTATATCACATAAGAACGAGATAGGTAAACGGTCTTAAGTACCAGTCTAATTCACAAGTGACAGTCTGTCGGTCAGTCAGTCAGGAATTGACTTGTATTTAGTTTCTTATTTTGTTTTGGTGACATTGTTTGAAATTGCAAAAAGACACGTTTTAAATTAAGGGAAGAATTCCATACATGGACATCACTGCAGTGACCCATCAGTCATCAGAAAGCAATAACATGTCCTAAAAAGTCTAATTTAGCAGGGAAAATATTAAAAGATTTACTGAAAAAAACCTTAGAATATTTCAGACCAGTCTCATAGCGTTTCTATGCAGGGTATCAAGTGATGTCAAGGTATAGAACTCTTTCCTAGATGAATTCTGCCGAAAAAAACTATGTTGAGTGCAAGACAACTATTATTAATTGATTCTGGTAATGAAACCAAGGATTCCTCAAAAGCGCCCTAGGCACTGTAGCCTGCAAGCCTGAAGAAACCTGTAGAAAGAAGACAATGAGAAGAAATTACAGTTTTAGAGGTGGGAGGAAAACCCCAATAAGAATATTCTGGGGAAAACCCATGGAATCAGGTAGGGACTGAAAACCCAATCCACATGTTGGCCCAGGCGGGATTCGAACCCGGGTCACAGAGGTGGAAGGCGAGGAAAGTACCACTACGCAACCTGACTCCCCAAACTATAGTTAGGAAGGCCCAACTGGAACACTTTGGGACAGTCTAGCTAGTCCCAACCTAGTTGGGACAGATGGTATAGTTGGGGGGCAACTGTATGCCTGTCCCTCTTCCAGAGCCTGCAGGCTAAAAAAATGTTACCATGCATGACACAAACAATTGACCAACCTCTCTCATGAAGGGTTGCTTGGAGTGGCTCCAGCAACGGGCCAATCAGATGAATGCCAGCCAGCTGGGGATGATGCGTCGTCATGGCAATGATGCAGCTGCTAGCGACGCGGAGCACCTGCTTCAGCAGTGCCTGGTTTTTGAAGCGCAACAACTCAAGAATCTAGGAGCAGATCAGCATTGATAATACACAACCGTCAAATTTATTGTGTCATTCATTGTCCCTGTCAATACCACATAGTCCACATTGTTTAATGACTTGGATCTCCATGATACCACACTGTTCTATAGCAGGCTAGTCGAAACGTTGAGTATGAGCTGCAGCACGCAAAAATCTGCAAATTAAGATTTGAAGTCGGCGTATAAGCCGCACCGGCGTATAAGCCGCACCGGCGTATAAGCCGCACCGGCGTATAAGCCGCACCGGCGTATAAGCCGCACCGGCGTATAAGCCGCACCGACCGCAGCGGTTTCAATTTTGTAAGGCCTCCAAATTCTACAAGTAGTCAAAATGCTCTGAACCAGTTCCATTTACACTACGAAAGCTATAAAAAGAGCCACAAAAGTTATATCCAATCATTTACAGTTGATACTCTTACAAACAAATATGGAAATTGATGAGAAATAAACACCGAGAATTGCTGCCGGCTGGCCCGTCCGGTCCCGAAAATTACAGTAATTACCTGCAATTTTCTCCAATTTCGCTATATTTAGACAATGCTACCATCATTTTGCAAACATTGTGGACCTTGAGAGTTGAGACAATGATATTACCTGTGGGCACACTTGTTTGTAGTATTTCTCCAGCGTGTTGCCTTGCAGGGGACAGTCTGTGATGAGACGAGCTACTGCATCGCACTTCCTCCAGTCTGGTGTGGAAGATGAGGAGGGGGACTGGCCCATCCCTCCTGCAGGATGTGAATCAGAATGAAAGGTTTTGAGTAGACGGAATAAGTTGATGACTTTTTAAAGAGTTAGAGACAGCCTCCTACATCTTTATTCAGACAGATGTTCTACAGTCGCACAAAACTAACTAAATGGCTAAAGCCCGGTTCATACTTCACGCGAAAGCTTGTGCGAAGCGAAATTCATGTCGTCAACAATGGTGGACGCGCTTCGAATGTATTGTTGACGTCACAAATTTCACTTCGCTTTTGCGTGAACTATGAACCGGGCTTAATACATGCATTTGAATTAAAGATACATCTATTTGAATTAAAGATACATGTAATTAAAGTAAAGATAATGTATTTGAATTAAATTTGAATTAAAGGTATATGTAAATGGGCAAATTTGCTTTTTGTATATTTTATTTAAGTTGAATTGAAGCAACAAAATTGCTCAAATTCTGAAGAAGATTTCATAACAAGTAACCTGTGGAATTTTAGGTCAGTGGACAGTGGACAATTCAAGAAAACTGAGAAAATGTACCGCAGGATCTGCACAATTCTTGGGGTCTCGTAACTGAATTCTGTTGCTAGTGCATGTAGAAATCTGTGCCCCCGGGCATTGCGTACTAGTCCTATCTTCACTTTGAGCAACTATTTTTTTGTTAGATCAGTAGGCACCGGTATGTTTCTGGGTAATTGCAAATGCCCCTACACGCCTTTAAGTACATGAAAAGTTTGTTAGAAACACTTAGGAACAAGTTTGTCCATAGAGCTATTCAGAATGACTTTACCAGAATGATTTCAGATTTAAATCTTGTTAATTGAAATCAATGCATTATGTTTGCCTGCTTTTGCCAAATTCTAAACTCTTACACGTCATTAAATTTTTAAAAACAGTAAATCGGTGCAACTTAAGTATACCAGTAAGGAATGGGTGTTATTTTTTACTGGTCCATGTGAATACATTTTCCATCCATTTTTGAGTGCATTCTGAGGAAGGAAAGGTTTTCTCTTAAAAATGAAAGCTACAGACTTGGCTGTTTTCGGGTCTCTTCAATTTTCTGGATTTCACTTGGAAGCGATAAAGAAATGTTCTTGATTTGGCAGCTTTCACCATGTTGGTTCACGTCCTCCACACTGTTTAAAGAGCCCAAACTTTTCAATCCTCAAACCTGAAACTTTTTAACAAGAGGGAAATTCCCGCATTATGCAATGTCCGTGAAGGAGCTTTTACAACCTCAGTAAATAAACCTGTATAAGATTTTCAAATCTTATACCTCCATCACCTAGTATTAAATGGTCAAGGAGATTACAGACTAGGAGTTTTAGATCATTTCTCTGAATCAGTAATTAGATATGACGGTTAATGGGCTCTGTATCAGACATTACACTTCCTTTCATAATGCTGGCATTGCCCATGAACTGATTTTATTCTTTGTGGGAACAATTTTACCTCCAATGTCCACTAGCCCTCGGAGCACCCACTGAATTCCTTTGGGTTGCATTAGCCGCTCTGTCAAGAGCCTCCCACACTCCTGCCTCAGCCACAGTGGCGCCCTTGGAAGGGGACTCTGTCCACCCTTTGAAACCTTCTTTGTGTCTGCCTTCAGGGTGGTTTGCTTGCCTTGGGAGCCAGGACCGCCCTGAAGGAAGAGAAGCTCTCTAATGACCATGGGCTGGAAGGTCTTCTGGAGAAGGCGCTTCAACTGGGATTGGAAGAACTCCGTGCCGTCAGAGCAGGCAGCTGCTCTTTCGGTTCCTGGAGCTTTCAAATCTTTGTCCAGACTCACTGTACCAACTTGGAGAGATGCACTATCTGTGTTTTCTAAATTACCAGAGTTATCAGTGGATGACTGCTTGCTCCTACTGTGATCAGCGTTTATTTCAAATTCAGAACCATGACTTTCTGTTTCTGGTGTCTGTCCACATTCGGACTTAGGTTTAAACTCTAGGCCAATTAAGCCCGGGCTGCTGAATAATGGCATCCCGGACTTGGTGGCCGTTTTATCACCAGATGACCTGTCTAAGCCATCAGTAACACCACTGTGCTCTGAGGCGTCTGTGCTTGAAACCTCTGTTTTACCAATGACCTTCTTGCCCTGTTGTTTGCCCTCATTTCTTGACGGCTTCTGAGATTGACTGGAAGACGATTTTGGGGAGTAACAAATCTGCAGCAGAGCTGCCAGGAGGTCACCAAGATGTCGCGTCAGGATCAGCCCTCCTAGAGAAGGCTGTTCAACACATTCCAGAAGCACCTTCACAACACGCTTCAGTCTATCATCATCAGGGTTTGACTTTCTGCCAGCCAGCATCTGCCCAAACCCGGAACGCTTCTCAATTGGGATCCCAACCCCTTGCTTCAGATTGGATACAAGACCCAGGCAAACTATGAACTGCAGGACAGTTGTTAGATTCTTCTGCTGTCCGATGCTGAAAGTGTCGGGGGATAATGGTGGAGCAACATCAGGTCCTGGCTTTGGAGGCTTGGACTGTTTTGTTCTTTGATCCTCCTGGAATTCTATCATCTGCAAGACCACGGCATCCTTCAATCCTTTGAGCAGACCAAGACAGTGTTCTACATACAACCAGCGTATGTCTTCCTCTTCAGTTAGTCTCTCTTTCCAGTCACTGAGTGCAGCCCCCAGGGCAAAAGCTAGATGTTGGCATTTCTTATCACTTTCAATTGCCTGGTGTAGTTTACCAAGGGTTGACCTCAGAGAGTGGTCAAACCTTGCTGCATCATCAATGGCTCCTTGTGCATCTGCAAAATATAAAGTGAAAAGTTAAGAATTTGTAGCACTATAGGCGCAGTTAAAAAAAAAAGACATGTTTAGCGTCCCTGCCCGCTTCCTTTTTTCGGTGGCCACTTGGATTTTTTTTTTAATTATTAATTTTTTTTAGAAAAGCAAAATAAGGTGCTTCACGGTAATATGCACCATCTTGCCGACAGGGCAATTCTACACACATGACACACGTTGCTGTGTACGCACCATCAATGGATAATTTTGGCACTTCCCAAAGTCATCATGCGGTCATTCCAAATGCGCTCTTTTTGCCCCGTGAACAAGATGGTGCATATACCCTGAAACACCTTATTCAATGGATAATTAATTACAACTTGCGGGTCGGAGTTTGAAATTCTAGACTCTATCGGTCACTTTCCAAATCATGCAGTCGACCCTGCAATTTCCAATCCAAACCAGCCTCGACGGTGGATGATGGACTAAGCACCCACGCGGCCGGCCGGGCACGTGCCGCCGGCACTACTAAAAAATTACGAATCTGAGTCTATGCATGCGTGGAATAAATACACAAAGTATTTTCATACAAAATTGAAAACGTTTCTCACTCAGTCCAAGAATTATTCATGTCTTTTCCACATTTTTGTGATGACTGACCTTCATTGAGATACTGATGGTGAAAAAAGTGGTGTCAGGATGCAACATTCATTGCGAGGACCGGTTCAATGTAGGCCTACTAGTACTTTGAATACGAAAACAGACCAAACTTCAAAGACATTAACATTCTGTATCTGCAGTGCATACAGTAAAACGTGCAGTGCCAGTGCCAGTATTGTGCCCAAAACGGCAAAAGATCACACTTGACATGCTGACTTGGTCTTGGCCGGCTTGCGGCCTTACACGAGACTCAATTAACACGCCTAAATGTATGCAATTTTACTGACTTTTTCGAAAATTGTGTTGATGCTGACGTTATCCGATATAGGTATGCCCGATATACTTTGCATTCTGTTGCTTACCAGTTGAATTAGACGGCGGAGAAACCAAAATTTGAATAGCCGAAATATATTCCATGGGCGCAGCCATCTTGAATGTCTTGAAATCTTACAGGGAAATAATGTAGAGGGCGCTCTTCAAAAATATCTTTCGGAACGATTCCCATAATCTGGCCATCACTAATATTTTCCCTTCCGTGACCTATCAGCCATCAGAAAGTGATAATGTCTTTAAAAAAGTCAAATTTAGCAGAGAAAATATTGAAGTATTTACTGAGAAAACACTTAAAAATTTTCAGACCAGTCTCATACGGTTTGTGCACATACAGGGCGACAAGTGATGGCCAGATATGGGAATCTTTCCTACCAGCCTACCTTTCAATTACTAGAACTACGTGTATGTGGACTTTTCAACCAATGAGCCATCTTGCATACAAAAAAAACGCCCCCCCCCCAAAAAAAGATCCAATACCAAAATAAGTCAGGGCGTTTTCTGAAACTAAAAATCAGCTGAACTGGATTCCAGTCGATATTCCATCTTATGACGTCTTTGTTTCTCAAACAAATCAAATAAAATTTGCCATAATCTGTATTAATTCTTCTATTTCCCTCCTTTTTTTAAAAAGTACAACATGGGGGGGGGGGGGGGGGAGGGGCAGGCTGACGTCATCCGGTGAAAACATCTATTCATTTTGCACACCACTTTTCATTTGTTGCTATGCGTTACCATTCAGCACTCCAGATTCAAGAACTATTGAGTTTCAAGAATATAGGTCTGGCGGAGAGCTAAATAAGCAAATGTAAAAAAATTTAAAAAAAACCCGGATGTCCGCGCCACCCTACTAGTTCTATTGACAAGCATATCGATTAAAAACAAAAGAGAAATTTCACGCTTTTTTCAAATTTAATGCAATCTCAAGAATTCTTCATTTTGTTGAACAACAGAGTAAATTGCAATATTGCTTAAAAGGGGAGTTTGCAAAGCTTTGACTGAAAATTAATTACCCCTTCTTGATATACATCTGTTTTAGCAGCATTTACAGAGCCAATAACAATAGTCCATTTTGAAGTACTGAAGCATTTTGATAAGGAGTAAAGGCTAAATACTGAACATATCATAGGAAGCTACATCCCGAAGTACATTAATTGAAATGACAAACTTATATATTTTTTCAATTTACTGCAGATACCGGGCATTGATGCCAAACGCCTTAAATCTCTGAAAAAAAGTAGTTCCTACTTATATTTTCACTTTCAAGAAATTCAAGAATCCAATCAGCTAATAAAAGTTGTGAAAAGTGGTAAACAAATAAACAATTGAATCAGAGGATTTTGAAAAACCACAATTTTCTCTGATTAGGGTCCATGCGATGAATTGTTCCCTAGGAATACAATTCGTGCAATTTTCTACTCCTCTTACACATGTAGGAAACTATTTGACATCCCTTTTTGGTTAATTTTATTGAAAAGTGCAATTCTTTTCAACATTTAAAAATGTTCCATACTTTTCCGGACAACTGAGGGTGCTGTTGCTGCGATGTCATTTCAGGAACACATTTGTCATTGAAAACATTTTGTGAGAAAGGTTAGTTCACTAGCTGACTGCCATGTACTGACACAACGAATCACCAAAGAAAAGAACATTTGCAACCGCAAAATATCAAAAATTCTAGCTACTTTTTGTGATGTAATAGATGTAACATTGAGGTTTCTGCCCAGAATGACTTCATAGTTTTACTCATGATTATTGAAATTTGCATTAGCATAAAAACAAAAAAGCACCAAAATATCCTTGAAAATGGCAAAATGAAAATTTAAAATAAGGTTAAATGGGACACAAAGATGCATTTTCAAGTATTGCCTAAAAAAAATTACATTGCAAAAGGGAAAGATATAGATCCATCAAACTTGTTTTTTTCCCCATAGTAGCAATTTCAAAGTGAAATTTCATACAAAGATAAACTAACATATTTGGCACTTTAATCACAAAAATGGTCTGTTCTTCTATGCTGACAGTTGTCCCATGTTAAGGAGGGCTATCGCCGTTGAGTTGATAGTGGGCTGCTGAAGCTGTTTCAAATGGACGCCATCACTGGATGATGTAGAAACACCGACCCCATCCTCATCGGCACTGACCATGATATCTATCATCCCAGACCCTTCAGAGAGCATCTCATTGTCTGGATTCTGCTCCTGCTGTTGCTGACTCTCCCTTTGCATCTCCAGTTCCTTCTGCTGTTGCTCTAAAAGACCCGACTTTATGGCCTCCAAGTCCCTCTCAATATCCTCCATGGAGCGATTGGGCAGTTTCTTCTTGGGACCGGTGCGTCGCGGCCTGCCTTTAGTACCTCCCCGGCCTCTCCGACTAGTCTGCGTCTCCCTGGGTTCGGGATCATCCAGCATGTGGACTTTTTTCGAGAAGCCAGAGTGCCTTAGTCTGACTTGTCTTGTTTTTGTCATGAGGATTGGGTGTTGACTTTCCTCTGAGTTCTTGTTGGTTTTTCCTTGGCTGGTTGATCCTCTTCTAGATGTGCCTTCCCCGGACTCCGAGCTGGCATTTGCAACATCTTCCTTGGCTGTGTCACTGGATGGTTCATCGGTCAACATGGCAGCTGAGGCAGCGTATTCGTCAGCCTCGGCGTTGGATTTCATAGCTTCCCTCGTCTGTGCCCATCTTGGGCAGTTATGGGCTTTCTTGTACTTCTCGCGAGCGAAGCCCTTGTTGCAGACCTTACAGCGGATCTGGTAATCATCTGTGTGGATGCGCATGTGCTCGGCTAGGTTGGGTCTCCGGCTGAAGCACTTGAAGCACTGCGGGCACTTGAACGGCTTGATGCCACTGTGCGAGATAATGTGGGCCTTGAGCTTGTCAGGCCTGTTGAACATCTTGTCGCAGCCCGTCAAAGAGCGGAAGGGGCACTTCAGCTTCTTGACGGGGTCGTGGGTCAGGTGGTGCCGCTTCAGCTTGTCAGGACGGTTGAACGCCTTGCCGCAGGTGTCACACTTGAATGGTTTGTCGCCGCTGTGGATCATCATGTGAGACTTGAGGTAGTGGTCCGTCTTGAAGGACTTCTGGCAGAGGTGACAGGTGAACTGGCCGTGGGCGCTGTGGGTCGGCAGGTGTCGACGGAGGTAGCGCTCGCAGGGGAAGACCTTCTTGCAGTGGGGGCAGCTGTAGTGGTGGTTGGTTGTGGCTAAATGGTGCTCCAGGGCTTCCGGGGTCGAGTAACGATTCATGCATTTCTGGCAGCGGTACTCCCTGCAGGTAGAACAAAAAACGTTTGCTCAAATTCGAACAAATGCACAGATGCACACACCTTGATCATATCATATATTCTGCATAATTCCTAGAATGGCCGATACTTTTCAGGAAATATAGACAGCTACAAGTGCCTTTCGGTGCACAGGTAAACAACATATGGCAAGTTAAACTTGCGTGATCAGTATTAGTAAGTTAAGTAAGTTAAGCACACTTTTCAGTGTACCTAACCAAAATAAAAAATGACCTCATCTGACCCCTAGATGACCTCTGACCTCAAATGCCTCGAGTCAACTGAAGTCCTCCTACCCAAAGATTATTGTGACCAAGTTTGGTTGAGAGTGAAGTCTGAATTTTCATATGACAGCACTTTTCAGTTTACCTAAATCAAAATCAACAATGACCTCATTTGACCCCTAGATGACCTTTGACCTCAAATGTCTCAAGTTATCTGAAGTGATCCCCCTACCCAAAGAATATTGTCAACAAGCTTGGTTTAGTATGAAGACTGACTTTTCATATGACAGCACTTTTCATATAACAGCACTAAAAAGTGGGGTGATGTGTTCTGAAAGGAACATCACCCCACAAGGGTGGTCTGGTCAGAACGGACACACAGACACACAGAAGGAAAACACTATTGCAATATCCCCCTTTTCTGGATTAAAAAAGCCAGGGGGATAAAAAGAGAGAAAACATGACGGTGACTATGATTTTTTAATATTTGAGCTTCAAATATTTGAGCTTGTGGGGTGCTGTGGTCCAATGGTTACGGTGTTCGACTCGTGTGCCGTGGAACATGGGTTCGAGTCCTGACCGTGGGAACATGGTGCTTGTGCTCTTGAGCAAGGCACTTTACCATTATTGCTTCGTCCTTCGGATGGGACGTAAAGCCGTACGTCCCGTGTGTTGTGTAATGCACGTTAAAGAACCCAGTAACACTTATCGCTATTGAGAAGGGGTTTGCCCCGGTGTTTCTGGCAGTGGCTGCAATATGCGCCGCAGCACCTTGTAAACCCTTATAAGGTGCTACATAATGGGTCTCATATTTCTCATAAACTTTATTTACCTTTCTTTAATAATAGACATATCTCCAGCGCCTTGAGTACCTAATAGTTGGTAGATACGTGCGCTATATAAGACTCCGATATTATTATATTATTAAATATATTCAAAAGGAAGGGCAGACTTACTTCTGATGCGCTCTCGGTCCCTGGTTAGGGTAAAGGCTGTGTGAATACTGGTGTACTCCCAGCTCGTACAGGGAAGGGAAATGTTTGCTGCAGAGGTGGCAACGATATGACATCTCACTCTCATGAGCTTTGGTGTGCTCCAAAAAGGAATCGAGATCCTTGAAGGTCGTGTTGCAGGATTTCAGGACACACTTGTAGACCTGAATAATAAAGAAATATACAAATTAATCATACAGGAAATTTTAAATTATATTTTTATATTCATTATATTTCAGGGTCAGAGGACATTGGACAAAGTCAGGACAAGTTAAAAAAACAAACGTCTTTTTGAAAAGCGTCACTGTCTACATCTTTAAAACATCTAAAGTTAACTGAACAGCCTTCTTTTTTGGGGGGGGGGGTCTTTCCAATAATGAAGACCATAAACAAGATAGTGGTCACTAATCAGGACAGGTAGGACACCGCCTTCACTTACAAGTTCAGGATGAGAGCTAAAAATAAGGTCAATGGTTGTTTTAGTATATTCAGTAAAACACGAGTAGGATAATGTATAAGTTGCGTCATTTGGAACGCATTAAAACATGAAGTTATAGGGTTTGTGGAAGTACCATTATCGTCCACAGAAACATCACAATTAAAGTTGCCAGCAACAATAATTTCTTTACATTCACATGAGGCTCTATTTATAATATCACTTTAAGTGGTATTATAGATGATAAACTAATACTTATCTATGAACTCAACAGAACTTGAAGGTGGCCTGTAAATAGAATTTATAAGCACAGGCTGCCTTTGCTTTATAATACATTTGAGTTCAACCAATAAACACTCGACATCATCTGTTTCTAGGTCATCACAGTGGATGAAAGTTAAATTATTGAGATCAAGAATTGAGAACAAGTATTTACCTGTTCACTCTTATGTATGGTCATGTGTGTTTTGAGCTGGTAGTAGGTCTTGAACTTTTTCCCACAGTACTGACACACGTATGAACTGTCGATTAGTAACTCCTCCCCGTCCTCTGTTGTCGCGATGCGAGTGTTGCCACAGTCTGAGGATATTACAGTGATTTATATTTGAACAAAATATAAATATAGATCCACTGACGTGTGATCAAGAGAGATGTGATCAAGTCAAAACAAGTTTCATAGATGGAACTGGAAAAGTTCAGGAAAAAAATGGCAACATCTGGATAAACTGCATATATGGTCAAAACCCTTTGAGCCCAGTGATAAAATTTACATGTCCCTGATGCCAAATTCCTTTCACGTTTGTCTGCGTTGTACGTTATCTTTCCAAATTTTATGAAACACTGTTGGCAGGAAATATTTTTAAAATGGGACAACTATAATACAGGGATGTGTGTGGGGTGGGGTGGGGTAGGGATTACAGCCCACAATCCCTGTATGAACTCGCCGTTGGGGGGGGGGGGTGAATTGAGGAGTTACACAATGACTTGGGCAACGACTCAACGTGAAATGATCCTACCTTCTTCGTCTTGCACAGGAAGGTCAATCGACTGATCTTGGCTCTCATCCTCCAGAGGCTGATTTGTACCTTGCAGCTTGGTGATTGGCTGAAGGAAAATGCAGAAAGACAAAGGGGAGTTGACGTCAAGTCTTTGAATGTGACTGGTCATTCACAAGACAATCACAGTCACCACGTCTCCAGTTTAAAGTGACAAGCTACTGCATCACGAGCATTCCTTTGTCATTGTTAATTCACTTTTACTACTGGCATTACTTGTGAGTTCTTAGACATGTGATCGCCTGAATGACAAGTTGACAACTCTGGAACAAAGCAGTTTATCTAAGGGTTGTCCATTTTCGAATAACTGATTATTCGATTACTGGAAACTGTGTTTGACAGAATATTCGGATATTCAAAACTGCCAGCTGCAAATATGTGCTGCTCCGGTAAAAAGTTGCACGAAGAGCGCGCCAGTTGAAATTTGCCTGCGGCGATCGATATGGGGCACTGGACTGTTTTGCAGCAAGTATTGTAAAGAGCTAAACCTTCTAAAAGAATGTGAACGATGAACTGCCAAATGATATTGACCCTCGCCGATCAAGCATCCGGACTCCAAACCGGTGTTAAACATATTGTTTAAAACCGGCCAAGCACACATTTATTCTGTTATTAAAGCTTAGACAAAATACACACACAAACTGACCTGCTTCGGAAGAGTAGCCCCTCTGCCTCCTGGCCAAACCTTGTGCGTTTGCATATGTTTCTTCACGTTAGACTTCTGGGCGAAGGCTCTTCCACACACGATACACTGAAAGGGTTTCTCTCCAGTGTGGCTCCGAACATGCTGCTGGAGGTCAAAGTTCTTGGTGAATGACTTGTCGCAGTAGTTGCACTTCTTCCGCTGCTGCTGTTTCTTGGTCGGTTCGGCAGCTGCTGACCTACGGCGGCGGTTGCCTTGCTGGGTAGCGGCAGGCTGCATGATGTTGATGGTGGCTGTGTGCTGCGGTGCTTGGGTGACTTGAAGCCCAGACGTCGTGCCGCCGTTCAGAAGCTCCTGGGTCAATCCGGCATCCGAGAGGGACAAGGTGGACTGAGTGTTGACGCTGGTCGGTCGCATCAGGCTGGCATTGATCTGAGTTTGGGGCTGGAGGGTGATACCACCCAGGGCATTATTGTTGTTGATGGTGGTACCCGCCATGGCCAGGCTGTAGGTCTGCTGCGCGTTGGTAACCGTGGTGAGGATTTGCGACTGGGGCGACATGTAGGACCCTGTCAGGGACTGGATGGGCGTGCCCTGCAGCACCGAGTTGGAGAACTGGTCCACGTTGGAGAAGGACGATATAAGGACCTCTTCGTTGAGGACACTGGGGGAGACCTGGGCTAACGTGGAGTTGCCCATGTTCCCAAAGGTCAGGCCCCGATTGGGCTGGAGGGTGGCTGTGAAAGCGCTGTTGCTGGGCTGAGAACGGGTGACATTCAAGCTCAGGCCGGGAGGCATACACTGCTCCCGCTTGTGGTTCATGAAGTTAGTCAGGGAGGAGAAGTTCTTCTTGCATCGTCCACACTTAAACTCATCTTCTTCAATACCTGATCAGTTTAAACCAAAACAAATAAGTCTAACTGTATCCCTAACCCTGGCTAGAAACCCTGCCAAACGCAGCAACATGCAACATTTGTCTAAGTGACAAGCCTACCCAGTGCAGCAAGATCCATCAGGTCAAACGTCTGAAGGCATACTGCCTCAGAGTCTGTGGTCCCCGAACGCAGCAGGATACAACCCTGGCATAGTTCTATGGGATTAGCTCTCATTTAATGAGAGCTAATATCTCAGAAGTGGCAGTTTATGCACTGGTGTTGGTAGCTGAATGCATCAAAGTTCACCGGACTTTTCCACCTGATGCACTGTGTTGCATCTGGCAGGGTTAGGATTAAAGCACCTACTTTTACTTCATTTTACGCACTAATTTTAATACAGTGCTAAAGGCACAATTGTCATAAATATGGGTTTTTTTTAACCATTTAATTCCAATTTCAAAAACTTATTGATTTGTTTACACGTCTCGGTGAAAACTATTTGGTTAAGTTAAAGTTATGATTTGGAGAAATGTTCACATGCTCATTTCCTTCATTTGTTCTTATTACATGTACTTATGATAATCAGATAATTTCCATTAATTTGGGCAATTTATCTACGTATAAATCCTAAAAGATAGATTTGATGTATTGCTTGTCCATATCATGCGTCCAAATCGTTGGCTTACCTGTTGGGTTTGGGTCCTGTATGGTACCAGTCTGTCCTTCTAACAGCCCCAAAGACTGTACTGCAAGGACAGCAGCCTGGTTGTCCATACCTACGGAAAAAAATGGTTCCAGACTGGATAAGACATTGCAATTCAATATCAAGCAGGTTAACAACAAATTTTTTAAACCTGTCAAAATTTCAACTCAGTAGATATACTTTATGAGAAAAAAACTGTGAACATGCATCTTCATTTTTTTTTTCAACCTAAGCAAGGTTTACGTTGAAAGCCCCCCCCCCCCCCCCTTCCAAAATAATGTGTTTCGACTTGTGGTTAATGTGGTATGATCCCATTTTGTACATCGGGAAAATATAAAGTCTCATTCATGGATACATGTAATTTTTGCAAACGGAATCGATTTTGTTTTAAGAGCATGGGGTATACAGCTTTAATGAGTCAATAAATATTCTATACCACTTCAGAAGAACTTCTGAGGGTAACTGTCACCAGCAGTTTTTAAGGGTGTTTTAATTAGGCCACAAAAAAATAGTTCTGCTTCCGATTACATGGTATTTGAAAAAAGGGTAGGTTGGTTGGGAATTTTTTTCTTTTTTTGGCATTTTTTTGTGTGTACGATCATATGGAGGTGTCTGCATGTAGTCAAGGGTAAAAGGTAGTACATTTGTAATTGATGATTTTTGGGTGTTTTTTTTTGTCGTTTTGCACAAAAATAAAGTAGAGTAGGCTGTCAAAATAGGGTAGGTAGGGTAACCTTATTACCCTAGGGTAACCTTATTGCCTTATTAACTGCATGCTCATAGATGCATCCTGTATAATCACTTTTCATACATTTTAAGATTGTCAGTGTCATGAAGATATAAAGCCTCGATAAAAGTGAAGAATAGGCATTAGGCAACAGAGTTTAGTAATTTTTTCTTTTGCTTGACTTGACTTTATTTCCATCCAAGATAGGTACATAGGCCTATAATTAGCCACTTTATTATTATTATACAAAACATGACAAAGTAAACCAATGTTCGTGGTGTTTAAGAAATATAAAGTAGGGATGGAGGGGACCCGCAAGAAGCAAGGCTTGTCGAGTGCGAGTCCCCTGTAAGACATTAATTAACAAGGAATTAAATGGTAAACGAATACATTACAAGGACAAGACAAACATAAAACGACCGATAAACTGGTGAACTAAGGGTGAAATTTCAAATTTACATTAACGCAAATGCTTTCTTAAAAATATATGAAAATCTTTAACTATTCCCTTCACATTGTCATTAAAGGCCTGTGTATTATTGAAATGTTTTTCGAAAGCTTTGAGGAAATGGGGTGTAACAATACACTCAAAAGTCAAGTGATTGCAAATTGGCCCTACAACATCAAAAGTCTGTAATTAGGCCAAATAAAAAAAAAGGTTAAGCGTCCCCACCTGCTTCCTTTTTGGAGGCCGCCTCCTTTTTTAAAATTTTTTTTTTTATTGAAAACAAAAAACCGAAAAAAATGATACATTTTAAACAGTGGCATCATTTTGGCCTCTTTGTCCGTTGCATCTAGCCCATATAAAGCTGGTATGTCATTTCCTGAGTCCAAATGGCGGACATTTAAAAGAAAAACTGACGGCCATCTTGAAAAATAGCCCGGCCGGTTGTTTTGGAAAATGGGGCGGCCATTTTTGAAGAAAAAAAAGGGCCTCCCCTTCCTTTTTTTTCAAAAAGGCAGGAGGCTTATCTTTCTTTTTTTTAATACTTGGCCTTATACCTCTGTTCGGTAAATATTAAAAGATTTTCATATTAGGCAGAGTAGAAAAAAAAAGTAGTTTTTCGTCCTTGCTTTTTTTTTTTAATGAAGGAGGCAGGTACTTTTTTTTCTCAAGAAAAAAGGAAGCGGTCGAGAACGAGAAACTGGTTTATTTTTTTACTTGGCCTTACTGGAAATGATTTTTAAATACTGGCCTCCTTGGAATGGATTAATATTAGATTTGTAATTGTAGGCCCTATGTAAAAAAAGGTCAACTTTTTTACGAAATTTTACTCATGAGGAAAGTTATAATTAGATCTAATGTAAAAATTCTGGTATCTTTGCCTGGGAAGAAAATGTCTGAAATTAATTAAACTGGGCGTATTTCAAAAATGCATAATGCCCAAAGCCTGGTAAAAGGGAAAAAAAGAAATTCTGGGTCCATACTGTATTAAAAATTATTTTCACAGACAACGCATAATTTTGGTAGTTTTATTCTTTTCAAAAAGGTCTTTTTCAACTGACTTACAAACATTACAAAAGTACTACTTTGCTAGGCCTAGTACTAAAGTAGTAGTAGTAGCAAAAAACTCTTCCTCTTTTTCATGTTCTTGTGATTTTTCTTAGATGGCATGCAGTGTAAGTTAACCATGAAAACCATGATCTTCTTCAATTCAATCAAAAATCTTTGGAGGTGACAAGTGTCAATTTCTTTTTTTGTCCAAATAAAATTTTGCACCAACAAAAAAACTTTCGAAAAGCCATTTTCGCGGCGCACCCAGCTAAACGGAACAGCCGGGCTTCGGAACTCGGCCATTACACATCGCTTTTCCAGCAATATGGCTTCACGCCCGCTAGATCAGGAATACCCGCTGTTCCATCAGCAATTCTCACATTTTTGCACCCTGATATCTCACTGCTTATCTCACAATTTCCGGGCAAGTTTTACACTAAAATAATCCTTGAATATTAGAATAGACGATAAGATGTATTTATCACAATTCAGAAGCCACGAAAAGGACGAAATATGAGGAAATGTAAAAGGGCAGGAGGTCAGACTCGACAAATTTTGTTCAGATTTCGGCAACTTGCAGTTTGCATGCATGCGACCGTGTACAATTCAAAATGGATAAATTCCAGTTGTTAGCAAAGCTCTTATTTTGTCTCCACACCTGCGAATAAAAATTCAATGCAAGACAACATTTCAAACAGTCATCAGACTTCAGATTGGTGGTGTATATTCGCAAAAAAATAAATGAAATACTTACCGGACAACGCGTCGAAGAGAGCTTGCGCCATTTTGTCTTCAATGCTAGCACACAACGACACACAATACACGATTAGACTGCAGCTACTATCAGCCCGACGACATAGCGCAGGGGGGACGCATTCCTTTGCTTCAGCTGTTATGATTCCAGCGGGGGTACTGCGTTTCGGGCTAGCTGTTTCCTTGGACAATAACAGGCCTCTAATTTCCCCTTAGTGGACAGGGGGATTTCCACCCCATTGCTTTGTTGCTACTGCCCGTCCCAAGATTTTATCGTTGTACTTGTACTTGTAATTAATTGTAACTGTAAATGTAATTGTAATTGTTCTTTATTACAGTGGGGGTCTCCACTCGACAAGCTTATGTTATGCTTTTTGGAGACCTCCATCCATCCATACACGATAATTCAATATTATATGTATATGTATGTGTTGGGAAAAATTAAAGATTTGATTGATTGATTGATTGATTGATTGATTTTGCAATGGTCGTAGTTAAGTTCGGCACCATTTGCCATCACTGAGCAAAAACCCGGGCCCAACCACCGGCCTCGGGGATCCCCGAATCCTAATCGAGTCATCGAGACTTTGATAAGGGGGGGGGGGGGGGGGGAGGTCGTGAACCCGAAGGAACTTTCCATGATCGTACTAAACATGTAGGCCTACTGTACCATTAAATGTGTTTTATGCTTATACGGAGGCTAGGCCAGCGGGACGCTGTGAATGTGTAGTACTCAAACTATACATGAGGCCGCACCTTTTGTGGGACTAAAGGATGCCCCCTGTGCCCTGTGCCCCCCTTCCCCGCCCCACCTTCCGCAAGTTCGACGGTGTTGTTATCGACGCGTAACTCTTTCTTTTTTGACTAAGTAAGTTTACAATTACATGTAATAATATGACGGTAAGTACGGCTGAACAACTTGACTTGCACCCCCCCCCCCTTACTGAAGTTAACAAATTTGTTTATCTCTTTCAAGTTAATCTAAGTTTCAAATATAACTATTTTTAAATTGTTGGCGTCTGCAATCTTCAGAATAAAACAATTCCTTCCTGGTAGAACTCAACGAGTCAATTTATATATCTGCCGAGAAAATGTAAACGTGCTGCACTATCTGGGTTATGACGTCATCCATATCCCCAAACTCTTGCCCAATGAGCAGTGCGCTTTAAGTCATACGACAACTGCCAATCTTCTCCAAAGTAACGCACCTTAAGATACGTTTGAATAGACGAATCCCATTAGCACGATGAAACCGAGGCAATTAAGGACCTTTTCTTTTTTCAATCCTGTCAACAAAAGACATGACCTCATAATCATATCACCTCATGGGGGGAATTTGAGACAATCAATCTCGGAGGGAATACCTCTGGCGCACCCCCACTGGATTTACAATGTCAGCCTTATAATTGGAATGGACATGCGCAGTTTGTACAGCCCTCAGACATAGACAGAACAGCGCAACAGCCCTATGGGAGATTTTCCTGCCGTAAAAGATAGATTTGATTTTTCGATTACCATTTTCCTAGCAATATAATAAAATTTATTCACTTTTGAATGAGACATCGAACGAAAAAAATCCACCTACGTTTAGTTATCGAATTATGGCTTCACAACATTTTGATTATTGGCATCGGCTTTCGCGCAGGGCCGCGCGTGGGTTCTTTATATTAGCGCAAAAGGAAAGCCCCTTTTTCAAAGGGTTGCAGATGCCCAAAATTTGAGAAAAGTAGATTGGTCATTAAAAAAAAAAAAATACAAATTGAAAAATCATTTTGTTTTTAAGAGCACGGGGCACATACGAGAGTGGAAGGCTTGGTAGCACCCTATACGTACTTAAACAAAATGGGGGTGTTAAAAATGTACTGTCCGTGTGTTACATTTTAACCCCGAAAATATAAACCTTTTAAAGTTTAAGATCATTTGAGTGGAGAGGGATACAAACTTATCCGCCTAACGAGCAGACGCGGGCTGCCGTGTTAATTCCACACACATTACTTATGTATTCGTTCGCTTGGTTTCCACTGGTTTATGAGGAGCATTTTGTCTGCTCCTCTAGCGTCACTAGCTGGTACAGCTGTCATTACCTCTTAAATTGCCCCTACATGTTGTGTAAATTGAACAGACTAGTGCAGTGCCCGTCTAAAATGTGCATGTTCGGGAAACGCAAATTGCTTTGCCGCTGGTATAGGTTGCATACTTGCAGAGTTTTGGAGAGCTGCTCGTGCAAACAACGCACGCGATTCAATGGTGTTGTTTTCACAGGTTGAACGCACACTTACGTCAAAATTTTTGCCAACAAGTTTGAAGTTCGACCACCTACAATGGTCGCTCAGTCGACTGCAAAAATGATGTGCCCGTGTACATACGAAAACATAGAGTGTCCTACTTTCTTACGGCGTATGGAGACATTGTCGCGGCGATTATGCATACTCGCTGCATGCACACAGTGCATAATCCACGAGGCGTCCCTTTGTTTTCTGAACTGAAATGAATTGTTATGGAACATTATTGTGTTGCATAGTGGAATGAATAATAAAAACAGTTGGTTTGCGAATGACATGCACATAGAACTACTACAGAGTGTGCCAAAAAAGTGCAACCCTAGATAGATCCAGAACTACAAAGTTGCCCACTTAAAATTTACACCTTTTCTCGAATTCTCGTAATTGATTGTATTTCTGGATCTAGAGACCCAAATGGAATGGGGTAAACAGGAGTGAGTTGAGAAATAGTCAGGCTTTAATGTAATATATCATATTTCATTAAAGAAGAAAAATATTAAAGAGTTTTAATCGTTTGTTTTCTGAATGTTGCACTTTGTTTTGGCACATTGTGGGCCTATTATAATATAGGCCTTACTACTCAACATCGCAACATTCAGCGGCGGCGGACGGCGGGTTTGAAACGGGGGGGGGGGGGGGGCAGCACCCAAAAGGGGCACTTGCAAACCAAAAGGGGCACTTGCAAACCCGTGCTGAAATGTCGCAAGGTTTTTTTCACCGGACACTTGGCCTACGTAAAATCAAATAGGGGGGGGGGGGGGGGGGGGGGGGGGGGGGGTACCTTCTTCCAACATGGGGGCGCTCTTCAAAATCAATGATTATTATGCTAAACATACATTATGTGCCCATTTTCAGGGCGTCTTGTATGGGTTTTGGGACTTGGTTTTCATATTCCTCGTTTATATCAAAAATATCTATCCCATTATTGGGATATGGTTACTTCTAAGAAATAGTGAGAAACTTTAAGGCCAATTTTTATTTATCTCGACGGGACACTTTAATGCTCGAGGGCCCCAGCCCCCCGGTTCCGCCGCCCCTGGCAACATTGAGTTTACATAAACCTATCTTTTCGGAAGTTAAATTAAAGCCAAATTAACGCTTCTTCATATTGTCAATGTGTGACATCTACAGACTTGGCTCCAGCATGTGCGGTTTTTGTTAAATAAATTATTAGGGTTCGGTATATTTTTGAAGTGCATTGTATACAAGAGAAAATGAGGGATAAAGAAAGAACTTGTATTTCTAAATGCTATCGCAGAGTTTTTTTTTCTTAGTTATCAGGAAAGATTGAGACCGTTTACTTTTATTCATTTATATTTTTGGGAGGGGGGGCGGGGTGAGATGTTAAATCCTCTGAACAATATAATCTCCCTTCGAAACAGGATTTTTTTCTGCTGACGACTTTTCAGTTAGTATATTTTGTTTTAACAAAAACTACTTTATTCCAATTTTTGGAGTCTACACTGAACCCTCTGGGGAAAAAAAAGAATGCCATTTTGCGCACAAATAAACCCGCCCTGCGAGAGCCGAACGATTGTCTGGCAGCCAATAATTCGAATTGTGTGAAGAAATAATACAATAACTAAACGGCGGTGGACAAGGGCGGATCCAGGGGGGGGCCAAAGGGGGCCATGGCCCCCCCCAAAACGAAACCAATTTTTTTTTTTTTTTAATGTGACATCGCAATAAAGGCAGGCAATGAGTACACCACCATCTTTTCCTCCAAAAAAATTGGTTAAAGTGGTCAGAAATTGCCTCAGATCGCACCACAGAGCATCTAGAATCCAAAAAATTTTCGGGGCCCTCACGGGCCCCGAACCCCACGCCGTAATTTTTGAGACCCACTTTTTTTGGGGGGGACCAAATTTTTTTTGGCCCCCCCCAAAATTGTGTTCTGGATCCGCCCTTGGCGGTGGATGTTTTTCGTTCGATGTCTCACTCGAAAGTGAATAACTTTAAAATTTTTAGGAATATAGTAACTGAAAAAAAAATCTATTTTTCGGGGTGAAACTCTAAAATAGCACGGGGAAAACATTTTTCAGTTATTCAAAATCATTTGTCATTGATTTTATTTTAATTTACAGAAAATTTACTCTCCTTCATTCCAGTGCCGAATTCGCGGGTAGAAAAAAAGGGCAAATTACGGGCGGACATCGGTCACTTACCGACCACTTATCGTATTTTGTCCGTGAACAATGCGCACGAGTGAAAACACTGCGCTGGGTCAATTCGCACGATTTAGCTAAAAGTAAAATTAATAAAAGAAAACTTCCAATTTTATTGGGCGGAATTTAACCCCAGCTTCAACTCTTGTCATGGAAACTGTGTATTATAACAAATCTGTTTTATTTTTCTAAAAAAATGTACGCATAAATTTTCACAAGACCTTTACTGAAAAGCGTCTTTATACAAAAACAGTATTTAGAAGGAAATATGATGTTGATTCTTTCAAAACATATCAAACAACATAGTATACCTCGGAGCCAAGTGCAGTGAATAGCCTTTTCTATATACCAGTACTTTATATGGTATTTATTAAATATGTATAAACTTTAAAACCAGTTAAAACTACATAAATGTTTACAGTTTTTTTATTTAAAAATATTACTCATATTGCAGAGTTTTGAAGAAAAAAAGTACAAAATCTAAAAAATGGAAGTTGCTGTTTGCACGCATAGATTTGTCAGTCAACGAGGCACATGAGCATAAAGCATCTTAAAAAATGTTTGGTCATTATTCCGTAATTAATGTTGGGGAAAGAATGTAGTATCCAGACGCCACTTCTTCGGCTGTGTACAAAGTCTATGGGGAGTCAAGTGTAATTTTCAAAGTATTTTCTAACAAAATCAGAATTGTGTCTCAGTCCCAGATTCATGTCTTTTCCCTCATTTTGCAATGACTGACCTTCATAGAAATAATACATGATGAAAATAAGTGTCGTCACGATGCAACATTTTTAACCAATGTTGACTGTTCCCTCATAGGTTTGAGGTACAGCATAATGGTACATCAAAATAGCAAAATTACTTTTGAATTTTTTTAGGCTGGAATAAAGGAATGTGGGGTTTTAAGCGTGTGACCTCAAACCCACGTCTATAGACCATTATCATGTTGCGGCCATTGTGATTTTTTTCCCATTCAAATCAACGTAACTGAAGCGAGGCTGGAAGGAAAAATAGTCTGGTTCTTTTTTGCACAAAATATATTATCATTCAGTACTGTTATTGGATACAGGGAACATGACTGAAACGGTGGCAGCATGAGTTAGGCTGCATCAGAATAAATGGCTACGGCTCAGTTACACATGCTTGTATGGAAGCGGCTGCAAGCCACTTCCCATAGACGCATGTATTACTGCCAGAGATAGTCAAGTAACTTTAGGTTGATGTTCAGTGGTGGGACCCTGATTTTTGTCTATGGCTTTAACCATAGGATGCTAGTCAGGGTACCATTTAACCAGGTTGAGATTTGATGGTTCAGGACTAGAGTACAAATAGTATAACTTTTGAATGGAGATCCATGTCTCCATTAATAATGTACAAAGTACCATTAGGTTACAGTGTTGGAGCCTGGTCACATATTGGTGGACACAACACTTTAAGTCATATTTCAACCCGATTAATGAAAATTCATGGAAAAAAACCTCACAAAATTGCATGCGGCATCGTAAATAAACATTAAAAAAACAATCCACATCCTATATGACCAAAGTTAAACAATCTCTTTGGACGGAACTGAAAAAAAAATAGAACTTCGTACTCCATCTACTCAATATGTACAAGCAGTAAAAAATTTATACATCTTAACTACAAAATTTAGTGTAAAACCTCAAACATATTTATAATCTAGCTCAGCATGTCAACAGTCAAGTCAGAACTGAAAAAAATATGCAAATGCTTGACATCTCCGGAACGTCTTTCATAAATTGAGCCCAAAGTAACTGGGGAAAGGTCATTGATGTGTAGGGAGTGGGATTCTCTCTGCTTTGGGTTGTGTCTGTCTGTCTGTCTGCCCTAGGTATTGTCAGCCGGTCTGCCCTGTACACCCTTCAGTTGTGGCAGTGCCCCTCGGTGTTATTGATGTGTAGGGGGTGGGGATTCTCTCTGCTCTAGGTTGTGTCTGTCTGTCTGTCCTAAGTTGTGTCAGCCGGTCTGCCCTTTACACCCTTCAGTGGTGGCAGTACCCCTCCACGTTGCTGATGTGTAGGGGGTGGGGATTCTCTCTGCTCTGGGTTGTGTCTGTCTGTCTGCCCTAGGTTGTGTCAGCCGGTCTGCCCTTTACACCCTTCAGTTGTGGCAGTGTCCCCCAACGTACTGATGTGCAGGGGGTGGGGATTCTTTCTGCTCTAGGTTGTGTCTGTCTGTCTGCCCTAGGTTGTGTCAGCCGGTCTGCCCTGTACACCCTTCAGTGGTGGCAGCGTCCCTCCGCGCGGTTGCCTGATCACCTGTGCCCTACCCAAAGGTTCCTCAGCCCCGCCCATTCCCACCCCACCCTCTGAAGAGGGCGGGGTGAATTGGAATTGGGCTGGGGGAGGCACGGGTCCCGCTAGGCCCCCAGATGCTTCCATAGGGGCAGTGGCGGCCGCATCAGGCATCTCTCGCTGTGTGTAGAGATTGGCAGCTACTGGAGCTGGTGGAAGGGCGTGGCTACCACCTGCCCCACCCTGGGGAGGGGCTATGTTGACTGGGTCCCTCCAGATGTCTGAATATTTGGGTGGCAAGGCTTCGGTCCTGCCCTGCCCACCTGTTGCCGGTGGTGCCGTTGCCATAGCAGCATTGCTAAACACTGGGTTCTGATAGGTGTATGGCTGCCTCATGCTGTAAATAAAAATTTTAAAAATTGTTTAACAATTTTTTTAAAAAGCTCTGTACACAGTTACTGTTTCCTAGACACAACTGTTAATGAAAGAAGTGTAGCAGTGTTACATGTCGCGTAAGGCAAAAAAAAAAGTCTCCGGTTTCTGGTCTGCGCGTGCATCACCGTAGCCATGCGCGTCGCCAAATTTAGAATGTTTTATTTCTCAATGTAAGATGATATCTCAAAACCACCAAACTCACTGGTTTGACTGGAATCCTGCTGCTGAACAATTTTAATGTGTTTTTTAAATGGGGTTAAGATCGAGTATAAGCTTTATGTGGCCTCTCTGGGCTCCCATATATTTTGCACTAAATTTAGTCAAGCACCATTTGCAGACAATGTTGTAATTTTGTAATTGTGCGTCTGGAAGCCAGACTGAGGGAGCAATGGTCATGCATCTGGAACCTGTAAACGCTTTTTAAATAGCGCAACATGTAAGGGAGCAGACTAATGACCAGCCTGGCAGCACATGCATGATGTATATGTCGCTGTATACTGACCGTACCGTTTTCTCTGATTTTTCTCTTAACTATCTAAATTTCACAAAGAAAGTTTGTGTCGGTCGAGATCGTAAGTGGGTGCAGAATTCTCAAGCCTTAGGGCCTTACTCAGGTCACCTCAAGCTCCACCCTGAAGGTAGGTGAGAGTTTTAAAGAGGATGTAAAATGCTCCAAGACATTTCCGTCAGTTTTCGGGTATATGTAGCCTAAGGTGTGATGAAATAAAAACGACTATTGTGTCTGTCATGAAATGAGCACAAAAGGTACTTTTGAGAGCTGTTTTTCAGGTCCTGTTTCGACCCGAACGTGCAATTTGTGTAAAAGTCGTCGTTGGGGGCAGCAAACAAAACATAGTAAATCGTAACGTAATAAACAGGACTCGTTTATACTATGCTGCATCGGGAGTCCTGTTTATTATGTTACGATTTACTATGTTTTGTTTGCTGCCCCCAACGACGACTTTTACACAAATTGCACTTTCGGGTCGAAACGGGACCTGAAAAACAGCTCTCAAAAGTACCTTTTGTGCTCATTTCATGACAGACACAATAGTCGTTTTTATTTCATCACACCTTAGGCTACATATACCCGAAATATGACGGAAATGTCTTCGAGCATTCCACAACCTCTTTAAGGGGATCGAAGCGTCATCTGCAATATCAGCCGACATTTGAAGAAAACAAAGTAGGGGAAAAAAACGCGTCGCCACACCACTTTTGGGGCAAGCTCCATACCAGAAACCGGATACTTTTTGTGTGTGGCCAAAGCCATGTTGAGAACTAACCCATTCTGTGTGGAAATCACAGACACTGCTGTTCCATTGCCAGTGGGTCTGCTTGTGGCCGCTGTTCTGCTTCCAGGGGCACTGCTTGTTCCCTTGCTGTTCATGAAGCAGCAGGCTGTGCAGACGCCCAGAAGGATCAAGAAGAGGCAGCCTGCCACGATGCCAAGAATGACGAGCCAAGTAAGGTCTTTCCCTTCCCCATCTGGAAGAAAAAAGCACACCAGATTCAAGATGTCATCAGAAAATGTCCAACGCCAAAATAGCTACTGGACATCAGCACACCTCAGCCCGACTTCATGGCACAATCGTATTTCAACATTTCAAACATGTTCAACTGCATGCACCTGTGCATGTTTATTTAACTCATCAATGATTGTATTACATTGTACTGGTCTGGGACTCAGATCTGAACTTGGCACACTTACCACAGCCCTTGTCCTCATCCGAGTCATCACCACAATGGTCATATCCATCACACACCAAAGAAGGATCGATGCAACGATCATTGTCACAATGAAAGTCGGAGTCTTCACAGCCGTAGGCATCTGCATAGGAGCAAGTTATAGCAATTATTTGCATTTTATCGTTGACTTGAGCAATTGAGACTTTTTCATTGTGCAGGCGTTTGATCCAATGATTGGTGGCCCCGAGGTCCAACCTAGTGTCCTCTTAAAAATATACTTATCTCATTGATTCTGACTGACTCGCTGTCACATTTGAGACGGGGTTGACAGGGGAGGGTGGAGGGTGGCCATAGCCAAGTGCGAACGGCCATCTGTGTGCCTCTTCCATTACAACAATATGGGTGTTTAAATGTTGGGAAAATAAACATATGCTTTCAAGTCTTAATTTCAATGCTTTTTGGTTTCCACAGACATTATTCCAGCTTTTGTTCAATACCAAACGTGTATATTAGTTCAGGTTCGAAAGAGCAATTTTAGAAAAGAATCTGTATTTGCGATTTTGCGTTGGTCTATCATACAGTGAATCATGCAAGCGGCCATATGCTCGAATGCACTTACCACGTAGTAACACCTTCATGGACGCCCCTACAATTCCGTCACAAAAACGATCTATTTTGCCAAAACTTTTTTTTAACGTTTCATTTTTATTGCCTAAAAAGATCATCAAAGGTCGAATTTTTACCCCATAGTAGTTTAAATGAAATCCCTCAGTTCAACATGGCCAATTTTTGTTTCTAAATTTATGAACATGACGAAAGTGAAAATGGTATATCTCAACAGGAATTTCGCTGTGCCACAGTCGGGCGCCTGGCTCAACGAGTAGGCCATAGCGTTGTTCGTATTACTAGGAACTTGACTGGCTCAGTGTGGAGTGATGACTGACTGTGTGTGGTCAATGCATGGCCGTTGGGCGATTGTTATATGATGTCGCGCTGTAGCTAACTCTGTGTCATTGTATATGTCGTAGAGTGTTAAACACCTTGGGTTTGCTCATTCGCGATGTGTGCGCACTGCTGTCCATGAAGGGAATGAGACACATCCCAATAAGGGTGGCGCTACCCGCCTAATTCTGTTGGTTTTCTCTAGAATATCATTCTGGAGTTTTCTCCCACCTCTAAAATTAAACTTTCTTTGCGCTGTCTTTTCTCTAGAGATTTCTTCAGGCTTTTCAAGTTACCACAACTAATTAATAAACACTTTTTTCAAAGAAAATAAAAAAGACTACCTTCATAAAAAACAGAAAACAGAGCTTTGAAGCCCGTATATCCATCATTGGAAGCGCCGTCTGTCCTAAATCGGATCATGGCGTAGGGGCTGCTAGATGTGTAACGACCCTCGTCGTTCCCACAGAGCGTGCCCAGGGTCGTGGGATTATCACCGGCTTGTCCGTCCACGACCTCAATGTAGTCACTTAACTGTCCACCACAGCCTGATGATGCTAAATTGGGAGAGATTGGAATACTTGAATCGGACGGCAATTACGCTAAGCTTTTATACACAGGGCCCAATTTCATAGCGTGCTAATAACAGTTAGCAAACTACAACAGAAAATTGTGCTAGCCTGAAGCATTATGTGACCTACTAAGGCAGAATGAGAAATGTCCCCCAAAACCTTGTTTTGAGTAATCGACACCTGAAGTTGGATATGGCTAGAAAAATCATGTCAAAATGGATATAGATTGTATTGTGTTTTTGAGTAGCCAATGTATCCAAGATTCACACTCTGCATTTTGGTTGAGAAAAATACCTCAAAAAGTGGAAAAAATGAAGAACGTTTTTCACTGCTGTTGGCGGCGCAATTAATGTGTGTCTTTTTTTTCCAAAGTCGTTTTTCTCGATATGAGGTTAGCAAAATTCGGCAGGACACTGTTGAAGTTCCTGCGGCATGTCTTGGAATGAATTGAGATACAGAAATAAATTTGGTATCATTGGAAAGCCAATGATTTGCGCTTTAATATGATGTACATAATGAGAAAAGTAAAGGTGGGGGTTATTCCTCATTATGCTATGGCAGGTCACATATGTCATAGCATGGATGTGCTCACGTTAGCATTTTTTTTGCTCTGAGGTATTAAGCGTTCCTTGTGTGTGCTTACTGCTTACGGTCTCGATGAAATAGACAGAGACACTGTTAGCAGATAATCATGTGCTTAGCAGCGCTATGATATTGGGTCCTGGTAACATGGGGGCCGAGCTACTCCCCATCCTGCCTTGACAATAAAAGCTTTTTCAGTTCCCTCAGTCATGTCGATGACTAAATTTCAAATGTTCAAGAAAACACAGAGAATTTTCTCGATAGTGTTTACCAGCAGTCTGGGCGCTCCATTACAAGAGGGTTTCATCTCCTCTACATGTAACCCCCATTTGTACTTAACCTATTTACTGATTTATAAGTATCGACTGGCTGTAATCTTTCATTATATAGTTATTGTACAGAAAGAAATAAACACACAAACAAACCATAAACCCCAGCCTGTACTCGTACCCACAACCTGCAGAATTACCTGCTGACCACGAATTTCAATTCTCAGACCACAAGATTATTTTTTTTGACAGTGAAGCCACTTACACACAGGAAGGTCAATGTTCAGGAACAAGATGTGCACTCTCTCGTAGCTCCGCGAGCCGATAATCTGGACAGAGCAGCGCAAGTGGTGGTCGTAGGTTGTGTCACTGTGGTAGTTGGAAACGACAAAGCCTCCTCTCTCAGTTATGACTGCACGGCTGATGTCGCACACTGTGAATGGACAAGGCGGTGTCAATGAAGACAGTCATTAGAAACTTAATGTTGCTGGTGGCTTTATCGTATCATCGGGCACTGGGAGTGATATGTGACAGCTTCACTGTCTGTTTTTCCCTTCTCTTTTTTCCTAAATTTTTCATCAAAACATAAGAACATCAAAACGCAAATCGTCAGATGCGTGGAAGGTCGTTAGGGCAAAAAATGGGTCAAAAGGTGAAATTCGGATTTTTCAGGGCATTCGATAGAGCATGGAAATATCTTTTATTTGACATACATTTTGTCTTAATGGGCTCCGTCATTCTGACATAAGTAACAGTATAAAATATAAGGAAGTCAGTTTTTCATTCTTTTTTTCCCGGCAAATGGATGTAACCGTGTAATACTAATGTAACAAAATATGTTCCGGGTGTGCTAACGTCCCACTGAAGTGGGTAGGCAAAGCCAAGTTTTTTCCCCAGCAAAAGGACCTTATGATTTTACATACCGCGTAAGCGCACGTTTAAGGCGGGGGAGTTCCAGGTAAAAGGTTGTTAGCATAAAAATGTAAATAATTTCAAAATTAAGTATTACTTGAAATTAAAATAAAAATGCACAATTTCAATCACTAAAGAGTATTCATGAGTAAAAACTCAGCCTTATATGATTGTGATTTAGAAATGGGAGCACAAAACCTTGGAGACCATCTCCAAAAGTGTATTTTTGCGTGCCTGGGCTGCTAACGTCCTTTCCTTGGCACACGACGAATTGTAATCAGTCAAAACACTTATAAAAAACAAGCTCTGATCGGTCCTTACTCTATACTTGCTCCTTTATGAAACAAAGTTCTCCAAAATTTTATACTTGGCAAAATGAGACCATATCTGAAGTCAGCAGTGAAACCAAAGCCAGTGGATTGGAGGTTTATATGCAAATATTGACTGCTTCGAGTGGTGTAGTAAAATAGCCTCCCGAGGTGATTCATAGAATGCTCCATGGATCACCGAGGGAGGATAGTTTTACTACACCATGAGATAAAGCAGTCAATATTTGTTTTATAACACCTCTCCCACGGATTCTGCTTGCTTTTAAGCGATAACTGATTAATTCAATCTGAATACAATAAAAAGTCACTTCTATTTGAATAAGAAATTAGTTGAAAATCAACTTGCACTTTTTCTAACTACCTCTTCACGAAATGTTTGAACCCAGCTCTGTAGCGCTCGCACTTGGAAACAATACGCGTAACGCGCAACACACACACCCTTATGCATTTTGCACACACTGCGTATAGTACTTTGGTTGCTACGGGTATAGTACTTTGGTTGCTATGGGTATAGTACTTTTTGCCGTGCACTGAAAGATAGCGAAAAAAGAAAGTACCATGTGATTCACTCTCGGCCAATCAAGACACAGAATCTGTGGGTAAGGTGTTATAAAAGGTTATATGCAATTGTCTTCAAAGTTTTGCATCAGTGAGTGACACAAACATGTGGCAAGCACACCACAAGCCCAGTCATGTGTAAATTACAGGTCAATACACAGCCCAAGTTTCAAGTAACAGGGGAGAAAAAATAACAAAGGAGCTTTCTATCAGTTCCTTCAAATACTTTGTGGGAGGACTGTGGACGGAACGACTTGTGATTGGCTTGAAATTGGTACGTGACTGACTCAATCTGGCGCCCTCTACCTGAGATCGTCGATTCCTCATCGTCGTTCCTGGTGCTTGGCGTAAAACCGACGCTGGAGGTTGCGTACTCGGCGTAAAACCCCTCGAACGCCGCCGAGATGTCCGTGTGGAACAACACGTACATTGACCGGCTGGTCGACTCCATCACGCCACTCGGTTCGTTGTCGAAGCCACCGCAGAATCGGCCGAGCAGGGGCGTGGCCAGGGACACGCCGTCACGCACCTCCACGTAGTCATAGATGCATCCCTGGGACGGCTCCAAATCAAAAGACGTAAAACGCAGCTGGACACAAACAAAGAAATACAATTTGACAGTATTCAAGCTTCAACTGCAAATGTAAATATGTTGATGCATTCGGTTGAGTCTAGAACGAATTAGAATACATCGAATTTATCATTGATATGCTAATGATTGTATGGTTCGATGGTCAGAGCGGGAATTTTGAATAGGTAGTGGTATGTGATGCCAGCGGAGAAACACGTCACTTCACGCTTGCTAGCAGCAACGCAACACACGTTATTTATTTAATTATATGCTATTAATGGCTAAAGTCATTCAATCTTAAAATAAGTTGTTTTAAGAACCTCCCATTATCATTGCTTAGCTAGCCTGAGAGCGGTGGTCAGCATAGGTCAGTGCATACGTTTCCACTTTTTCCAAAAAGGTTTGTGCTTTTTCGTATCTGGCGATCACCAAAAGCAATGGGTCGAATTCACAGTTTGATATGTTGATATATATCTCGATGTATATCGTGCAAAATTATCAGTAATAATGATGTGTATTGGAGAAGTTGAAGAAACAAGTGTAGGCTAATTAAAGTACCGGTTGCTGCAGCTCGCACAATCCCAAATTAATGAGTATAGTGTGTTTTGTTTGTGTATGATGATTTAAATGATAACTGAAAATTTTGTCTGCAAGGGGCCACCTGAGATTGAGGGAAACTGAGAATACCACAATGCAGGTCACACTGAAGAACATATTCTTTCTCAACTTCAGACCTCCGAAGATAGAAAGGGTTAATGGTAGAGATCCATCGTTCAATGCCGTGGAATTCTGTAATTTTACGCTATGCACATTTTGTTGCCATTGTGTGTCGGGTTGTTTGATTGTTTGCTGACTGTGTGTAGATGTTTGCCTGTCTGGCTGTCTGTCAGTTTATTTTTGTGAGAGGTATTGTATTTGTGGGTTTGAGGTGTTTTTCTGGTTTGCCGGTGTTTATTTTGTTTTTGTCAAGTACATTGTAGCACTAGGAGACCAACTAGACATTGATTTGTTTGATTTTTTGTTATCCTCCATATGGTTCATGGTGCTTGACACCGCTTGTGCCCTTGGGCAAGACACTCTACTTCAATTGTTTCTCTCCACCCAGGAATATAAATTGATATCTGAGTGGGTACAGAACAGATTGCACTCAGACTGCAGCACTGCCTAAAAAAAGACCGATCGTGGGCACGTGTGGTCTAGCGGTGGAGCACAGGATTCATGATCGTGAGGTTGTGGGTTCGAGCCCCACCGTGGCCATGCGTGTTGTGCCCTTGAGTAAGGCGCTTTACCTCAATCACTCCTCTCAACCCAGGTGTTAAATGGGTACCGGCATTATTCAATGCTGGGAAGGTAACAGACTTGCTGTGGAGGAGGTGTGGCGATCCCCCCTCCCCCCTCCCCCCACAGCAGCATACGAGTCTGGCCTAATCGCTAACAACAAAAAAAATGGGCACTCCGTTCCTGTGAACACAGGTTCGTCCCCTTTACCTTTACTTTTTGATATGGCATGATGAACAGAGGTAATAACTTTAAAATACTAGACATAGGTTGGTATAAGCGCCACAATATCATTACGTAATGAAGACATTTTGTGCATACCAAGACGTGGTCGTTTTCGTCGGGCAGGATGATGATAAAAGTGCAATCCTCACTATGGTCATAGGCTCCAGGATAGCCGGGGCTGTAGAAGTTGCCGTAGTCTTCTTCCAAGACGGAGTAGCAGGATCCTGGGGAGCTAGAAGGTAGGGGCTCTGAGTTCACAAAAAAGGGAACAGAATTAAAATGAGGAAAGAGTGTAGGAGCTTTTTATTATTATTATTATTATTATTTTATTTCTGGTAATGAAACCGAGGAATCCTCAAAAGCGCCCTAGGCACTGTAAGCTTGCAAGCCTGAAGAAACATGTAGAGAGAAGACGATGAGAAGAAATTACAGTTTTAGAGGTGGGAGGAAAAGCCTAGAAGGATATTCTCGGGGAAACCCACGGAATCAGGTAGGGACTGAAAACCCAATCCACATGTTGGCTCAGGCGGGATTCGAACCCGGGTCACAATCCCAAAATTAAGGTCATTGCAACATGTCATACACCAGCAGCCTATTTCACGAAACAGTGTATAACTAACACCATGCATAGGACTTATAGGTAATTTTAATGTATTTCTATGAAAAATTATTAAAATCAATTTGAGTCGGAGCCGGGGGGGGGGGGGGGGGGAGGGGGCGGTCCACGCCTGCTATGCAATATGTCATACGCCAGTAGCCTATTTGACAAAACAGTGTACATGTATAGCGAACACCATGTGTAGGACTTCTGCAACTAATTTGTTGCGCAGCTGTGCAATTAAAGATTACGCACGATTGATCAAACTTGGCATACAAGTACAATGTTTTATTCAATCTTGGACGTGGAAAATCGCAGCACTTTCGACATTTGTTTTATGTATGATTTAGTTCATTTTACATAACAGTGTTTTGTTTGAAGTTTCTTAAAAAACTGAATCATGCATTGCTAGAAGAATAACAATTCAAAATAACAAATCTACCTTTCGAGCTGGAAAACATCAAAATAGCATGGGGAATGCATCTATTTCTCAAGATCAAGCCTTTTTTCAACAAGTACCAAGTGGTGCAACACATGGGGGCCGGGTAAGGCCAAAAAAAAAAATCTTCGGTCTCTGGTCAGACCAAAGTTCCGGGATTGATGCGGCGACGCGTTTTTTGTTTGTTTTTTATTTGGCCTTTTTTTTTTTTTCAAGCTTGGATTGTACAGACAAGGTGAGTAATATTTTGCTTTTGTTGTGTCCTCATGTACATTGGGGTCCTCCATAATTTGCCTTGGTGTCCTCCATCATTTGCCTTGGTGCAATTTCCCCATTCCTTGGTACAAAAATTTGAGGAGGTGCAACAATAGAGGGCGCTGCTGTAGCTACCGTGGACAATTTGAAGAAAAAAAAAGGTTGACGCGCATGATTAAAATCGACGCGCGCGCTGACCAGAGACCGACTAATTTTGGGGGGGGGGGGGCCTAACGTGTGAAGATGGCTTATAATACGCCACCGTCCGTACACCCGAATGGTGCATCAGTGTTTTCAAAACTGGTCTTCGAATGCAAAGCTGTAATACTCAAGTTGCATGAATACAATATATGGCTGAGTAAACTGTCCACCAACCAACCCACATAAGTGTGTATTTGCCTGCAATCGGGGACCCCCTATTGTCCCCCTCTTGCTTGTACTTTAACTTTTTAGGAATTAAGACCTTAGACCTCCCATATGTTTTGTACACGAATCCAAAACCTCTCGGGAATTGTCCTCTACTGTTCAAAGCCCCAACTGAATGCAGAAACAAACTCACCTACATGTACCCACCCACCAACCAACCAACCAACCAACAAACATAAGCAGCTCAAGCCCAAGGCGTGTTTTACATCCGCCGTGGCAAGAATTAAAGAATTTGTTGGCAATATCTATTCAAGGTCAAACATGAGGGCAGAGTTGTAACGAGTCACTGATTTTTGTGACTCGAGTCGAGTCATTTTCAAGAAGTGACTCGAGTCGAGTCGAATCATTTTAAAGAAGTGACTCAAGTCGAGTCGAGTCATTTTCAAGAAGTGACTCGAGTCGAGTCGAGTCATTAGGTCAACAGGTCGAGTCGAGGCGAGTCAAATATTTAGCTTGAGTCAATTCGAGTCATGAATATTTGAACACAATATACCAAAATTGATAAAAGGAGGCCATAAGTTTAGCCAGCGTTCGAATCCAAGAGCTTTATAAGAAATCGCCCAAAGCCAATGATGAAACAGCGAATTAGAAAATGCGTTTAACAATCTGGTTCCTGGATAGCATTTTGTGCGTTCTAGAACCATGAGGTGGGAGTCTGTGACATGTTGTATATTTATACATGAATGCTATTCGCAAAGCGAAGTGAGCATAATTTTGCACCGGTAGTCATTGCAAATACTTTTCACAAAGTTGTGCTTTTATTTTTTGGGACTCGAGTCTTATTAGCCTTCGCTCAAGTCGAGTCGAGTCTTCTGATGAGGGACTCGAGTCGAGTCATTTACCCTTGGGGACTCGAGTCGAGTCACCAAAAATTGTGACCCGAGTCGAACTCGAGTCGAGTCATTGACCCGAGTCATTACAACTCTGCATGAGGGACATGAGGGACATACACACCTCGATAATTCGAAGCCACGCTGTGCACGACAGCCCTGAATCCTGGCTCTTGCACAGACCCGTCCGACTGAAAAAAAGCGTAGAGGTGCTCGCCACTGGAGACAATTGCGGGGGGCACGTTGGTGCCGCAGAACGTACCAAACACGGGGTCCGCGTCCGAATCCCCATCGAAAATCTTGACGTAATCAAATCGGCATTGACTGTAGGTGCTGCCAGCCTCTAGAGTAAAGCTGGTGAAATAGATGCGCACTCTCTGACCTGGTGACAAGGAAAATATAGCTCTATAAAATATACAAAGGGTAATTTCACACTTATGGGCTCAAAAGTGTGACATTTGACAAGAAACTTTGAGTTTTGATAATAAAACTAGGATCTATAGTTTGGTCTCAGTGTTGGAAAAATACAGTTTTCCTTGAAAATGTCAGCACACCAGGAGCCACGATTTTACACGATGCTTCAGACTGTCAGTCGACCCCTATCAATCCAGGAAGGTACTTCGTGATAGTTTGATCATTTCATTTTTGATGTTTGCAAATGTTGTATTTTCCCTTTAAATTCACCGGAGTTTATGATGCAGACTTTCTGTAATTGTTAATCTTATGTAACTAAACCCCCCTCCCCCCCAACCCCCTCCAAAAATCACCAGCAATTCTTACCCACTGGGGCTGTTATGTAAAAGTCGCACTCCAGGTTTGGCGGGTAGTCGTCTGGATAATACAGGGACGTTATGACAGTCTCCGATGAATAACTGTCCAGATTAATCCTGTCTTGGTAGCATGCCTTGACGATGCAGCAGTGTAGGCAGAGTAGGAGGAAAAGTGTCGAGACGATGGACAATGATGATGACAATTGGAAGAAGACAGGCTTTTTAGTCCCCCATTCCATACTGAAAGGATGATTGGTTATCTGTTGGTAAGGACAAAAATGGTTGACAAATTTTTCTTTTTTAGCAAAATCAAAAGTTTGATCACTGTGGATTTACTGTCAGGCTATGGGAAAAATCTTGTTGAAGATGTTTCATAATTGGGATTATTATCCTAACTCCCGACTCAGTTTCCCAATCGGACCAATACTATTCTGTAGATATGGGCATAGGCGATCAAAATATGCACTTTTAATAAAATCTCAACCAAAACAATTTCGGCAAAGTTGCCGAAACAGCTAACAAAAAGCACCAGTCTCCCTCATTTTTTAAAAAAGGCTGGACGAGACTTTTTTTGAGGTGCAAAAATACAAATTTCAATACCGTTTGGGTAATCCTTACTTTTAGGACCCCTTTCCTATATAAGGTTAATAAAAGACTCACCAAAACAGCTGACTAAATCGACACTCAAACGTGACATTCTGATATTTATTGACACATTTGAACATTTGGCAATGACACCTCTTGAATATCAGCAGGTTTGATTTTGTAGAAAGAGGGCAGGGTTTTGATTTATGAGGGGTTAAAGACGACGATGACAAACAGAAAATAAGTTTAAAAAGCAAGATGGCGAACTGCAAAAAAAGGTAGGAAAGTCTCATTTTCTTTGAAAGTGCTTTCAAAATTATAACTAACATGAGTTTGTCTGAAGAAAAAGGATCGACTTCTTTAGCCTGCAAAAGTCGCTTTGGTACTGGACAGTCATCTGCAAAAGTCAGTTTTGATTTGAACAGAACTCGTACAAAATAGAGGTGTCCTAAAAGTAAGGATTACCGATGTTTGTAACAAAAAGGGAAATTTGCAATTTTAGGCCTGCTTAAATTAGTAAAAGTCTTACCAAGTTCGTCTTATTTGAGTATTGATGGCTGCATTTACTTCCTAGTCATTGACACAGACATTCACCACACGATCTGACAGCAACAACATGGACGCGGCTGGGGCTGATGTCACGAATAAACGCGCTCAACTTCCTTTAACCTGAGCAAAACTAATGCTGAAACAAAATGTCCACACGAAGTTGATCCAGCTACCTAGCTCAGATTTACAGTCGCTTTTGCAGATTATTCCCGTTCAATGCTGCACACAATTGCTCACACATTTGAGCCTCAACTGGTTGTGTTGTTATTCTTTAACTTTCACTTGCGGTGCACAATTAAGTTCCTGTGGCTGAAATCTTATTATTACACATGATGAGGAAGTTATACTAGGCAGGCTACCGACCTTCAAAGTAGGCCTATATCCCGTTTGCAAATGCGAACAAAAAATCAATACGAATGTAAAGACGATCAAAGGAAAGAACCACTTACGTACAAAGCCTTGGTCTCCACAATACTGCTTTTATGGACATGGTAAACACGCGGTGACGGCACAGGGCGGCATGCCGGCCGAGGCGAAGCCATTTAGGTTTCCATGGCGGCGCATAAACTGTACGTTCAATGAGAGCGCGACGGAGCGTGCAATGAAAGTTGAAACGAAAACTGAACTATTGATTTGAAGGTTGACGTTGACGTTGCAGGATAGAAAAAAATCCTGGCGACGCCCATGACTACAGAGTCTGTTTTTTATTTATTTATTTTGGCTGGACTATAGGGTCTACTTTTATTAATAAATGACATGTGACGATCATTTATTACTTGTGCATAGTTGCTATGAGACCCATTATGTAGCACCTTGAAGGGTTAACAAGATGCTGCGGCGCATATTGCAGCCAGAGGCGCTCCCAGGATTTGGATTGGGGAGGGGGCCAAAAAATTAACAATTCAAAAAAATGTTGCCCAAAATTTTTGGCCGCAGAGAAAAATTTGAGTGTTTTTTTTTCGGGAGCGGACTATTTTGACTTCGGTGGCGCCACTTACTCATACTACTCGAAAATAGGCCACATATCACAGTCAAATCGGGGGCCAAAAAAAACACCAAAAAGGACAACCTCTAGGGGGAGGCTCAAGCCCCCGAGCGCCCCCCCCCCCCCCCCGGCCCCTTGGGTGCACCACTGATTGCAGCCACTGCCAGAAACACTGGGGCAAACCCCTTCTCTTAGTCTTAGCAATAACTGTGACTGGGTTGAATTGACTTCTTAATGTGCAAAACTGCATTACAACACTAGTACCTACGGAGGACGAAGCAATAATGGTAAAGTGCCTTGCTTAAGGGCACAAGCACCATGTTCCCTCGGTCAGGATTGGAACCCTTGCAGCCTTATTGCAGGTGTACGATATTTGTTCAAAGCTTGCCATTTTTACAGCTAAAATTGAGAGACCAAGATCCTAATTATATTATCAAAACTCAAAAGGTCTTCAAAATATGTCCTTTTTGGCCGATTAATGTGAAATTGTACAGTTCAGCCAGGCCGATCGAAGGTCAGAGAATCAGTCTAGCAGGCTTAACCTTGTACCCCTTCACAGGTGTGTAATCAATGCAAAGAAAAGGCAGAGTAACTAAAGAAAAAATAGGGACAGTTTTTGAAAAAAGCCAGTTTTCAAGTTCAACGCTGGTCGGCCGACCAGTGTTGGAAAAAATACAGTTTTTCTTGAAAATGTCAGCACACCAGGAGCCAAGATTTTACGGGATGCTTTAGACTGTCAGTCGACCCCTATCAATCCAGGAAAGTATTTCGTGATAGTTTGATCATTACATTTTTGATGTTTGCAAATGTTGTATTTGCCTTATTGCAGATGTACGATATTTGTTCAAAGCTTGCCATTTTTACAGCAAAAATTGAGAGATCATATTTGCAAAAATTGAGAGATCATATTTGTTTGTTTTTTAAATTATCAATTAGCGTAAATATACATTAACAGTTTTTATGATGTTAGCATAGACCATTATCTTGACAATGTAATAACTGACCAGCAGCTGCACTGTAGATGTTCAGAACTAATGGTACGGTGGACAAGCCTTCGGCATGGGCGTCAATCGGGGGGGGGGGGACATAAACATTGGACATTTCTTAAAAAGAGGGGGTATCATATCGTTTGTCCCACCCAATTATTTTCACGACCATTTCACGACCCCCCCGCCCCCCTTTGGACAATCCTGGTTCGCCCCTGGTTGGAGTTTGCAAGGCCGGTCGGACTTGCCTCCCTCCGTTTCAAATTCCTGGCTACGCCTGTGGGTATAACTTTTATTCATGAGCTCGGCGGGTGGGTGACCTATTTACAGGTGTGAACCAATAGCGCGCCCTTTTTTTTCGACAGAAACTTTCAGTTGACAAAAGTGTGCGGATAAAACGCTTTTGCAAAATAGTTAAACAAACGAACTTCCTATTCAGTAAAACAGCTATAGTCCTTCCTTTGCAAGAGGAATGAATGTGTTGCTTTTGTTCCGTGAAAGTTGACTTTTTATTCGGATTGTATTTTTCGCGTTTAAAACCATATTGTTTTGGTCATTTGTTTTTAATTATTTGAAGGTTTCTCATGAAATTGAGGCTCCTAATATTGCACACCATGACAAATCACTGGATGAAATTTCAATACAATACATTTGGTAGTTCTTGAAATGTTGCCTAAAACAAGGAGAGTAGTGTTCTCTTTGTTCAATAGTGATGCGGCATCCGTACCATGTTGCTGGTGTTCGTCAGTGTCATCGTGGTGCCCACTATTTATGTGGCGCGCCCTCTATTGAAAGAAAATTAAAGACGACCGACAGTCTCTGTACCCGGCCGTCCATGCAAGACCACTTAGCGCGCCCTTTTTTCGACAGAAACTTTTAGTAATACACGGGTAGTGAAACAAACGAACTTCCTGCACAGGATATTTCTTCCTTTGCAAGACGAATGTGTTGCTTTTGTTCCATGAAAGCTGACTTTTATTCGGATTGTATTTTTGTGTTTAACTACTATAATTGTTTCGGCGGTCGGTCATATTGCCTTTAATGTTTGACGTTTTCTCATAATATGCATGAAATTGAGTTACACATCATGAAAATTTACTGGATGAAATTCCTATTTAACACATTTGGTATCGCTTGAGTTTTTTTCCATGAACGTTAACTGTCATTCGGATTTTTTTTTTCGCGTTTAAAACACTGTTAGTCTTTCGGTTCAGTTTTTAAAAAAATTAAAGTAGCGAATATGTGGTATTGGAAAACAAAAAAATTCGCGGGACCGATTTAAATGAGGTTGGTGAGTGACAAATTTGCCGAAAAACCTCCGTGCTGGAGGGCACCAAGGAATTTAGGGTGAGGCTGGTCATCCACACCTGCCCCGTCTAAACCCCTCCTCCGTACCTGGGTGACTCATTTGCAGACTGAGGCTCTTACTGTCGACTGAGAGGGGGTGGGGTGGTGGTGTCATCTTCCCCTTTCGCTACTGGGAGGAGGGCGGGGGAGGGGGTAACCTAGTTTCACTACTGGCCGTGTCATATCATGAACATGAACACAATTAGCTAAATTATGTACAAATCGGTTTTGAAGGGAACATTTTTAAACTCTTGATTCTAACAATAAAATCACTGTGAATTAAAGTCCACAAAACGGACCCAAAGAGTAACATATTTGATTAGTCGCTATAATTTCAGGAACTTTCTAGTTTATTCCATTATTATTCAGGGTGTTCTTTCGTTTGGTTTGAATGATTCCACTGACCAAAATAATTTAAAGCATTAACTCACTTTAAATACTTATACTGTAAGTTCGGCTGTAACTTAAATTTAACGACCTTTTACACACCGATGCTCGAAAATTATTTTTACATCCAAGAATCAACAATAGACTTAAAGGTATTAGACAACATTAGCAAAACAAAACAAAACTATATACCAAATGATGTTGAAATACCTAACTTGACTGTAAGCTAGTGAATATGAGTCTCAAGCATCCTGTGCAAGTATGGCACCTGGTGAGCTGTCATTTCAAGAAAAGTGGAATTTTTGTATCAATTTCCAACGATGGTCAGCCGACCATCGTTGGAATCAGTTACACATAACACATCAACGGACATCTGTAAATTGCTTTGTTTCGTCTGAAAGAAAGTCGGGGAACAAGATTACATCAAGAACAGCACTTTCTTCCCTAGCATCCACGAACTCAAAACATTAAACAGGTCAGAGTAACAGTATTTGCTACAAAGCACAAACCCCCAAATCCATCCAATTCTAACAATTACAGCAAAAGCAAATATTGTATATTAGCTTCAAGTTCCAATGGAGACTTTTATGATAGGAAAGTTCTTCAGAAACATTAAACATCGAAATGCTGATTTTTTTTTTTTAAATGATTGTGCAAAACAAACACTATGTGTAATGGACTTAGTCCCAAAAACATCTACATACTTTAAACATTATTCTGCTTTTAAAAAGACTGATCTCGTAATCCTGGCAACGTTATAAAAAAATATAGCATCCAAAACGCGGAAAGCACATTTTTTTTTGTACCATTACAGTTTAGCTACAAACTCTAAATTTAATATAGCGCCATCTGTCGTTCAAAATATGCTCATGGTTCTTTTTTTATATATAAGTAACTCGAGAGTGCCGTGAACTTAGTCAAGGTAATTCGTTTTTATACAAATCAGAAAAATAAATACCGGTATAGGCTATAATACGTTTTGATCATGAAGACATGCGGTGGGAAATTACCCAAAAAATGCCAAAAAATACTCTAATTTTATTTTGACACAATTTCAGCTTTTCTATATAGCAATCAGACTTCCACACTACAGCAATTTAAAAGAATGACTGTAAACACATTAGGGTAATGCATTAGTGTGAAACATTACAGAAAAGCAAGGCTTCCTTTAAACGGCATTGACTTCAAAGCGCGTTTTGTTACGTTGTTACATTCTTTTTTTTTTATAAAAAAAACGTTTGACAGTCTACAAAATCTACAATGTGACAGACAACAGCAATCTTAGCTTCTGGGTATAGGCCAAGAATGGTCCCTTGCTGGATTATGCTTTACAAATACTGACGACTTAATTCATGACAGCAAAAGTGATACCTGTACCCATGCAAAGAAACTTGATGAGTCTTTTTCATTGTATGAACAATTTCGGAAGCATGTTGATACATTTTCTTTCAAGTTAATGAATCGGGTAGGCCGATAGTCCCATACCTGTGAAAAAAAGGATTTGGCCCCTTAATAATAACAACATTGATGTTATTGAACATGTTCACATCATAAACTTGTTGTCTAGTCTGCGTCTATATTATGGCAACGAAACCAAACACAGTGGCTACAACTTGCAGACAATTAATTGTAGGCTTAATTCCAGTCGAAATATTATAAATACACAGACCAGCTGTATTTTGATCAAAGGACGCTGACTCTTCACAATTCATGGGGCTTTTGGGGGTCGAAACGATATCCAGACAAAACAAAGAAAGCTGTTCCTCTTTTCTCGCCAATACAATTTGAATTTTCCCCCGCCATGTTGATTTCCGCTGGTTTTCAGCATCCTTCGTTGCTGCTGTTGGTCCCGCCACTGCTGCCGCTGGTACTCGCGGGACTAGGCTGGCTCCTCCGTCGTGCCTGAAGTAGTGGGAGGAAAAACCGGAAATTAGGTTTCTTGTATAAATCGATGAAGCATTTTCGGATCAATTAATTTGTTCAAAGAGGAAAGACAAAGCAATGTTGCTGAAGAGCAACAGTGGCGTAACTATATGGGGTGCGTGGGAGGGTGACTGTTCTATGTTCCGACACCCCTATATGTTCCGACAACCCGCACACAAGATTGTGTTACTCCCGATTATAGGGTATAGGTTAGGAAGAGGAACACTCTAAAAACAACTTAGTCAAAATATTGACTGGTTTTCCTAGTTATTGAAAATTGACTAGGAATTTAGTTAAACATGCAAAGTTTCATACTGTGACTAGAAAAAGTTGTTGGGTTCGACTCCAAATTCAGTTATTGGCATAACTATTTTTCCCAAGTCAATAATACTGACTGGAAAAATCTAGTCAGATTGACTGATTTTCAGTTGCACCCAGCTGACCCTGAATGGCTAGTCAAATTTAACTGGTTTCTAGTCAAATCTGACTAATGCTTTTTTAGAGTGAATAGGCCCTATGTGCAGTCGGAACATAGGGGTGTCGGAACATAGGGGTGTCGGAACCGCGAAGGAGCCGCCCCACCCCAGACCCGTGCCAAATTTCCGCACCCACAGCCCGCCCAAGAATTTGGGGAGACAAAAATGGGCTTTTAAGTTTTAATTGTTACAAATCCATGGATCATCCCTTTACCTAATGGTCCCCTTTAGTTACTGACTAGTGTAAAGTGGGTCCCAAAATACAGGCACTGGATTCGCATTAGCCTACTCTCTAAATTAGAGTGAAGATTCACACCCACAGTCGGAAAGTATAGGCCTAGGGACTAGACGTTAATAAGAGTGAACATTCTTCAATCGTAAAGAACGAGTTTTCACTCGAGCTTCCACTGAAGTGGCTCTTTTTTTCAGACTATTTCAATCGAAAAGGAGAGTGATTTTCACTCTAAAACATCTAGTCCCTAATTTCACTCTTTGGAATTTAGAGAGTATCTCCCCTTCACCCTAAAACGTTCTTGGCGCCTGAATTGTATAGATACAATTTTACTTTTCAAACACTCAGCTGAAAAGAAAAGGAAGGAAAAGAAAGGAAAAGAAACAAACGAAAAGAAAAGCTAAAAACCAGCAAGCGGTTGACACCACATGACAGCTTGATGGGGTAACTTGATCTGTGTACTGCAAGCAACAATGGTACTTTTTTTCTTTTTTCTCTCTCTCTCAAAAAAAGCATTTCTTTTTGGTTCTACCCCTCCCTGGAGGGCTCGCTCCTGCATTTTTTAAGAAGTTGCCTAAAGTAACGTCCAGCGATCGATATTCATGAACTATAATATAACTTGTCGCGAACATCTGAAAATTATTACTTTGGCGAAAGATGAACCTACCATTGGACCTCGTGGTTACAACTATTGACAACACTTTTTAGTATGGAGCAAGATAATTTCTCTAAACAACACACTGTAATAGAATTCAAGACGTCTGGACACCATACTCTGTGGAGGTCATTCAGTGGTCGAAGAGTTTACGAGTTTCCAGGAATTCTCGTCAAAGTTTGCTTGCGGTGAAGTGGCATATTTCAAACGGATAGAGACACTATTATATGACCGTTGGGTTGTTTGCCTCTTTCCCTCCATTGTTCCAACTTGGGGTCGACAACCGACAAATGGGTCGAAGGTTACAAGGCTGAAGGCTCAAATTATGGCATTTTTTTGGGCGACGATTGAAAACCGTCATTACATTGTACCGATGAAAACCAAATCTTTGCATATGGTAAACCCTAATATCGGACGGAGAAATTTGAGAAACAGTGTGTAAAATTAGCTTTCGTTTTTAGAATTAGAGTAGATTTGATAATGATACATTCGAGAAACATTGGAAGTGTGATAAGCTTCAATATTCAACTCTGGATTGAAGTAGAACATCTGAGTACCGTATTGAGTCCACATTTGACGAATGTATACCGATTTGTTTTAAAACATTTTAAGGCACTCAATCAGAGACGAAGAGTTTAAAACTGAGGAAAACAAACCACAACTGTAATACTGTGTGTAATTCATTGCTCCGCAAAATGAAATTAACCCAAAACAAAACTTGGTTCGTGGAAAGATGCGGGAAAACGGAGAAAAGAACACCGATATAATAAACACATCTTTCTGCACGCGACACATTTCCTTTTTAATATAAACTAAAGAAGTCGATATTTTATTTTTCATTTTCAGTTAAAAAGAGAGAAACGATTTATGAAACAATAATTTAACTCAAAAATGAGGTTAACTGAAAATTATATACGGCAGTGCACCACAAAATGGGTTATTCTATAAATTTAGGGTCTAAAGTGCGACATTTTCCTGTCCCTGTTACCTCAAAACATTGTAATTTGTCATCTTTTTGTCATATTAAAAAAATACAATTAGACGACTTTTTTCGTCCCATTATAACGTTGAATGAACCGTTCCTGATTTGGTCACATCATAAGCCCCGCCCATCTCTGGTTTGTATACGGGTAAGGGTTATCGTGGTCACCTGATCCAAAATCTGTGACGTTATTGGTCAATCCGCACTAATTTGAATGAGAGGCAATAGGAAGGGTCCATTTTCGCCAGCAAGGGGTCAAGCCCACAGCGTGCCATAAAAATGGTACCATGCACATATGGCCAACTACCAGAGCGAAATATAGCGAAAGGAAATGTGGCATGTCAAAAAAATAGACGCAATTTTAGACTAGCAACCGCGGCAGTCACACCCCTATAGTTTGGTGAATTGTGGACAGTAACCAGGTCTTATTTGCATACAATGATATTTCCCCCTCAAAACTACGTTTATTAGAGGTTTGTTTCGTTGCTTTGCCAATATTAAGTATTGATGATGCAGCAATTGTCCCAAACGGGGAAAAAATCGGGTGAAAAAAGTCTTTATTCGGACAAAAACATAGGGTGGTATATTTTCAAGGGGAAGTTTGGTAACAAATAACGATCGAGCGGAAGTCACGTTTAATCCCATCTCGTTGTCCGCCACCGTCAGCCCACTTGGCAGGAGGCGTGTATTGTTCATTTTTCCTAGAAGAAAAAGACAATCAAAATCACCCATGCAGTGCTTGATCATTGAGTGATAGTTCAATGGTATGATGTATTGAATCATTGTAATTTAGCCGTGCCGTTTAGCAGCGTGCGCAACAATGAATGTGGAAGCGGCAAGTTGTACAAAATGCGATTATCATTCAAGCGTGCGTTTAAAATCGATCAGGTATACGAGTTTCATCTATAAATCGTATTTGGCTTTTCCACGACCCAATAACGCCAATTATTAACCATTTCAATGCAGTTAGTTTCCCCTTTTCAATTTCGTCCTTTTTTCAGATCGCAGATGCACCTCTATTTTCAAATCTCAATAGCTCAATCATTATTCATTTCAATAAAAATATTAAAATGAACTGTCCTGCCAAGAACAAAGTTAATACTTTTCATCACAGAATGTTAACGAAATCTTCAGCTACAGCCTAAAAACTGCTGGCTTAAAAAATGTGGTTCCATCGAAGATTTGTCAGCTCAATTAGATTGTGTGCCAAACTTCTATTTTTAGAGAAAACACCAAAACAATGGTCACGCTGTGAAGGTTGGTTTCTGACGGAAGAAATTGTTTCTTAACACCGAGATATCTCTCTACAATGTCTCCCAGCTCCCCGTATCAGTCGACTGTCCAACCATGGTCCCACCGACTGTTTAATGTTATTTCTTCCGTGAACATTTAGGTTACATGTTGAAATTAACGCTAATCCTAACATATCGTTTAATAATGTCGCTGATATATCTCCACGGGTTTTGGGATCGCACCGAGTTTAGCACGTCCAAGGCCAGCCGGGGGATCGTGCCGCGTCCGTGGGCGGCAAGCAATGACTCACGGCCCGCGAAAGGCTCTGTGTGTACCGCGGAACAATGTTGGACAACATCCAAAAACCCTCCAGGATTATTATACAGTTCGAGAAGATAAAAGACTTCCGGAGTTGTAGTTTGGATTTGTTCAGTTGGTGATAAATAAATGAATCCTCTTTTGTTGGTGGAGTGAATTCTAGAAACAGGTGGTTCTTTGTTGGGAAAGCACGCTAACAGGGAAGGGTCTTTCGATGAAGAGTTCACATTTCTAATTAGATTTTAGCACACATATGAATTGGACACAGGCCAAGATCACTGAGCGAGCGATTCATTTTAACTATTGTAAGGTATATATGTCGGTTCAATGTAGGCCTGTCCCTATACCCCCCCCCTTTTTTTGTAATTGACAGTTTCACGTTTGTTCCATTGACAAACTATAGGAATTGCCTCGGTTTCCATGGGCGTCGGGGGTGGGGGGCAGGGGACTTCCCCCCTGGAAAAGGGGGGGGGGGGGGAAACGAAAAGGTGCGAAGCCACATATTGCTGTCAATTTGATGGGGGGGGGGTAAAGGTAGGGCAAATGTTCCTCTGCCCACGCTCGGGAAATGATAAATTGAGAATATGTTGAAAAAGTTCCGAAATTTTGGGGGAAAATGTGCTTTGGCCCCCCCCCCCGAAAAAAATCCTGGCGACGCCCATGTCGGTTTCCGATCAAGTTTAGGACACGAATTTTCCATCGACACATTGTTTGGTAAGTGCGATAAGACAAGTAAAACACGGTTAGTAATTGACAAAATAATGGTTAAAAGGAATAAATTTGGATATTTCATTTATTATAATTGAGCTAGGCTAAAAAATATACATTACACACTGTCTCTGCCTGTTTTCATTGTCTACAAAAAAGGAATTTTCAGTAAAAACAAAAACAAAATAGGAAAACTGTACATTATAAAATTTACCCTGCCTATATAAACATTACATACGATGCTAGATCTTTGTGACTTATTTGATGTACAGTAAAATAAACAAGTAACAGTTCACCCAAGAAGAGGTTTTAGTCCTTATTTTTGTCCATGTGTCACAATTTTTCATTAACAACCTCTGAACCTCCCTGAAAAAT